TCTGATAATATTGTTCGCAAAGGTTTTCCATGCTACCCTACTTTAGATCTTATTCGCGTTTGATATTATGAGTTCAATATATTCGGGTATGCCGTGACGCATGGAGGGCTGCAATGCTGCTGGCCGGCTATTTTGTACTGCGTAAGGATTCGAAAAACTTCATACACTTACTACGTTGCTGATTAAATCCCCCTGAGATACGTAGGTAGGTAGTACGTTAATAACTTAATAAGGTACCTGACTTATTTAGCTCAATCTGCGATGCGAGGATCGATTGCGATTTCAGCAAGACTTTTTTTTTTTCTTTTTTCTTTTTGTTTGTCTATGAGCCGTTCTAGGCGGCTAAGACGCGGTTAAGACGGTTAAGACCCTCTAAAGGAGAGTTTTATGACCTGATACGGGAATTTGGAAGGTAGGCGCGTTATGGAAAAGTTAGAAAGTTAGAGCTCGCTTCTACCCCTAACCTAGTAGGTCTAGCTCTAGAGCACCTGTTCGCAGTTCTAGCGGCAAAACTAGGGCTTGGTAGCCATTTGTAGCTAGGCTGACCCCACTTAGAATGTCCTGGATCCCTAGACCGCCCGCTTCAATTAGCTTTTTTGAATTGTGAATTGGAGCGAATTCCACTGAATGGCGATTGGCAATAGGCATGCAAGCATGTCACTTAGTGCCTACCCGCAAGTACCCTCCTCGCACTAGCCTAGGCTGGTTACAACCTACAACACCGACCTCACTACCTCTTTGGCGCTTGGGCTTGAGTTACTTACTATGTAGGTAGGTAGGTACCTAGGAGGTATGTAAGACCTTTTTTGGTTACTCTCAAGTGGATATCTTTCTCGACGAACTTCCTCTTCCTCAGCTCGTTTTTTCTCTTTAGCAGGTTCTCCCCTACTACTTGGGTTAATAAGATGCTTCATTTCACAGCCCTTCTTCTCCCTTAGCGACGACATCTCTTATGATATTTATCCATTAATCTCTTTCCTTTTGTGCACCCCGAGAAATTTATTTTTTTCTTCAATCGTTACTCGGCCTCTATCTCTACCTCGGTTTCTCACCTCAGACCTCTCTCGCACTCTTCTTTTTCAATCGTTAACCTGGTACACTAATTAACTAGTATATCTCTATCGCTCTCTGCGGTGTAAGGAATTGTAGTGATAATTCTTAATTCGCCGAACCTCTTTGTTTCGTCTAGATATCCAACAATGCCAAGTCCTCGTAATCCCCTTTGACTCGGCTCGAACACTCCTTGATACCCCGCGGCGTAACCTCTCGCTGACAACTAATTCACATTCTCGACACATCTAATCGCCACGAATTCTCCGAGTCGTAACTATTCCAATTAATCTTTCGGATCCCTGCAGTACTATTGTCTTATCTTCTGTCGTCCATTGGTATCCTTCTCGGTCGTACCGACTTTCTGTAGGCGATATTTAGTTGCACAAGACCTGTCAAGTGTTGGGGTCGAATCTTTAGGGTCTAATATATTTTCTAGCCCTTTGCCCCAAGAGTTGATCAACTAGTCGTGCTACTGGACAGCCTGACCAATATTCGTGGAGAGGGGAGGGGGCATGGTTCTTGATCTACAAAATGGCCCTTCCTTTGTCTCTTCACCATGATGAAGATCGTTCCGTTCTTCTATCCGACTCCGAGGACGACGACCTTCTCCCTGCACCTCGTAAAGTACGCGAGCCGGCGAGATCCGTGTCTAGGGATAGCGAGGAGGCCATGCGCCAGAAGACCAACGATGCGGCTGCCAACATCCCAATCCATCCAATACCCGCCATGCAGCCAGCCTTCTCCGAGTCCCTAATCGAGGCTACCAATAGCCCTGCTCTATCGAAACCGAAGCTTAGATTTGCCACAGCGAGAGAACGTAGAAACTACTTGCTAGATGGGGCAAAGGGGGAGGGGTTACATAGCGAGCTATGGCGATACCGACCAGGCCAAAAATACCACGAGCTCTGGAAGCTCATGGCTCAAATATCATTCGGCGTACACTTACTGCTCAATGGAATCGCGAATAGTAACGAGCAGGTGGTTAATATCCTTCAAGGTCATATCGACGAGGTGGACGAGTTTCTGGAGACAATATTGGAAGATGTCGAACTCGCGATATATGATATTCGAGATCGTATCGACCATCTAAAGTTACCGATGCAGAACATCGAGACTTTTGAGCAAATGCTGGAGGATCGCAATTTTCGGTTGCAGATAGTAACTGGGAACGAAAAGATCGAGCATATAATCTCTCGGACCACAACATCCCTCGAAGTGGTAGTGGCGGATATTGGCGAGGGACTGGGTGCCACGAAAGAGTTTGCAGCATATCTCAGCAACCAGCAGGATGGAGTATGGCAACAGCAACACTCAGAGGTTGGAGATATTTTCGACGCCATGAGAGGGAACGCCCAAGGCTGGTACAAAGCCTTTCTCGAATTGCAGCGTACAACGTCGAATTTGCGCACCCTGCTCAACAAGCTCGATCGGATAGTATCAGAAATGAACTATCGCGCTGGCGAAGTAAGCCGGAGAACAAGAGTAAGAGATTATGTGACTAGGTGGTATACAAAACATGCTGACTTGTTAGCAGGCAAGTGTTATTCCCTTCTCTAGTCCGACAGACCAACCTTTGCCGAAGAGTAACTCGCGAAATTCGTCGATGCGATCGTCTGATAGATGGCCACCGAAATTCGAGCTTTCCAAGAGCACGTCTCAAAGATCCGTAGCAGGTTCAACCGGAACCAGGGAGACGCTCATGGTAGTCCAGTACAATGCCCCGATAGAACCAATGTCTCCAGTGGAGTTGGAGGCGGACATGGTTCCAAGAATGGCTATAACCATCGAAGAGGATGTTGAACCTGCTGAGGAAGAAAATGAGGAAAAGAAGGACGAGCCACCGGCGGATGAAGGCCTCTACATTCTGCAGCCCCGGACGTATACTCCACAACCGCCTGCACCGATACCTTCACCAAAAGTTCAAGATTCGCCATTCGAAGACCTTCCACTCCCAATAGAGGACCTTGAAATTGAAGACCTTGAAATCCAAGGTCCTTTAATAGAAGATCCTCCAATTCAAGACCCCCCGATCGCGGTGCCGGAGGAACAACCGAAGAGAACATCTTTGCGGCAGAGGCTGTCTCTTAAAGGAAGCAACCTGCCCGAAGCCATCCAGGTTCCTTCTCGTAATGCACCTGAGCTCCAAAGGCCCACGTACCTAGACGCACAGTACCAATCTCCCGGATACCTACCCTCGCGCACCTACCAAGGCCCAGATTCTGCCTATGGCTCCGATAACGAGGCACGGCAACCAGTCCGTTCGATGACGGAATTCGGGGATATGATGCCACCGCCAGGTGTTCCGGCCACGGCGTTACCTTCTCCGCGTTCAGAGAGACAGCACTACTTCCCGGTGCGAGCAAGTCCTCACTCGCCTCTGCAGCAGAGACCGTGGACGGCTGGCACGCACGTTCATGCAGGCCATCTGCGAAATCAGCCTTCGGCGATGGGGATGAGCATGCTAAGTAACGTGACAACACTCAACCCAGAAAATCAAAAAACGGTAAAGAAGAAGCGTAGTGCGTTCGGGTGGTTAAAGAAGGCATTCTCACTCGATGACGAAGAGCGTGCAGAATTCGAGGCGAGGAGAGCACAGCAAGCTCCTAACCCATACTACGAAAGCCGAAGCCCTCAGTATTTAGACGGCAAGCGTGTACCGGACCATAGGCGTCGTCAATAACCCAATCCGGGGGGAACGTAACGGCGTTGCAGGAACCTTAAACTATTATTGTCCGACTCGGAGATCGTCGGCGTGGAGATTTTTTCGATGGGGCTTTAGAGGCTAATAAGTGGTCATCGATTGATCTGCGATCTGATCGGCAGACATGGCTTAAAACAAGGAATGTCGCATTTTGTGTAGAACGACAAATGCAACAAACATTCTACCGGACCGCTCACCCATCGTCGACAGATCGACATGCTTGGATGAATCTAAAAAATATCCATATATGGTCTGCTTATACTACTAGATAATAGCTAGCATATCTGATACCATATATTGTGTATTCATTTATCTGGGATGGGCTCTGTCCAAGGACATTTATCGGTTCAATAAAACGGTGGAGATTGGAGTTGAATGCGTGAATACAGGGATACGCCCTGAACAGTGTCACCATCTCGAAACATTATCCTTTCCGAGAACGAAGAATGGGTACCCGCGTCTTTCGGGTGCGGCATCACACAGGCGTTATTATGTAATGTATATACGTACAGGTGTATGATATGGTTGGCAACCTTTTTACTAGGCAATGGCATAGCGATGCATTTCGGATATGCGGAGTTTGAAGGGGCGGGACATGGATGGCTCAGCTATTTCAATCTTGCTATCGAAGTAATTGTAGTTATAAAGGTATTTTCACTTCATTTATTGCAGCCTATGTTCTTAGTTGATCTAGAATGCTGGCTGTAGTGAGAGAATGTTGGCGTAACTTATGGATGGCTCGCTCACTCCGTCCTTTGCCTCTCGATATATGATTATGAGATATTTTCATGGATCTTACCCTACTAGTTCTTCATTGGTCTACCTAGATAGGTACCTGTTATTTAGGTATGACAAGGCGAGATGATTAAATATGAGTTATATACATGTATGTTGAATGTTTACCTACTACTACATACTATTGCACTATTGCATCTCCAAATGAAGCTATCTTCAAAACCCTGTTCTTCCCCCCACAGTCTCGGCGCTTCGTACCTAATGCACCTAGCGTGCCTTCCGGACTCTCTACCTATCTGGGAACACGGCGCCTTTCGCTTACGCGCGCCGAAAAGCAGGGGCAACTGAGCCTCATTTTGTACACGTATGTTTACATTATTTAGTTCGGATATTACATGCGTCTATTTCAACGTCGACACTTATAACACGGCTTATCAAAGTCTTTCTGCATTTGTTATATTACGTATATACTCATCCTGTATGTATGCATTCGGTCATAAAATCGTAAATAATGTCTTCGGTTGCGGTCTCCAGCGATCAGGTGTTGAGCGCCTTTAAGTTCGGCACGGGGAACTGGGATCCGGAGCACCGCTTCGAGACGTCGTGGCTGTTCCCGCCGTATGTGCTATTTGCTCTACGGCTGTTGATGGTAAGTCCGTTTTCTTTATGCGCGGATATGTATGTCCTATGCCCACATATTATATGCACATTTATGTCATGTATGTCGGGGATAAGCCCGAAAGGTGCCACTACGAACACCGGTACCGCGGCGGCGGATTGCATATAGTGGCCTAAGTTCGAGCCGATACTCACGATTGTGTAACGGTGGCGCGCATCTTAAACACACTTACTTCGATCTCTATTATATCCTGTATACCGCACGCATACAGATCAATATAAGCCGGTGCTAATCATATACAGTCCCTTTACGCATTCATAACATTGCTCTTCAACATCGGATACCAATGCACCCACGACGATTTAGGCGGGTGTGAGGCCTCGCGCGCCGAGTTCTCATTCTTCACGGTGCTCACGTACTGGGGCCTCGCTTTCTACATGCTTATAGCATCAATTCATACATTCACATACGCGCGGTACTCCAACCCCTTTCTCGCCCGCTTCCCACGGCCATTGCAGGTCCTACACGCTCTATTCTACAGCACCGTAACGACATTCCCCTTCTTGGTAACTATCGTGTATTGGGGCGTGCTGTACGGCTACGGGTCCGCCTGGTTCCCCACCGTCTATGGCGCCTGGTCCAACATTAGCCAACACGCGATGAACAGCCTCTTCGCGCTCTTTGAGATCTTCCTCACCCGCGTGGACCCTCAGCCCTGGATGCATGCGCTATGGCTTATCGTCATTATGGCGCTATACCTGGCCCTGGCGTATCTGACGAAAGCTACCAAAGGCTTTTACGTCTACCCCTTTCTCGACCCGGGGAAGACCGGATCCCTGGTCGCTGTGTACATCTTCGGGATCGGCGCTGCTACGCTTGTGATTTTCGCTATTGTGAAGAGCGTTGTTTGGATGCGTCGCTGGCTTACAGAGGAGAAGCTGGGGCAGCATGGCAAGTTTGCTGACTTCCCGCCTAGGAATATTCAGGAGGTCGAGCTGGGTGATATTAACGGGGCTGGAATTAAGTAATTCGGATGTTGAAGTACTGACAGGTACTTATTGATTAACTGGCTATTATGCGACAGTATGATAGGGTAAATATGTGTTTTTCTCTTTGAGCGAGCATCCTAGCGATTAAATATAATGATATCTGCTAGTACCAACCCTTCAAGATAGTGGAAATGAGTAACTTCGATATTTAAATCGAGTCATCCAAAATAATTGGATAAACCTTAGATATTTTGAACGTCTCAGTTTATGAGTATAAGGAGAACATATACCTGTGTCTTTTTTACACTTGAGGACATAGACGTATAGGATATCGCATCAACAAGAAATAGTCATAAGCGACCAATGCCGAAATATAGTACAAGCGGAGAGAGACGTGCAAAAACCAAGTTAAGACTACGAGTACTCATAAGTGAAAATAGAAAAAGCCCGACACAATATAGACAAACGGCTAAGGGTAAGGTAGGAAACGGAAGGGATCACAATTAACAACGCCCTCTTCTTAACCGTACAAGCATACAGATGGGAAAGTTAAAAGAAAACAGACGTATCTTTTCCTTCACTTGGTTGCCAATACCGGAATCACACATATGTCGGGTCCATGTGGCTAATGAAAATCATCTCTGAGGTATTTTGGCCTACGAACCATAAGAATTTCCGTTTGCTTGGCAAATTTCATCTAAGTACGTACATCATGCGAATGACAAAAGTACTGTGGGGCTTGGAAGCATTGTCCGGAGTTTACCCGTGTACTTTCAAAATAGCTAAGAGGTAGCCTATGCAATTTATCATTTCGGAGGAATATTACGTTTAAACTATTTCATAGGTTGGCCTCATCTTCTTTTGACGCTAAAATTTTTGTGAATGATTCTGAGCCGGTGGTTGTTATTGCATAGATATCAAAGAGACATTGATTGGGTGCATTCCGAAATAAGTGGATTTCAAGATATTTTTAAGCCAATGGTAGATAAGCAAGCTATCATTCATAAAACCCATAATCTATATATATCTAGGTACATATATTCACACCGACTTTTCAATCTTTTTGACTTGATTAGCCACAAGTTAACCACAAGGCTTCTATGAGATGTACCTAAGTACATCTCAACACGTGACCTTTGGTCACGTGTTTATAAAAAAAAATAATTGTATCATTAGTTTTTAATTCAATCAATCATCTATTATCTAACAGCTTCTGGGCTGTTTGTGGCGGCCTTTAGCCGCCTAGAGATAATACATAGCGTCTGCGAAACGTTTCGACGTAGCCGAAACGCGGCAGCAAACCCGCTTACGAAATAGGTAAAAAAGGGAGACAATAATATTAACTATATTAAAAACCGAGGGCCCCCCGTGTGGGAGACCACAATAGCCCGACTTTTAGAGAAGGCTCATGTTTATGTCATCCTTCCGAAATTTAGCCGTTTGTGAGCTCACGTGCCGCCACGCCGGGCCGCGCCGGGGGGAGGCTTTCGTTTTGCGAGGGCCTTGCACCCCCCCTTTCTCGCGGCCCGGCAGTGACGGCCCGATATTTTAACCATTTTAAATTATTTTCTCTTTTGTTTTCTTTTTTGTGTAAATATTTCCCTCAACTAATATCCCTTATAAACTCGGACATATTTCTCGTAACTCGTAACTCTCGTACTTTCATAAACTCAGGCATTATAAACTTTCTCAATTAAACATCAATTATACCCCTTAATTCCCAAATAAATTTAATGCCAAAATTTTACTTAGAACTGTTTATTACCGTTACGATTACTAGAACTAGCATTTTTACCAATTTCTTCTAAACTTGGTAGTAACCTTGGGTGGATAAAGGGGTTATGCGATACCATATGGCTTCGGCACTCGAGCCGCGTAGCAAATTTAAGCGGGCAGCGTGGGCAAAGGTAGTTTAATAGTGCGGCTTGCCCTTTACCACTTCGCTTGAGCCTAGCAAACGTCGAAGAGAGTTTATCAATACCGGGATGTACATTCCTCTTATGTTTCTCCATTTCTTTGCGGGAGCCGAAGCCGATACGCGCCGCCGGGCAGTTCTCTTCGTCACACTTAAACGGCCGGTCATGACGGTCATAATGCTGCTGTCTTGATGCCTGAGAGCTGAACCCTTCGTGGAAGTAATAGCATGATACCTTCTTACATTTGAACCAGTTGGTGCCATAGAAGTGTTCTAGAGTAGTCATCTCAGCTCTATCATTTGTTATTAACTTTGAATATTCTTCGACGATATGCCGGTTTCTCCTGATACTTTTACCCAGTGACGTTAAATTAATCTCGTCTCTCCTGTCGTCTACTAGTCGATTCCAAGGTTCCGCATGCTTCCAGATCATAGTCATGACTGGGAAGCAGCTGAGAGAAGAAAACTGGGAGTGGCCTGGAGAAAGCTGCGAGACTGTTGGAGGAGTTATTAAATCGGCATGAAAGCGGTCGGCGAATATTGTAACCGCGTTGGAGGTTTCTGTGTTATTAATAGGCCATCCCTGTGTGATTACTTCTGATTCGGAAATCATAGCAAGAAAATGTTCTGCCCAATGAGCAGCGGCATAATCTTGGAATGCAAAACAACCTTCTCTTGTGAACTGAAGCAGCTCTTTGTCTTGTCGGTCCTCTTCAAAATATTGAAAAGATAAATAGTAAAGGCAAAGGGTTGCCATAGAGTGTTCTGCCTCAGCTAGGGGGGTATACCCTAGATTTACAATAAATCTGGTATACAATATTAACAATAACATGTTTTGGCTAAGAACATCAAGACTTACAGGGATGCAGTGGTATGAATAAAGTCCACACAGTCACCGGGAAGGACTTCAATCAATGAGCCACATATTTCCGTCACGTCAGAACCTTGAGATAGTCGCCGCGTGCTGTCAAGGGCTTGTTCGTCTAGGCTGATTGAAATGGCTGCTTGAACTTCTCGCCATCGCAAAGGTCTCCTCGCACAAACCATTAGAAGAAGAATCCTACGGGCAACTTCTGCTTGATTTCTGTTCGGATTCGACGTAATTCTGCGTAGATTTCGATCGTAACTACTATTCGTTAGCCGGTGAAACCATATTTTAAATCATACACATTCTGTTGTTAAAGAGTGATTCCACTAACGCTTCCTCAAGACCACTTGGAAGACTGTCGAACTCTTGGCGGAGATGATGACGAGTCGGTTGGCCCTCTAGATTAGCCATGACGAGTTTGGCATATAAAAACATTCCTGTAGCTAACTTAATATGTTATGGGATAGGCCTAGGAGTTATCGAGGAGATACCATCAGACTTATCTAAGACATTATGTTGGATATATCCTTGTTCTTCTGCATCCAGCTCGAACTTCCGCTGCACCACGCTAGCTCTGTGTCCAATATACACCTTTAGGTCTTCTATTATGTCTTCACGATTGATCTCAATCCTTGTCCCCATCAAAAGAGCTCTTCTAATATCCGACTCGTCACGACTGGAAATGAACAGCCGTATCTTTCCAGGCTTATTATTGTCGCAAATATTGATAATATTGTTGAGAAAATCCAAGGTGCATTTTCTTTCGGTAGAATCGCATTCATCTATACCGTCAATAACCAAGAACGCTAGTGGAACGGCCTGTAGCATGTTGCGAAGGAGTCTCTTGCATAGCTTCGTGGAATGTAACGAACTTTCCCCACTCCTGATTGCCTCGTCGTAGTAGAAAGGTATAAGATCGTCTTGCTGATTTATTAACTGACTTAAGAGCCCTTTTGCGATTGATGTGAATGTATTCTTATCTGGATCTCGATGTTTGCAATAGAAAAGCGCTATAGGCCCATGATTCTTCTTTTTGATCTCGTCCACGATCACAGATGTGAGTACACTCTTACCTATCGAAGGAGAATTTAATTAACGCAAACATTGTATGGAAATTTCATAACGTACCTGCCCCTGGAATTCCACTCAGCCAAATAATAGAAGATTTGGGTACTTGGGGAGCTACCCACGCCTCGATTTCATTATGCTGGAGAATCCAATGCGCTGTTTGTCGGTTAGTGACGTCCAATTGTTCTTTCCGTACAGAACAGAGAAATTCGTGATCTAAAAGTGACTTCGGTGCCATCATCCATTGCATAATATATGCCTTCTTTTCTGAGGTACGGTGAGCCTGAGCCTGTTCGAATTCCTCTTGGGTTTTTCGCCTATCGTATTCATAGTTCTGGATGTGAATTTGGGTTGCATAACTTTCTACAAGAGCTTTCTGGCGCTTAAGATCGCTAATAATGTGATGAAATCGGCCGTTGAAATCCTTCCAAAGGGACCGAAAAAAAAGTCGTATCACTATATTATTGTTAATGAATCAAAGGTATATCTGATGTATTATCTCTTACTGGACTGCCCAAAAATGCGCAAAGCCTGGATATGAAAATCGAAGATATCGACCCAAATACATTGAAGAAGTTCCTGCATTGAATCGCTCTCTCTGAACAAATTCTGGTAGATTTTGAACGTGGGTAAGTTCTCTGCAATGAGTTGATATGCATCGAGTAGTGCGTCAAATGACTCAAGCCAGGTTGCAGCAGTCTACATTTTGGAATAGTCAACTCAGCATGTCCATATTTATGTCCGACTAGGTATATACACACCAGAAGCAGAAGCTTTATTGGGCCCCATATGAATGCAAGCATTTCGGAAATATTTAGGAATGTTTCAACAACTTTTCCAAACTGCTCCATAGCTTCCAAAAATGAAGAGATCCTATCCATGTGCATCATCTTCTTCCGATCTCGCTGGTCTCTCTGTATGGCTAATATGGTCACTTTCAAATCATCAAGTGTGGCAACTTGAAATTGTGCTGTTTCAGAAGGAGTCAATCGACTCCTGAAAGCGGCCAGGGCCTTATCAAAACCGCTTTGAGGAGCGGACGCTTGAGGAGAAACCGACGACGTTGACGCCATACCTATCAGAGGTTCATGTAAAGCTTTTGTGTCTCGTTTTCAAAATGTCGGGGATTAATTTAAGCCGTAAACTACGAAGTGAGTTTAGTCTAGAGGAATATTAACCATAATATGGGAGAAAAAAAGAAATGTTTTCCGCTAATTTACGACACAGCCTTACGTCCATCTAATCAGTGCCGGTATTTGGTTAACCCCGGCATGTTGCACGCTGTTTAGGTACCTATGCATGCATAGCCACATACCACAGCCTACAGGAACGCCTTGCAGTTAGCCGTATGCCTTTTTGATTAACTTTAAGTTCTCCGACATATATTATAATTCTAAAGTTATGGGTTACGACAGTTTTAAGCATGAATTAAGCAATCACAATAACACCCCAGAACATAATATCGGGCTAGCCTCGTCCTACAGAGAGAGTATACGTTCTTTTGGTTGTGACGTCTCTATCATGGCTCAGGATTCATTGTGGGATGACACCGTTTTCCAGGAGCTGCAGAATCAAAATAATTTCCAAGGAGATCCGAATACCAACACAAACGGCCGCGAGACATGGTTGACAACCGTATGCCAATGGGCAGATAAGTCATTCCAGCCGAATAGGCCGGATAACAACGCCCTACAAGCCATTGATGCCGAGACCTTCACGGCTGGGGGTGCCCGCTTCTGCTGTTACGGCATGGTGAGATTTTATTTAACATCTATTAACAATCTCTAAATGTTAAGGAATAGTATATCTAGATACCTAACGCAACTGTCAAGCTCGTGGGAAGCATGGCAGAAATCGCCGCCAAAATCGACTCGACTCAGCCCTACCAGTCTTTTGACGTATCAAAGTGTGGAAATTATTTTATGCTCAAGTTCTCGGACACTGACGTATTTGCTCAAGTCAGTGAACTAATTTCTCGTGGCCTCGTGGGGCTACAAGAACATCAGTCTGTCGAAATTAGAGCGTTTGCCGAGACATGTCGAATTGATCATGTATGTTCTCGGGCTAAGAAACCAAGTGAGGCAACACTCGAATTAGAGATAAATATATACGGTCCTGTGGATGATGCCAAAAAGATTGGAAATATATTAGGTTCCGCTAAAATCTTTCTTCAGGATCCAGACCACGGCGTTCAAGACATCGAGTATTATAATCCGCATATCATACAGTTCCCTGGTATCGAAGAGCCGCCACCTCGAAATGTAAAAGAATGTTTTCTTACGAATGAGTCAAGCCATAAAGGTGGCGTGAGGAGAATACATGATGGAATTGATCACACAATCTCAGCCGTGTATCACTCTCTCACGAGGTTTCGAAATCTAGAAAGAACTCAGGGTGTGCATATCACAACACAACTCTTACCGTAAGTTGATACTTACCTAAATCATAGAAGCTATTTATGGTTTCATTTACCTATCATATAAGATTTATGTCTTTAGTCAATGCTAATTTAATGTATTTATTATTCATAGACATCAAGAAACAGCGCTCTATTTCATGATGCAAAGAGAGCGTGGTCCTATATCTCCAAAATATAGTCTTTGGTCGTATGAGTGCAACATAATGACCCCATTGTAAGTAATATTGGACATACTTACTTCCCTGGTACATATATAGGTCAGTTAACGTTAACCTGGCTTGTTAGATATCGCCACAAATTGACACATTCTGAGTCAGCCGAGGTTCCTGACGAACTAAGCGGTGGCATCCTCGCAGACGACATGGGAATGGGGAAATCACTAAGCGCACTAGCACTTATCACTAAAACCGTTGATTTTGCCCAATCGTGGTCTAAAGAAGTGCCATCGACTACGGAAGGACTTCGTGCCCGAGCCAGCCTAATCATCGTTCCATCTACTCGTAAGTATCAGTCAAACAACATAACCTTCAATAAGGTACTTAGCAAGGTTATAGTGATTATGAACTCTTGGCTAAAAGAGGTTGAAAAGTAAGTATTCTCAAGATGATAGCCAAATATTAAACGGTTACTAACAGTGAAAGGCATCTGGATAAATCTATCGTCATCGCGAAATACTATGGGAAAGCTAGGAATGACGATATTACAGAATACTTGGGGTGTGACATCGTATTTACAACGTACCACACTATTGCCGCGAGTATGAATCAGAGGGATAGCATTATATTTCAAATCTCCTGGTTTAGAATCATTCTTGATGAAGGTAGGCGTTAAGTACCTAACCTAATCTAACATATGGTTTGGACGAGTCTCCCACGAACATTACTAACCTATGGCTAATCACAGCACATATGATCCGTAGGCGGGAGACGACGCTTTACCAAGCAGCCAGCCAGCTCTCTGCAAAATACCGGTGGTGCCTGACTGGGACTCCAATCCAAAACCGCCTCGAAGATGTCGGGTCCCTGCTTGCGTTTCTCCGCATTAAAGAACTTGAAAACAGAGCAGTTTTCAGAAATAATATTATATTGCCGTTTTCTGATCATTTCGAATCAGCCGTCCACAATCTGGCCTTTCTTTTAGATTGCGTATGCCTCAGGAGGTCTCAGGATCTGCTACGTTTACCTAATATTACAGAGAGATATCATTATGTGACTTTGAAGGAAGATGAAAGGAAGCAATATGACGATATGCTTGAGGACATGTCTAATATGATCAGTGAAAAAGTACGAAAGGCACCAGGAAAGCGTGATCATTTTGGTATCTTTCAAGTCCAACTCCAGCTTCGTCTTCTCTGCAACCATGGCACTTTTCAAAAGCCATTCACGAGTCGTCATCCTCGCGACCGAAAGGTAGAACGTGAGGAGTTTTTATATTCGCTAGGAACAAATGCCGAGTTTCTCTGCTCAATGTGTGGCGTTCCCATTCCTGTCTTTGATATTAGCGGAGGTCCCGGCTCACGTCAGTCATGCAAGCATAAACTCTGTAACGAGTGCCATTCGCAGAACCAATGTAATGCAGACCAAACTGACGAGATCAATGATTCTTCTTGTCCCTTATGCAGCAGAAATCTTGGGCATGGGGTTGGCTTAGTCGCGAAGAGATCTCTCGAGGGAAAGGACGATGACGATGATGGTTATTTCAACCGGTCTGGATTCTCGTCCAAGATACAGGCCCTTATGGAGGACCTGGCAGAAAGCCCCAGAGACGCGAAGAGGTATATTAAATGTAACCTGCCTCTTGTTATATTGGCGCTGATTTTAAGAATATAGTATCATATTCTCTGGTTGGACAAGAACACTGGATTTGATATCCGTACATCTTAGGAAGAGACGTATGCTCTTCCAACGGATAGATGGTGACCAATCTCTTCAGCAGCGTCAATATAATATGGATAGGTTTATACAAGATAGAGGCATCCCAATTCTGCTGATGAGCACGGGAGTAGGGGCATTCGGGTGAGTTCTCTTAGCATACCATAAAGAAATCGCCATATTAACCCCGCACAGTCTTAACCTTACAGTAGCTAACCATGTATACATCCTTGAGCCCCAGTGGAATCCGAGCGTGGAGAGTCAGGCCATCGGTCGGGTATCTCGCCTAGGCCAAAGCAAGCCCGTTTCGGTGACGCGGTACATCGTTCGAGGAACAGTAGAAGTTGTAAGTGCATATACGAGAAGATTGAAAGAAACCTACTGCGACCGATTACTAAAACCTGGGCTAGAGCATGCAATCTCAACAGATCCGGAAGGTAGATCTTGCAAACGTTGGGTTTCAAGACGTCAATCCCGATGAGTCTTAATACATAACAAACGCATGTGCATTGGAGTTCATACACATAATTTTGATTTGCAGCTCCACCATAGCTTCCGCATGTGGTTGTTATTTGCTATTGTAAACCAGCGGGTGCTTGGAAAGTAGAAGGCTTATACCTAGAGATCAACTCGAAAAAGGGGGGCTCTTCAGAAGCACACTTCATGATATCATATTGTAGATTAGTTTCTTTTATCAACGAAATAGTTAGGGATATATTAATTCTTCAAATATTCGTATTAAAATACCATCTACAAGATTTCAAATTAAATCTTGAGTGGTTTGATACTATCTCGCATACAGCTTTCATTAGCAATGCTGCTCAAATCAACTATGTACCTAAGGTAAATGAGCCTACCAACAAATTTGTACCACTAAAACGTGGTAATTAAGTATACTACGTAGAATTTAGTTTCGGCATCCCGTCGGGTTTGCTTTGGTACTGGAATATGTGATCTATGCTCAAAACGAAGACGCGTAAGCTCAGTTAGCATAGAGACCCAGTTTCATCTTTCTCCTACTCTTTCCAGCTATCAACTAGACTAACATATAATTGAGGAGTAGTTGTATACAGACTGTTGAGTCCTAAAGTAGCTAGGTAGAAAGGAGGATGGGGTACTCTAGATAGTAGTAACGAAGTTGACGCGTAGGCAACTTTACTCGTAGAGGCAGGTAGCATACCGATAAGCTTCATATTTTCCGCACCTAAGATGGAGTTATACCACACGGCGGGATTAATATTAGTAAACTAAACCCTTCTCACAATATGTGATGGTGGTCTCGTTAGAGCGAAAGCGGACGGCGAAAGCGATTTGCGGTCTTCTATAAACGAAGGGCGCCACAGAGGACTACGTACGCACTGAGTGGGGTAGGAGTAACTTCGGTAGCGTAGTAAGGACATTTAGTTTCTTAGCTAGCGGCTCTCCTAATTCATCTTTATTACATGGTAAGACGTAGACCGGGTCCCTGAGTCATTGTCCCTAGCTTACGAGGTGGGTTTTAGAAATTTGGCGGTCTCGTCTCCAAAGGAGGCGGTGCCAAGGATGATGCCAATGGATATGTCAGAAGTCTAATCGCCTAAGCTTAAAGAAAATAAAGTGACTAACTAGTCCATAGACTGTGGTTTTCTTTGTCCTGACCAACTAACACGACAATAGACTCCGTACCAAGAATTAAACGATTGTAAATTGGACAAACTATTCGTTTCACAATTGCCTAATGCATAAAAAAGGAAACAATCCAAGGGAAACCGATTAGAATACCTATGACGTGTCTGATGACTGAAAAGTATATTTGTGTGTAGTCAACATTTTATAAAAATCTTGATATTTAACATTAAATCGAAATTATAAAATCAGAAGCTTCCCTACGTGATTAACTATACTGGATAGACATCTCACCTAGATACATCTCTGGTAGATTATAAAGAGTCGAAATATTCCTTACTATTAGATAATCGTCCGGCGCCGAGTGGAGTCATTTGCTGTCACTACCGATAAATATTTGTCCGCATCCCGGCCGTGGTCCCACTTTATCATTCCGTAATGGAGTCTACTAATAAGGATGAACGAGATGGAGTTCTATACTTCGCTTATGGCTCCAACCTCTCTTCAGTTCAAATGCGCAAGCGATGCCCTAAATCTAAACCCATCGGCCTTGCATATCTATCCGGCTGGAGATGGATTATCAATGAGCGAGGCTATGCCAATATTGTGGAGGACAGGTCCAAAACAGGGGGCATTTACGGTATCATCTATCGTTTACATCCGGATGACGAGGAGTGTTTAGATATAAACGAAGGTGTCCCATGGGCTTACGAGAGGCGATTTATCGAAGTTGAAGGCTTGACAACTACGTCTACAGCGGAAGATAAAGGGGTGGAGGGAGTTGAATCAACTGATCAAGAAAAAAAGTCTGAGAAGATTCAGGCCCTTGCATATATCGACTTCCACCGAATCCGACCAAGTCGTCCAAAAAACGAATATATTTACCGCATGAACGACGGAATTGACGAAGCTATGATGCAGTGGGGACTACCCGAGCAATATGTTGATTCTGTTTTAAGGCCATCCATCCCCGCCGGGGGTAAGTAATAAATTTCAGAACACGATGGCTGCAACTAATTCTTTAGTACGTCGATAGTAAACCGATAATAATTAAAACCCAACTATGATCTACCCAATATGCTCCAGTATTCCCCAGTGTATGTTATGTTCACGTAAGCGCCTATATACACATGCATTCTCTTCCCAAGTCAATAATCCCCATAGATATGAAGATCGCAAAACCCCAATTACTCCATCTTCACCCAGTTCGGATATACTGGTATATACTCCCTGTGTACATGTACAAATAATGTCCCAGGTAAAGAGAGCCTAGAGTAGGTCGAAGTCCCAGCTTCAAGCTACAATCGTCCTCTGAGTAATATACAACCCATTCTCATTTTAAGTCTGGCGAACAGATCTACATGATACACGCGTGAATATCTTAGAGGGTGTAGAAAAAGTCTGTTATAGTACAGCCAGTCAGTTTGTGTAACATATGATGAAAGGAACAGGAAATATAGTTTAACGTACCTGGGTGATAATCACCAAGCTCCTCAATGCTCTTAAGTCTTAGTTCGTTGGACTTTTCCGTGTATTGATTCTCTGCCTTCTTCTTGTTTAGGTAGGCTAGGTAAAATCTAAGGGCCACCGTCGAGACTAGCATCATGATAGCCATCCCCAGAGCTGCTGAATTACCAACGCTATCTATAAGTAGGGGGTCAGTAAGGTGCCATCGAAATCATTCTGTTGTATGATTGGCTTACAATACGGGGGGTCCTGGTAGGCCTGGTTTCCAGAGATAGCGAATAAATGCGGGAATACGTTGAAAAATGCCAAAACTGAGCCCCTATTTATAAATCATTAGTCACCAAGAATCGAAATAGTGAGCAAACGGGGGGGTTCATACCTTCGCGTATAACCAACAAAGGACATGGCAGCCCAGGACATTTGTAGTACGGTAGAGGGGAAAATAGAGAATGCAATAAAGCATGTTGCGGCGAATCGAACTTCCTTGTTTGTAACCCAAATCAAGACTGCGTAGCCTATCACTGCCGGAATGAGGGAGACTGCTTGGACAATTCCTCGGGCGTTCGTCTTATCGGCAATCCTGCTGAAGAGTAGAATTCCAATACAGCCACTCACATACACGATGATGGTGAATAGCTGAGCGTTGACGTCGCTGTACCCAAAACCTTGAATGATATCCGGAAGGAAATTAGATAGCGACGACTGGCAAAAAGAGCCTCCGCAGCTGGTGAGTATGAAGAGCCAAAAGTGACCGTCCAGTAATACTTTCCAGATCTTTTTGAATTCTACGCTTCCCTCTTCAGTGTTGTGTGCTTTGGCGCTCCTTTGGGCGATGTGCTGCTTCTCTTCCTCGGTAAATCCGTATTTAAGGTGCTTCGGACTACTCGGCAAGAAAAAGAATACGACAAGAGAAAATAACATAGGTGCGATACCTTCGATAAGGAAGATCCATCGCCACGCTCTCCATCCATTAACGCCATCTAAGCCGTTATCAATAGCATAAGCGATCATGCCGTTGAAAGCGCCGGCAATGGTGGACATAGAAGCAAGAATGGCACCTCGTGTTGCAAACTCGGAGTATTGGTACCAAAAGGAGAGATCTATAGAAGAGTTTTGAGTTAGGAAATGAGCCATAGGATAAGGGGTATGCGCCTAAGTAATTTAGGCTGCTAAGGGAATATGAACATACAGAATACACCGCCTTGGACGAAAGACTCCGCTGCTCCAATGAGAAATCGAAGAGCCAATAGTTGTCCGTTATTCGAGATGAAGACAGTCATGACAGTCAAGAAACCCCACTGTTAAAATGCAAGATAAAAATCCCCGTTAGCCCAAATCCCGGATCAGAAGGGTAAGCTGGAGTCTGCGTTTGTCCTACCACTAGCATGGCTCCACTGAACTGTCTGTTCGGGTGAATCTTCTTGATCAAGAGCGTTCCCGGGAGTTGGAAAATAATCGTTGCCACCAAAAGCACGGTCGCCGCATTTGAAAAGTCTCCAGGGGAGAGGTTAAGTTCGTCACTGAGGCCAGCTACCTTGGCATTTCCGAGATCAGATTTGCCCTATACGGCAGTTAGTATAGACTGCCGAGTATAATGGAAACCCTAGTAGCGGCTAGTATAATATGCGACTGACCATCGTGGCGAAGAAGTAAACACTTGATAAGAGCGGCAGGATGAAGATGTCGAGTTTCCATTTTACTCTACGAGAAAGCTTCGGATCAAACTCTTCCACTTCGGCCTCCTTAGGAATATCGTCCATACTACTCGGAGTAATCGTTTGTAACAAGATATTTTCGCGGTATTCCGTTGGCTCTACCAAAATCTTGTCCGTCGAATTGTTGTTGTAAGCCATCTTTGCGAAGATGGTATAAATGTGCTAAGTGAGTGTTGTTGTGAGATAGAGAATAGAATCCGAATGTAAATGCAGATGTTTACGAGTCGGGATGTCTTATAAGTATCAAATCACACTCCGAAAAGTTATCCTATTGAGCGTAAGTCGCGTTTCGAGGCCCCAGCGCTGGGCATTACAGGGGGATGATGTTTCTAAAGTAGGCGCAGGCTGAGTTTACGACGAAGACAAACTATCGCTATAGTCGTCGATCATAACCGTTTTTAGTATGATACAACACCAAAAAAATCGTTGATGCACATCACCTACCTATCTAACCTATCTTCAACCATCAATTGCCCATGTCTCAAGGGTCGTTGGAGTGAAACCCCTCAAGCATTATCACGAGCGGCGTTTTGCAAAAGTAGCCATTTGCGATTTGTTACCAATTGTCACCAATTGTCACACTATGTCCGCGTCATTATGCAGTGAAAAAAAAGTCGTCGTACAACCCGGAAGCCAAGAGCTCCAACCCGGCTGCGGATTTGGACTCAGCCTGCATTCTGCTATTGGTTGACTAGGATATATTGAATAGAGCGAATTTCGCTTTTAAATGCCGGCTCCGCGTCTAGGATCTACAGAAGCCCGAGCGAGATTCGCTCCACCTTGTTCACTTATTGAACCACGACGGAACGGGGCACATGTCAATATGCCGGTCGAGTACAAAACAGAAGCCGCGCGCCCAGAGCCGAGAGGAATGTGGTAGGTCACTTACATACACATGTCAATCTATTTCCCGATATAAATCTTGGCTCCAACTGCCGTATAACCCAATAGGTACCTACAGCGTAACATACGTACACACACACATACACACACATACACATACACAGAAATCATATACCACACAACATGGACAAATTATTGAGTGCTTCAGTGGTACCCCTGAAGTTCCGTAAGAATGCGCTTCTTACCGGACATATTCCCTATAAGTCACTCGCCTCAGACCCACGTGTGTCTTACACTCTCTACGTGCCCGCCGAGGCTTACAATCAACGCCACCCCGATGGGGCTGAACCGGGACCCAATAAGCTTCCTCTATTAGTAGCTGTTCACGGAACTAGGCGTGACGTTTTTAACGTTTATGATCTGGTCCCCTTTGCCGAATCTACGCCGTGTGCCGTACTCTTACCGTTATTCCCCACCGGCCTAGACGGACCAAATGATATCGACTCTTACAAGCTATACCGATCTAAAACTGTTCGTCCCGACCTTGCTCTGCTGTCAATGCTAGATGAGGTGGCAACCAAATGGCCTGCCATCGATACAGATAAAATCTTCCTTATGGGATTTAGCGGAGGTGGTCAGTTCTCTCACCGGTTTTTGTACCTATACCCCGAGAAGTTGGCTGCCGTAAGCATTGGTGCTCCGGGGCGTGCCACGTTCCTGGACGAAGACCAAAACTGGCCAGCAGGTATTAAGGACGCGGAGAGCGTTTTCGGGAAGGCCGTCAATAGAGGACTTATCAAAAAGGTCCCCATCCATCTCGTAGTTGGAGACCAGGACGCCGACATTCACGGCGGTGACGAGTTCTGGGTCTGGGTGAAGAAATACATGGGCCAACCAAGTGACGGAGAAAAGGGGCCGCAGATTATCGAGCAAGGAAGATTTAAGACTATTCACGACCTGCAGGACTCGTGGAAGCGCGAGGGTATCGAGTCAAAGCTCGACGTCGTCCCAGGAGTGGCTCATAATGCTCGTGGTGTCCGCAGCTTCGTATTGGACTTTATGCTACCCCAGATTCAAAGGAAGCTCGGAAACTAAACGGAGACGTTAAAAACTTAGCTTCGATTCTGCTTTAGCTAGTCGCGATATTTATTTTTAGCATTATTCCACGTAGGTATTATGGGTGGGCCGAACTCCACCATATATGATATCTACCTGTACCTAAGCTGTTACGGTTGAAGCCCGAATCACACTAGGTAATCCTAGTGCACACGTGTTGGTTCAAGGTGGATTTTACTTGAAACGCTATACTATTAAGCGTTCCTTATATATTTCAACTAGCATAGGATAAACTCATATTCTAAATAAACACTATTAAGAAATACTGAAATGGCAACAATTTAAGTGTACCTGCAGAATATATAGGTATCAATCCAATTCTTTTGCCAACTACTTAGACCTCGTTTATTCGAATATTTTGGCAAGCTGGGTAATAACCAAAGTAGCAATGTGATGTTAGATGTGTTATCTTTATACACTAGTGGTTCCCAAGCTGTATGAAGGCCAACGCAGATCCGGAACCCTCATATTCCATTTACTATAACCTCCTCCTTTTCCGCCAGCCGATACATCTACGTTTTGGTACGGGCCAACGATAATTGTCGACCTGAGAGGGTTATTTACGAGGGAGACAATCTATTTTGGCCTTTTTAGAAGTCCATTCAGCCTTAAAGCTTTCACGAAATAACTCGAAAAGCGATTCAAACGCACCCCCTATTTCGCCAAAATCAGCAAGAAAAGAGTGAGTCTTGGAAGCTCTACCGCACTACTATCGTATGAAGAGCAAATCATGTTTACACCAGTTAGGAGTGTATAGAAGTAAATATATCCTGTATTTAATGTGACGAACAATCATATCTTTATTTATTGGCTTACTAATATTTCATCATTACTAAAAACAATTTTATCATAATGGTTTCTCCCTTCTCTCCCGACTACATTATAATCGGCGGCGGCACTTCTGGCCTCGTTTTTGCCAACCGCTTGTCCGAAAATCCCAATGTTAAAGTACTGGTGCTCGAGGCCGGAAAGGATCTTTCCACCGATCCTAGAGTCAACGTTCCAGCCTTCTGGACATCACTGATGGGCTCCGATGCCGACTGGTAAAAGCTTTGTCGACACACAACTGCTCCCTGAGAATTTTGCCAGCTTGGGATGCACCCCTTTTCCCGTGGCGCGACCCGTATATCGTCTCCAGATATTGACGCAATTCTCAACATCGACCCACAATACTTCTCGCATCCCACTGACCTAGAAATCATGGCACGCCACATCCAGGCACTCGATACGCAGTTATGTCCTTCGAAGGCATTAGCACCCTTCTTCAAGCCTAACGGGAAGCTCAATCACCCAGATGCATTCCACTTCGGGGATTTGGACGGGGCTAAAAAGTATGTTTTCGACACAGTCACTACAGCGTACCATGGTTGCGGCTCGGCGGCTATGCTACCAAGGGAAAGGGGGGAGTGGTGGATCCAAGACTTATTGTGTATGAGACAGAGAATATCCGCATTGTTGATGCTAGTATCTTCCCTCTTATCCCCCACGACAATATCTTGTCTTCAGTCTATGCCGTTTCCGAGAAGGCGGCAGATATAATTAAGGGTAATTGATCGAAAACATGTAGACTAGTCCTTGCGGACGATATTTACATCAGTTGCGCATGAATACCTAAGATAGTAAATATACTAAAAACTATCATCACGAAGAGCGTATTCCTAATTCCCTTGCCCTCCACTTCGCTCCTCTTTCTCTTTAGCCTCCTTTAGCTCTTCGTTATATTCAAGGATACTTTCGATTTTCGGTTCGAGGATACGTAACATGTTTAATGCAGTATGAACACCATACCATGCTTTCTCGTTAGTATTGACGAGCCTGGCCCTGGCGTCATTAAGCTGGCGTATTGCGTATGGCATCCACTCGAGAGCTGAGATAAGTGTACTTTCTGCATCGTCAGATAGAATCTCCCAAGGTTCAAGATCACAGACGTAGTCGGAAAGTATGAACAATTCCGCTAGGATCTTTTCTGCATCATCTTCATCCTGGACGCTGAAATCAGGAAATTCCGGCTTCGCCATATTGAGAAGTACGTCAAGGCACAATAGATCTATAAAGAAAGATTTATGTCTTGAGGCGTTTATAAATGTGGGAATGGTTTATGTGTTACTCATATCGCATATGATGCTCGAACTTTAGGAAGTTCTAATACAATAAGGGCAATTATTATTGGAAAGACATGATTGCACTTACGTATTACTCAATTAAAACTCATTGTGTGCATGATTCTTTAATGTTTGATAGTCAGTTTTAGTATCCCTATCACCTATTAGACTCTTAGCAAGGTGGTGTTGAGATTAGTGAGTTGCAATTATGATGGTAGAGGAGAGGAAACCTCATCTTTAGCCTTAGTCTAACTTGTACTAAAGCCAATAATGAGCAAGGTAACTATTATCATTCTAATATCAGGGATCCAAGTGGTGTCTGAATCAATGTGTTTGCCTGACATGTTCAGGATTCATCCCGCGTCTCTACAATGTGTCAATACTCTTGCTCACCAGTGACTTGCTAGGGGTACGTGTTAACCAACTGAAGATAACGGTTTGCGAGACACTAATTATCAAACCAAAACCTATCATGACTCTTAAGGATCCATAATGCATGGTCCTTTTGATTTATTCCTTGCCCAAACGGCGGGAAATGTGCGGCTATTCTACCTGGTCTCTTGAACAGCTCTAGGTTTGTATGGCTAAGGGGAACGCGAAAATCGGCTGGTAACTCTCATGGCCACGACAGCTTCCTGCGCCACAAAATCAAGAAATTATAATGCGCCCATATTGTTCCTTTCATAGATAGCGAGTCGATACTAACACGACGTCGTAAATGCGTCCAATGTTTTTACTAAACTACTTCGATTCTGATAACCAGTGTAACTATACCCCATAAGTGTTGGGCACGAAATGAGTTCTTAGCCCAGCTCAGGATGAAATGGTGAGACGCAAACTAAGCTATATCTGATCCCTGTTAGAAATGTTCTAGAATAATATTAGAAGGAGATTCCCAACTTACGCCTCCATATTTGATCTTTTTGATCGGGATCATTTCCAATAGAATCCTACGCACTCTTCTACTTTTAGCACTACGGCATATGTCCCAGTCGTGATACCACATATATGGAACCTGAGCAGGGGAAGCCCTTGCAACATCTCGTTCTAATCTACCTAATGCCTGCTCACTTGGCAAGTAAGCATTAGGGGTTCCGGGGTTCTGTTAGGGCTGTAAAGGTGCCATAGCGGCGTAGGCGGCACGGTTCTTATGTAGGTCTAAACCGCCTCTTGTGGGGCGTTTGAATATCGCGCCGATTCCACCATTGAACACAATAATAGAACCTATTTATCAAAAAGGTAATAAGTAAGTGTCTAAGATATGCAGGAAGTTATATAGATGTTTATAGGTATTTGAATTATGCTGAGGTAATTTTACATATTGACAACTGAAGACTTTGAAAGACGCAAAACATGCCACTTTACATAGGATGGGTACAAAAGTCAGGTCTTCACCAATCAGATGTAAATGGATAATATACCGTATCTCCCTTGCAACTGGAAGACATAAGATCAAGAAGAGCCAACAAGAAATCTAATATATGTAAATAAATAAAAACCTCCCCCGATCTATTACTATAACGAGGTTTAAATGAAGGATTTCGTGTTACTGTGTTGATCATTCCCATGCTGGTGAAATTGGGCAAATATCGAGACTCTTTGACATCATATGACGTTAATCATAACATTATCGTGACGCTATCTCAGTTCTACAAACAGGACAATAAGAAAACTCCAAGTATTAACCTTTTCAATTCAAACATAATGGATCAAGGAAACAGCATAGATTATAGCTACTAAACATCTTTGAATGGAATTTTGTAATCTCTGACTCGAGTCGAACTGTTAGTGAGAACAACGCCAACCACTAAAGTGAAAACATAATTTCCTAAAATGGCAACTCCACTACGCACCATCGCGGCCGCAGGTCTACGCCGTGTCCGCTCGGGCAAAGCCACGGGAGCAAATCTACCTAAGCCTATGCCTACCATCACTAATAACATCGTATACCGTCCCTTCACAGCAACAGCACCAATTGCATTGTCATCACCGCAACCCAAAATCCTCCTTGATGATCGGGACTCCGGATTCGGGTTCGTGCGGCATAACCCGGCGCCGCCGAAGCCACGTACCCGCTCCGTGACCGAGATCCGGGGACCATACTACAGCGTCATGGGCCCACGATACCTCTCTGATGTGCTAGAGACGATGGGCACGCATGTCGACGGGCTCAAGTTCGCCGGCGGATCTTTCAGCCTGTTCGCAGAACCTCCATTGCGACAGTTGATTGACCTAGCGCATTCGCACGGGGTTTACGTGAGTACGGGCGGTTGGATCGAGCACGTCCTAGCTTCTAGCGGCGGCGACATAGCAGGGGCCGTCGATAAGTACCTAGCCAAGTGCAAGGACCTAGGGTTTGACGTGATCGAGCTGAGCACGGGGTTCCTGTCGCTACCGCCTGACGACTGGCTGCGACTAGCAGAGCGCGTGCAAAAGGCGGGTCTGAAACCCAAGCCCGAGCTCGGCATCCAGTTCGGCGCCGGCGGCGACACTTCCGCTGCGGAGCTACAGAGTATCGGCACGAGCGACCCGAGCAAGGTGATTAATATGGCGAAGCGGTTCGTGCAGGACGCTGGCGTCGAGCGTGTTATGATTGAGAGCGAGGGCATCACGGAGAATGTGCAGGCTTGGCGCACGGATGTCATCCAGGCTATTCTACGAGAGTTACCGCTAGAGAATGTCATGTTTGAGGCGGCTGATCCGTCGGTTTTCAACTGGTGAGCTTTATTACATATTTAAGATTCTCTCCTCTAGTATACATATGGTCTAAGAAGCTGACTCTGCATTCCATGTAGGTACATTCGAGAGTTCGGCGTCGATGTCAATCTCTTCGTTGACCACTCTCAGATCGTCCAGCTAGCTGGACTGAGAGCTGGTATTTGGGGCAAGAGTGACACCTTTGGCAAGATTACTACTTACCGACCTTAGGAAATTTACCGAATTAGTAGGATTGGATAAAGATTTTCCCATATTGCCCTATTATTTATTAAACAAGATCATTTACGAAAGGCCGCTTATTATCGGTCGACGTTGTGTTTACGGGTCAAATGGACGCAGCCGTTTTTATCTTAATTTTACGTTATGAACGTCTAGGAGAGTGATTATTTACGCCACTCGGCGCCATTGCGAGTTGGGGTAGGTAATAGATAGGTACCTAAGGCTTCGTGGGTTGTCACCTTATTGCTTAGGATATTATTATCTATATTGACTCAGCTGTGAACAGACATTCAACAGCCCGCATGTGTAAAACCAGGGTTGAGTCTACCTTCACCTGCAATGCCCCTGAAGTAACCCTTTATGCATATCAAGATGTGCCAGTATGACGCTGTAATCGTTCGATACCACATGCCACACGAGACCCTTCTCTCAACTTTACCCCATCAAAAAATTCGGAATAGAGGCAACGATGATGCCAGGAACGTAACATTCGGTGTTATTGTATTCAGTGTGACATTACTTAATATCAGAAAACAAGAAACTTTTTGAGTCCATCAGCCCATAAGTAGTAGGTAAAATACACTTCCAAATATATTCAGAGACAATTAATGCTCATCCATTGAACCTCACGGTTCGGGGAGGTCAACCATGCATCTACTCTCTATCGCACTTATCCACCGACCTAAAGTAGCAGCATGCGAATGTTTCAGATGCTGGCGGAAGTGATCCGCCCGATAAAATTGCTTCGCCGAGTTGCATTCTCCAAACTTGTGAACCTCTTTCACATGATTGAGGCGGTCTTCCCAATCTTGTTCATTAGCATACATTGGAACGCCCTCTCCGTTCCGAGGGAAGTCTTCTCCGCAATACCCGCACGTATCAGATATGCCTAACTGGCTGGCGCTTTCCTGGAAGACATTCATATAGCCGACGCTTAACATGTTCGAACAAGCCCAAGCGTGTCTTCGAACGTGGAGGCTGTTCTCGTGCCGCTCAGCTTCGTTCTTTGACTTAAAGCGAGCACCACAGAAACTACACTGGTGCCGTTTCTCTGCTTTATGAGCACTATTGGATAGTTAGCATGTCCTATAGAGTTTGGAATTAATAGTCTAGATTCAGATAGACCCCAGATAGAATTGCACCTCTTACCTTAATTCTTCCATAGTTTCGAACTTCTTTGGTTTCTTTGGGCAACACTCGCAGAGGAAGAAACCTGAAAGGCTTTCTTTGGGAGAAGCAGGTATGTTTATTGGTCGTCGTTTATTTATTGTCCTTGGGAGTTCAAGGAAGCTCTCGTTGCTGCTCTTGTGGTGTAATGAAGACCTATGACCCTTCGATGGACTCAAATAGTCGGGTTGATCACGAGGGTTAGGTGGGCTAGTACCATAGAGTTTTGCCATCTCCGCCAAGCTATCCCCGCTCCCATTCCATCTAGTTGAACTACTAGTACCATAAGCAAACGAATAGGCAGAAGACATTGGAGAGCCTGGACTAGCTATCGAAAAGGTTCGACTCCGTACGTCTCTACTATCCAACATGCTAGAAGAACTTCCATTTCGCCGGATGAAGTTCACATCTTGTAAGGGGGACCCAGCCCGACGCTTCGCACTAGATCGAGTTCTTAATGGAACTGAAAATCGACCTTGAGTCTGCGTTAACTTATGAGACTGGAAGTTTGGAGGTCTCGCATTAGATGGCGCATGGTATTCGGCGTCATCATTCCCTTGATACGATGAAGGAGACAATAGTGTGTCTCCCCTAGACTGTGTGATTGAAGGTATGTCTCCGTCATAGTAAAGGCGCCTTAGGTAGTCGACAGAACTAACGGTATCAGATGCCCATGTTTCGCTGAGAAGAGCTTTCTGTGCAAGCCGATAGTACTTCATGAGTCTTACGTCCATATTTTGAGGTTCTTCCTCGAGCGACCAGGTCAACGTTAAAGGATCAAATGAAGCCGATGTCGCGTCAAAGAGTTCTACCGCAAGTAGGAGATAGGTTGAGTAGATTTGTTTTGTCTCCAATGTAAATTGAAATTCTGGTTGGCTCTCTAGGAACCTAATGGTTCGCCGGACATAGGATTGGATCCAGAGACTATAAAAAGCCGATAGCCACCATCTTTTTTCATGAAGTCGGTTTTCTTTTCTAAATATGACTTTCGAGAGCTCATCCGTAAAGGATTTTATATTAGAACTAAGTTCCTGAAAGGGTCGAACACAGCATACGCCGGGTACACAATCATCGTGCAGCTCGTACGTCAAGTGGCCACCATCCTGAAGCCGTAATATATCGATACAATTCCTAAGACACTTGATGGCTAGTGGAACGGCTTGTGACTAGAAGTAAGAAGTTCCTGTTAGCGGAAAATGTAAACGAGAGAATGGATACGTAAACTTTCAACCTACTTGACCATACTCTGTTTCATAGGTAATAGCAGCTTTGATGACGTCGAGAATGTATTCCACGGATTTGATAAGCAGGATTTCTTTCGCTGAAGTAATATCGATGAGACCCCAAGCAATGTGGATAGCATTTGCTTCGATATCATTCCTAAGTGATAGAGATGTATTCGCCATGATAGTCATAGGCGAACATAAAATCTCAAGTACAACTTTTATGTACGTGTCACCCTCAGAAACAAAAACATTGTCGAGGCGATCGGAGGCGTCTTGAAGACATGAACCAACACCCATATCTTCCAGAATATCCGGTCTTCCTTTCGTGTGATTAAAGATAGAATTGGCATCGATTACACCATGCGCATTGGACTTGGGACATAAAGAGATGCGTAGCATATGATCCAGTAGGGTACCACGTTTGCAACCTATAGCCTGCCATCGTGAGTTAATGGTTCCGGTCCTAGGACACGCTTTACATGGTTGATCGGGATCACACTTGGTATTGATCAGCACGTATATTTCATTAAGTTGTAACAATTGACATACCTTCTTACGAAGAAATTTGCATCTCCAACAAGCCCCAACCTCCTTTAATGTACGAGACAATCCAACCCAGGAACCGTGTCTCAATGAAGAGGGTACTGGTCGTGAAGCCATCCGGCTCAAGTCTTGCTCGTCCTCTGAAAGATCATGATATTGTTGGTTTGCCAAAGAGTTATTCCTTACACCTCTTAGTGAACCAGCATTTCCTATTAAACGATGAGTATTAGATTATGTCCCACTGAAAGGTATCTCTGTTGGTTACTAACCTAAGTTTAAGTCACTGGATGACATATTCATATCCATGGCTACATCAGTATGGAGGAAAGGGGATAAGCTGCTTGTATCGAGAAAATTTCTGGGTCGTCTTCCTGTGGTGTTACTGGGTTTCCAACGAGGCGAAGGCAAAGAGACCTGATGTGTGAATGGTGCTATGGAATCCTGAGTTGTCGTACCTAGCTGTTGCGAGTATTGCTCAAGGTCCTTTCCGAAGCTCTTCTTTTGGAGCCGGATTGTCCGGAGAGAATCATTGTAGGAATATTGAAGGTCGAGTTTAGCTGCAAGAGCTTGAATAGTATTCTGCTTAGACGAGTCGCAGTTCTCGATGTCATGATAATGAGCTGATGGGTTATTCGCAAACAACACCAGGGATGCATAGTCGTTTAAAACGATTGGATTATTCATATCTTGAAAACTTAAGCCCGAGGTAGGGTAGATGGATCATATCGGGTCTAGACTTACCCAATACCTCTTCACTTCCGGACCGCCTCCGCTCAATACCACTGTTGACTGTACCACCATAACTCGGCGTATTTTCACACACAGTGTCGATTGTGGCGGAATGAATATCAAATTGGTGAGAATTTGTGTCTCCGACTAGCATGTCGATTTCAGCGGAATCCTCTTCTATGAGATCCATGTCAAAGAGAGCCCAGGGTGTATCTTGGAGGTCTTCCAGATGGAATCCTTCTAAAGGTATAAGATTATTCGCCATATTTGGTGATTGGAAGCTCTAAGAGAACTTCGATGGGGCCCATCTAAGAGATCACTTGTTAACGATGACATTAACAAAACACTTTACACGGTTTCGAGTAGGCAATGGCTATCCAGAGAGACGGCCTAGAGATGTGAAGACGATGAAGAGCGGTCGGCTCATAGGGCATAAGGGTAGGTAGGGCTACCGTAGGGCTGACAGGGCTGACATGGCGGTCCGCTCCATTAAGGGGTTAGCGTCGGTCGGCAGCATCGTAGGGTCGCAAGTCTTCATCCAATCCAACATTGCCATTATCCGATTTATGTACCCACTGCAGCCCGTTCGTAGAGGCGGTCCTCCCGTAGGCATATAGCGGTCTTGAAGTACACGATATGAAGCGCGATATACCTGTTTATACTGGTCATTTGGTCAATTATTTCAGATTCCTTCACCGTCAATCACCGACTGTCCACCTTACCCAGCCCAGGTAAACACCAGAGGTAAAGAAGGTCTTGTAGCATTACGAAGGTATGGCATGTAAAATAAAAATGGCCGAAATATAAGGAAGCAACTCTGCTGTAATGAGGCCAGTTCCAATCCTTATAGCAATTCTCATTTCATTCAATCCATTCCTACCTACTATTCACTATCATGACATCGTACGTAAAGGATCCAAGCGCGTTGCGGGGTATCGGAGCATGGGTCCAGTTCGTTGACGCGCCGCAGACGAACGCCTTTCTAAAGGAGCTAGATACCGAATACACAGAAGTTCCCAAGAGAAATGAAGACAGCAGTGATTCAAAGATCAGAGCATGGGTGTCAAATTTTGACTTGAACTTTTGGCATGGACCCGATAACGCTCTAGATGATAGATTAGACGGTTCGCATTTTCAAAATCAGACCTCAAGTGGTGTTATAGCCCGAGCATCACCTCCCTCAGAAAATAATACGCAGTCAACCATCTTGACTCTAAGCCCAGACTACAATACCCCGACTTGCAGAAACCCTTCTTCAACAGATCAAATGAGACGTATTGGCGCGCAATGAAGACTGAATCGACTTTTTTCCCCAAAGTCAAGTCAATAGGAAACTTGAGGAATCAGTTAATGCACTTAACGGATTATGCATTAATGTCTATTCAATTGGACATGACGACTTTATTATCGAATATAGGTCGTTCAGGTGATCGTTCATGCAAGACGAAGCAGCTGACATGAGGAGTCGGTGTAGATAGAAATTCGAGGGGAAGGGGAGAAAACATTATGGAGAAGGTCTGGGCAGGATGACGCGGGGCGGGCCGACCAAAAATAGTGGTATGCACGTGCATATAAGCACTTTACATAGCACATGAACCGATGTACTAGGTACATATGCATAATAGGGAGGACCCAGGTAATTGTGCATATTCATAACAGGTACCTAGGTACTTAGATATGTATTGCTAAACTACCTCCTCCTAACTAGAAGTTATAAGATATCCAAATCATTAACTATGATATCATAAGTGAATAATAGCAATGTAACTACCGATGGTATAGATGGGCACTACCTTCTTATTTCAGTATAGTTTACGAGCTACCATGTCAGGATCCTCCCCATGTAAAACTTGTCCCAAGTTAAGATTACATAGCTCTCGTGCACTTCACAACTGAGTTCCCAAGTAAGTACCTAAGTTAAAGAAGTCAAGGTACTAGAGTTGTCCATCATTAACCCCGGCAGGCCAGTGACGGTTAGTAACTTCAAATGTGAGAGTTTCTTCTCTGACTAATATGCAGCATCGACCTAGTCAAGCTATGAAGTGCAGGTTACTCAAATACCAATTCAATATTATACAATAAATGGTGATATATAAAGTCTTATAACTATAAAGTTTCTTATAGACATGTTATAGAACCTCAGCCAAGAATTGATTTATTAATTAAGTAGCTGAGAATCGTTGATAGTTTGATGTAAGCCATGATGCATGCCATTCCTAATGAAGAATAATAGAGACTCTATGGCAAGGTAACTACGAACAATTCCGGGCCGCATATATATTTCTATAAAAAGTGAATCCAAGTGCGTCTATGTCCAGTATAAAAGTCCCTGAGAGATTGATGACAACGTGATGTGGGTTTACTATTCCCCATGGTGTAAGAAACTGTAGCCGAGTGGATTTCTACATTATCTAAACATGATAAATCATTACTCAGGAAAAACCAGATGCATTAGAGCATTCTAGGGAACAAGGTATAAGAGACTTAAGCCAATCCTGCGGGCTTAAAGTCCATATTGCCGTTTTTCCCACAATAAGAAACATATGATGCGCAGTATCGTTACTCGCGAGCACGACTTCGGCCTCCGTAGCGGGAACTATTATACCAAATTCAGGCAAGTCTCCCGCTATACTTAGGAACGGAGGCTCGCTCTTAAGTATAACGGGGAATATAATCGGATACCGAAATACCGATTGCAACTATACGTTATGACAGGCTACCCAGGTAATCTATCACCCACATACTTGGTAGCAACTATATATACAGCCTCCTATACTTACCACTTCTTTCTATTTCTCTAATTCTTCACGCCGTGCCCTTTTCTCTTTGATTTTCTTTTAACAAAATTCAATTGAGTCATTAGCTTCCATTATAGGCATCATAATTCTTATTCCCGGCTAGTTCCGAACATCATGGCTCCACCTGTTTCTAGCACCAACAGCTCAAGTCTAATCGATACTCAGTAAGATACAACCTAACCTAATAGATTGAAAGTAACTATGTCAGCTAAATGGATTCAATAGTATTCATATTACCACCCCCAGCTACTTAAAGGCTGTAAGTGATATTGGAGGTGATCCAAATGGCTGGTCAACTCCTGTTTGGACATTAGAAGATTGTGTACGCTTCTGCGACACCATTGGGGAGAGCTTCTCTGTCCTTTCCGTTACTGCACCAGGTCCCGCCATTCTTGGCCCTACCGAAGCAGGTAGAAAGTTAACACGGACACTCAATAATGAAGTCTGGAAAGTCTGCTCTGAAGCAAAAGGTCGGTTTGGTTTTTTCGCTTCTTTACCGGACTTCAACGACATCGAGGGAACTCTTGAGGAAATCAAGCACATCTTTGAGGTGGAGAAAAAGGCGAATGGGATTATTGTCATGACCTCGTACGGAGAGCGATTGTTGGGGGATGAACACTTCAAACCCATTTGGGAGTCATTAGAGAATTACAAGGCACTCGTTTTTATCCACCCCACCGCCTTGAGCATTACACCAGAAAAGGTGGGCGGGTATCTTCCCGCACCGGTTATTGACTTTCCTCATGCTACAACGAGAGCAGTTGTGTCACTTCTTATTTCTGGGATAGCGACCGCTTGTCCTAATGTTGACATAATACTGAGCCATGCTGGCGGTACGGTCCCCTTTATTGCGCAGCGGGCTATTGGGTTCCTTGCTGAGCCGGCCTTCCAAAGCCAATCCCACACCAACGTCACTGAGGCGTAAGTATTTCTATCCTTGCTCAACTACATATGATTGCGATTTAATATCGAGCTTTAGCAAACACGCTCTCGGGCGCTTCTACTACGATATCGCTCTTTCCACAAGCACTCCACAACTCAAAGCACTACTAGCGTTTACCTCGCTATCAAACGTTCTCTATGGTAGTGACTACCCATACGCGTCTAAACGTATTATCTACGAAGATCTACTACGGTATAGCAATTTTGTGGTTAGCGAAGAGGGTAGAGGTATTAGACCGGCTTGCTTGAGTAAAAACGCAATAGCCCTTCTCCAGAAGCACAAAACTGAAAACGCCTTTCTACCAATGTCTCAGGAAGTTGGGGGCTCGAAGGAGCCGGAATTTGGATTAGAGAGTAACCAGGTCGCTGAGCAGGCAAGACATCAACTGGCCAATCTTGACAGTTAAACATTAAGACTTTATTGCTGGAGATAATAGTTCCACTCTATCCTATAAGAAAATTCCCGATCATAATAAAAGTATTCTAATGAAAGTCCCTTGATGACCCTATATAAGATATTAGAGGGACTTCTTCGTCCTGGGAAAGCTTTATATATAATGACAATCAAGATTAAGGGATGTTAATCCTCCGAGTTGAGCCTGTATTGAAAATCATGTAGATACAATAACTTATAGGGGAAGCGTAATTGTTATTTGTGTATAATCCCGGCGCATCGTAGTATCTCAGATATCATACTTAAAAGGCAAGTAAAAGCAGACCGTATGATAATCTTTTTAATCAAAGTAAACGAATAGTAACTTATGATCCACAACATTACTCCGGGCCCATAAAAGAAGTACCGAAGCTATAAAGATATAGGAAAATACATGACGGTGGGACCTCCGATACCACCCTATATGCCCCAGTTATTGCGCCTTTCCATTGACAACTACCACTTAACCATTGAACTTCTCCTATGAATGCTTCCAAATATATCATTCCTTAGAGATAAGATTGCTTCAAGCTAAGTATATAAAAATTCGCAATATTGTATAATAAGGCGCTATCATCGTTATTCTTTTTCATCTCATAGCCCGCTATAGTTTTCATTTTTCTTCCTAGGTAGATGTAAACTTGTGTTTATCTAGCTTTCATTACCTAATATCCCCCTTTCTACTACCGAAGATTTCTTCCGATTCCCGAAGTTATCAAAGCTTTCACAGTACACATTAGCCAACTTATAAGTCATTGTTTTTGAATTCTAAACAATGACGTTTCATACTCGAATTTTAGAATTCCTCTTCCATCCCATGATAGAAGGTGATCCAGGCCCGCCCCCTGACGGTGGCTCTCGAGCCTGGCTGCAGATCCTTGCCGGTCACCTTATCAATGCTCTTACGTGGGGATACTCCGCTTCATTCGGCGTCTACCAGCTCTATTACACAAGTACATTATCACTACCCGAGTCGCAAGTATCTTGGATAGGCTCACTCCAGATCTTCCTCACATTCTTTGTGGGAACGCTTTCTGGACGTTCTGCCGATGCCGGATATGCCCAGCACACAGCTCTGCTTGGGTCGATCCTGATTGTACTCGGAACATTTATGACAAGCCTAGCAACGACGTATTGGCAAATCTTCCTCGCTCAAGGCGTGTGCACAGGACTTGGTATGGGCATCTTGTATATGCCGGCTATAGCCGTCATCAGCTCATATTGGAAGAAAAACAAAGCGATGGCCTTAGGACTGGCTTCCTCCGGGAGCGGGACTGGGAGCGTCATATTCCCTCTTATCGTACAGAATCTTCAACCTACTATTGGTTTTGCTCGAGCTGTTCAGGTCCAAGGCTACGTTGCTCTTGCATTTGCAATCATCATCAACCTCCTACTCAGGCCACGGCTCCCACCTCGTAAGTCTGGTCCATTAGTTGAATGGCCAGCGTTTCAAGAACCAGTTTATATACTGTTCACTATTGGAGTGTTCCTAATGTTCTGGGCTCTGTACTTTTGTTTCTTCTATATCAACACCTATGCTACGTCGATTATTGGCCAGACTCCTGAAGCGGCCGTGAATTTACTCGTAGTAATTAGCAGCGTCGGCATCCCAGTACGACCCCTTCTAGGTTTTGCTGCTGATCGATACTTCGGTGCCCTCTCCTCTCTGATCATTGCTACTACCCTTTTAGGCGTACTACTATATTGCTGGGTTGCCGTCCATGCCGTTGCCGGATTATACGCTTGGTCCGTATTCTATGGGATCGCCACTGGAGCAGCTCAGGGGAGTGAGTATTTGAGTTCCCCTTCTGAATTGCATTTCCCATCGCGAAAGGCTGCTAATACTCTGAATTCCAATAGTATTCGTAGCAGGGCTCGTATCGTTAACTACGGACCCCAGTAAGCTGGGAACACGGTTTGGGATGGTGTTTTCCGTATTAGCATTTGCATCGCTAGCGGGTCCTCCGACAGCGGGTGCGTTGATTGAAAGCGAGAGTGGAGGCTTCACGAAAGCGCAAATCTGGGCTGGAACGGTGACCCTTGCTGCTGCACTCTTTATAATCGCTGCTAAATGGACACAAAAGGCGATGTCCCGCCAGACCCAGGGCTCTGACAAGGCTTATAAAATGGATCAGGGATATACTGAAGAAGTCGTAGTCCAGGTAAACAGCAACGAGCAGACCAAGGTCTGAATCCTTCCCGTCTTCCAAGGACATCGATTTATAGGGATCGGAGGCAATCCTTGGAAGTACGTGGTAGAATGCTTTCGCGCAGATATATAAGATATAAAGCCGGCTATTTTTCCAAATACCGCAGAGGAAAAAAGACGTATCACTTATTCGTAGATACTTCAGCTATAGGAAATTTAATACAATCTCATTCTACCCTAGGCCATTTTTAACCTATTCTTCACATCCTAGATCAGGGGTTCCATGGCCATATACTTTCAGAGGGAGAGTAAAGTCGGGCGCAGTGCAGCCAGTATACGAATTCGTGTCCGTCGTGCAGTCGGGATTTAACGTTGTCGATCCAGAGAGCTGATAGGAAATTCTAGAAAAGGGGTATTTTAGCATCATCGAACATCTCTTCATACAACTAAGTGCATCACACTAAAGATGAGTCCAACTCACTCGCATACACCTCCGGGACTCGTACAAGGCCAAGTCTGATTGATAGCAAAATGCCATCCCGGGCTCCCATGTCCCCATCCAGATTGAAAGTGCGTACAGTTCCAACACGTCGGGTCTGGAGTGCTCTCCGTTCCACATTTAAACCAAACAGTCCCATCCTTATCCTGCCACTCGCCGTCCTGTTGCTGTACTATGAAGCCGCTGCATGCCTGCCGCCACCCCACAGGGTTTGTCACAAAGAATGAGACGGTCGCCGTGCTGGGGCGTGGGGGGATATCTCCCGGATGAGTGTCCACTAAAGTGTAGAGTCAGCGAGAGCCATACAATAAACGTTGACTCGAAGGTCAAAAGCTGTAAGTTCATTCACAGGAATGCAATAAGGAATCAATTTATTAACACTTATCCAAATAACAAGAAATTAAGCTTACGTTGACCGAAACTAAACTCTGTGATCTTAACAATTTGGCTTGAACCCTCCTCAATAGAACACTTGGCCGTATTGGATGTAGCTGTTTCCGCAGTAGCTTTTATTAAAGGAATACTAGAAACCAGAACGAGGGTGATGAATAAGTATGCCCTCATAATGAATTCACAGTGCATCTTGCTTCTGGGAAAGAAGTGTCTTTCAGTAAGTTGTTGAGTCAAAGTGCAATTTCTTCAATCTAGAAGTAAAGTTCCTCCTTGTGCCGAAAAAATGCGCTTTTCATGGTTTTCTGTTCAAAAATAAATTTCCTATCACTATAGATCCCATGTTTTGCCGCCCCCGTATTAAGGATGCCCGATTCGACTATCTCCGAAAGGATTTATCCAGAGTTGTATTGCAGCTATCACAAGTCCATAACACCAATGAATAATATTATCTTTTAATGTTTACAATACAAGGATATAGGATTTAGATATCCCTCTGTGTTAAAGGCCTGTACGTATGTGTTTTTTATAGCTTAGCCCCGACATTGAAGCAGTACCTTTAAAAGGGGGTTGAACCCAGCCGGTGTATATCTTCAACTACATACCCTCTCTTAATTTTACACTAGCTACGCAATCCTGCCATCTCAAGGTCTTCATATAGAGCCCCTCAATAATCGCGATCAACACCATACCACCACCAAGCCCGGCCCAGACACCATTCAATTCCAACCCTGGAGATCCCAACTCTAGCCATATCGTCACGGGTACAGCGGCTATATAGTTTACGGCTAGTACCACCCAAGCGGCGACGGATTGGCGGCCAAGCCCACGGAGTATGCCATTCGTGCAACAGATGATGGCATCTATGATCTGGAACACGCCAACGGCAAGCATGGTTTTGGAGACGAGATCGCAGACAATGCGGTCCTCTGTGAAGAATGCTGAAAGGTAGTTTCGAAGAGAGAAAATAATCAAGCCGTCGACACTCCCTACGAGCGCACATACTACGGCGTATAACACAGCAGCGCGTCGAGCTCTCGCAATATAGCCGGCTCCAATGAGATGGCCAATACGCGTACTTATCGCAACTCCTATAGAAAAGGGGATATGCCAGGAGACGACCGAGATTGTCATCAAAACAGACTGTGCTGCTAAATGATTTGTGCTGAGGTACGACGTGCTGAAAGTCAAAAGCTCACATGCGGCCCATTCTCCTAAATTGACTGCAGTACCTGCGACGGAGAGCCGCACCATAGGTCCCCATTTAGAGAAAGCATCCCGTGAGAAGCCGCCCCAGCACTGGTGTGACCATCTCCCGGTCGGTAAAAGTATATAAGCAAGAAGTAGGACAGGGCGAAGGTTATTGGTAAGAGCAGATCCCAATGCAGCACCGTCGAGGCCCATCCCAAGTTTAAAGGCGAAGAGCCAGCTCAGGAACGCATTGACCGGTGTGCATATAAGAATAGCAATCATAGCACCTCTAAAATCCCCTTGAGCTTGGAGGAATCGCTTGCCCGCTTCAAACGATGCATATCCAGGCAAGCCAACCAAGCTAACCCGCATAAACGTCCCAGCCATGACAGCCAAATGATGCTGCCGCACAAAGATGGACAATACCCACGGAGAAACCACCCAAAAAGCACCAATAGGTATGACGGCCAAGATCATGAGGAACCACATCCGCTGAACGTGCAGCCCAACATTTAAAAGATTACCAGAGCCATATGCTTGGGCGCATAGTGTATCCAGAGCAGTGGCCATGCCTTCAATTGTAGCGAACCCAACGATGTTCATCGTTGTCATACCAAGGCTTGCAGCAGCGAGGGCGTCTGCATCAATATGGCCCGCAACAAAGGTCGTGATAACACTATATGAATATTGGAGAAGGTAAGTTGCTATAAGTGGAATAGAGTACTGGGCGAGAAGCCATAACTCTGACCCCCAGCTATCGCCGGTAGCAGACTTCAATGGCGGCGAATCAGATAATAACGGTGTAGACTCCGTTTGATCATCACGAGCCGCCTCGTCATCTCGTGTGTCTGAATCCATGGGCTATATGTGTCTGACTACGGATGTAAGTGATATTCAAGAAAGTAATATAAAAATAAATCCAACGGAGAGAAATCATTGCTTAAGCTAAAGCAAAGCACAGACATATTATAAAGCTAAAAAAAGGAAGAAAGAAAAAAAGAAACAAATTGTCAATGTGGAGTATAAGTACGAGACAGTTATTGGTTGTTAGCCAAGCCGTGCATGATAGCTATCTCTCGGTATGCCGGGAATCTAACGCCAATATGTCGTGCTATTTACTAATCCTAATAAAATACAGAATACCTAATAGATACGTTCATGTAAGTTGAATGCTATATTGTTTGCCAGAACTAGTCGTGTAACGGTTGGACAAAGAGAAATTGCAATTATTCGATTCGCCAATTCCTTGCAACGCTAAGAACTACCCCCTGCTCGTTCTCCGAACGAGCTGACGAGCCAAGAATTCTCGGGATTATATTGGACCGCTCCGGTAAGACTTCTTGAACTTCACCGCCAATCTCTAGGATAGGTTTCGGATTTAAACATCTTGGTTTCGGCTCCGTAAGCTTGCCGAGCCATCTATCCAGTATAGAACGAACAAGTCCAGCAAATTCTTTCAGAACATAGGTAGTAGCTTGGAACGAATACCACCAACATCTACACAGCTTCAGAAGACGCTTCCTATAATTTGTTGAGTTTCTCATCTGCGTAGTACATCACGCATGTCAGATTTACTTACATATATAATGCGAGAATCCTTGGGAGATAAGGAAAATAGGACTCGACGGGTAGCAAATCATAAGGTGTATTGCTCATCTCGATGTAAACTCTTGCAGACGAGGTAAGCTCAGATTGGTCACCGAGTCTGACTCTTGGCCAGTAACTTCTACCCACGTCGTAGTTTCAAATGTTGTACGACAGAGATATACGCAAAGGGGACACAATTACAATTACGAGGCTATACATCGAGTAAACCTCGTTTCACCATGGATCTCATTTATCGCACGCCTTAGAAAGGAGGCGCCACCAAAAATGGGGAAATACGTCATAGTCTCGGGGAAGGACAGAGAGTTATCTTTCAACTAAGTGGTTATCATATATGAAGTCTGGGGTTGTATAAAATTATGATACTAGAATCCTCACTAAAATAGCATAAGCTTGGCCAGAAATCCTTATTTCCTGTAAATTCATCCCTATAGTACCTATAGCCTTGTTCTGTATCATTATACAGAACTACCCCCTTCCTTGATGATCTCCTGATACTCCGGGTTATCAGGGTCAATGCGAATGACCTTAACGTCAGGGGCAAAGTTCGGCCACTCTACCCTATCCCATGTAGTGCCCTTCGCCCACTCTGTACCATTTCCCTTTGGAAGCATCACATAAGCGGTGCCTTTTGTGGTCAGTGCCAGCGCCTGTGAGCACACATCCCAGAATTTCGTATGCTCTTTCTCTTCTGGGTGGAATTGCCAGGCATCGAGCCAACTCGGATCTCGCCACGATTTTTCCAGCAATCGATACCCTTTTAGGTAGCTACGACTCTCTATAGCCTCCGCTACCTTCAAATGATATCCGGGTCCTGAGTAGAAGATTGATGTATTTGGGAGAATGTTCATTTCAGCTAAACACTCACTTAGAGCGGGGAGGTTTCGACTGACATGGCCTGTTAGGTTAGTGGTATTTGTGTTAGAAGCATTCCCGCCGTTGGTGATTATTGTAGTGGGCGAACCGGTCGTAAAATCCACTGAATCTATCATAGCAACTGCGAGATGCTCCTTTGATTTATTCATTTGGGTCGCTTGGAATAGTGATTATCTTGTAGGGTGATATGTCTCTTCTACCTAAGCCCAACCATATATCATTAAACGGGTATATAATGGTTTGTAGTAAAGGACAAAGGCTTATATATAAAATCTTTTAGATCGATACTCAAAGACATTGTTATTGTTATTATGATTACAATAGTTTAAAGCAGTGACAAAGCGATTATCTCGTTGACCTTGTTCAAGTGACTCAGAGGGTACCTAGATTCATTAAATGAAAACGTTAAGCACTTTAGGTACTTGAGATAATGTTAATATAGAGTCTTATTTTATATGAATAATTGAGTCGAATCTTTCAGAAGTGAATGCAATTGTTTGTACTTTAACAATAGTCATGGTCAAAGACTCTTAGCCTGGGCGTTGTTCTACAATATTATCAAAGTCTCTTTTTACCCAAGTAAAGTTACTCTAATGTTACTACTTCTAGTGAATCATATGAAAACGTACCTATATATAGCTGAATGGCTCAGGTACCTAGGTATTTAGTAACTACAATTTGGCTTCGTTAGTCTATTGGAATCTCAAGTTACATTTTAATTTTGAAAAATAACACGTAACATATCATTATGAGTATTAACTCTGTTCCTCGTTTATTCCGTCTGTCTGAAGCATCTCTATTCGAGGAGTGATTTGCACGTGACATATCCAAACCCTTCAAATCAGAATATTTCAAATAGGTGCCTACCTGGCTAAGGTAATATTGTGTCAACAAGTTTTCTTCCTCATCTTCTTCAATCTTCCCGCTTCTAGCTTATTAGAATTTAACATCATAATGGGCGACCCACCTGCGCATGTAATATTAGGCGTGATCGCTGCCTGTCAAGCATGCAATAGCGAGACGCAGTGGGATGTAAGCTATATCGACGATATGATCCAGAGAGGTTACGATATCAACCAGGGCCTTGGCAACATCGGAGGTATTTTAGGGTAATATATTCTTCAGGAATTTGCTAATAATTACCGTATGCTGATACTTAAGTTTTAATTTCCGAAGTTTTGCTGTGAGATCCGACAAGCTTCCTCTAGTCGAGTTCCTCCTCAGCCACGGCGCTGACCCTAACGCCAATCTCTGTGACGAGATTTATTCAACACTAGAATTCGCCATCGTCTCTAATACAAGCCTGTCTATTATTTCTCTTCTGATCGATCGTGGAGCTGTTGTCAAACAGCGCAGCGCCGCTCTCCTCGCCGCCCAGGCCGGGCGTCTAGATATCTTGAAGCACCTCATATCTTCTGGTGCTGGAGTCGATTCTATCCCCGACAATGAGAATGTATACGACAACGCCCGTGAGCAAGACGATTGGGGTACGCCGCTCCATGGAGCTGCAGGAAATGGCAAGGCTGATTGTGTCGCGTGGTTACTTCAGACAGGCGCATCTCGTGACATCAAAAACCACAACGGCTTAACTCCCAGGGAAGTGGCGGAAAAGAGAGGACATGCACGATGCGTGACATTAATAGACCAGAATGAAAATGAAGGTGGCTGCGTAGTTTCGTGAAGATGATGTTGGCTTCGAAGATCAGAATAGACTATGAAACTAGTTCGGTTGTTGACTCAAACTTCATCTAACATTAACTATAATAGCTCCCGAAAGGCATTTCGTTGAAGCCAATCCCCTTTTCATTGTAATCTTACTATTAAACTGAGAACCACTTGTGAGGCAAGCACTGCCCCCTTATTAGATTGATTTGTTTCTGGATTTCGTCCTTGTCTTACCTCCTATTCTTATCTTATAACTAGTATAACTAGGGTAGAGTACGATAGTTTACTCGAGCCCTTGTGATTGTATCCAGCCGTCGTGCCTCTTTCATACAATGAATAAATAGGACGTAATTTGTAAGATCCTAATGTGGTTAATAGATAATTTATGCGCTGTTATTATTCTACACGCATCAATAATTGGCACTTTACCAGAACATGCTTCTTCTCTTCGTACTACTTGGGTATTGTCAGGATTCTAGATCAGACATCTAGAGCAAAGGACATGTTCGTTATGTATAGGTAGGTAGACATAGACTCCTGTAGTTAGGTTAGAGTTCCTCGCGGAACAGCTTTGATTTTTCTGTTATTTGGTTACACCTCGTGGCAGGTATATTAGTTCCTCCGTAACTAAATCACGATAGGCTTCAGTCTAAATACATATTCCGGGTGCTTCTTACCTGTGGTTCGCTACATGGCACGAAAAAAAGATGTTACTACGAACAATGCCACCTCCTGGTCATACAACGTTTTCTAGGAGTTGCAAGTTTCGTCAAGCGCTCGCCTTCTACGGGTTAATATATTAAGCTTATTAAGCATAATTTAAGACTGGATCGAAGCTCTTCTAGAAGAAACGAATCAATTGGCAAAATACGAGGAGGAAGCGCTATATCCATGCTGGTGTAACACCCCTTAAAATCATATTTCTAAAGAGGGTGGCCAAGCTGCGACATGCCAAGTTACACACCTGCCAGATGTCCACGCGATAGGAGTTCGACATACAGGTCTGAAATCCTAAGCGCTCGCATTATGTCCACCTCATCGAGCCTACAGATCGTCCGATGTCATCTGAGATACCAGCAACCGAGTTTTCTAAGATTCCTCATCATAAATGTTATGATTTCATGATCGTAAATGGAAGGTTACAGTTTCAATAACAGAGTTGAGAATCTGCCGTTTTGACTGAATAACTTATATCAAGAATCCACAGAAAATTCCACGTAGAGTAGAACAGATGATTTAGGTACCTAGGTAGTTGAAAAGGAATGAATTTGGATGGTCATGTAGTAAATAGGTATATAATAAAACTCCTTCATTGGATATCATCTTCTCCATCTAATATTCACTACCTCGTACTAATTCGGAAGCTCTCTATGTCACGGATTGACTGTGTACCAGCTAGGGACCAAAGGATGTCCCGGTCCACTGACTCCTCCATCTACCACTGCCCAAAGCTGTAGCGAGACCACTCATACTGGATTTCCTGCCCTCACAAGTTATAAGATCAAAATATGGACGGCGCATGTAAATTAAACGGCGAATATGTACATTTAAAAATGTTCCTTCCAGAACCGGAAGCGGACTTCTTTAGATGTTGCTTTCTTGGTTGCCTTGTGGATATCACGGGCTAGAAAGATAAATTAGTGATGATTCATAGGTAGACAAGTGAAAAGGATTTGTGACTTACCGGCTACAGCAGGACCACAGAAGTATACACCAACTGTTGTCTGCATGCTACCCTCTAGACCAGTGATGTATGTTCGATCCATAATTCCATCCCGCATTGCTTCAAACATTCTTAGGAAGTTGGGTCGACCAAAGTTCGTTCGCGCCTTAAGTTCCGTTAAGGGATCGTGATCGGCACCAACACTGTTTAGCACGATATTTTGCGTTGTGTCCATGTCGAGCTTCTGGGTTAGGTAAGTGTGAATCTTCAAGAACTCCACACCGTTGCTACCGGGAATGAGAGCCGCCTCGTTACTTTGAGATTCGAGGGACGATAAGAGGGTCTGGAACCATTCGAAAGAGCCAGTGTCCTTGCACACCCAAATGAATTCGACACGGCGAAGACGTCTAGGCGGGTTCGGGCTGTTGCGTAAATGCCAGATATTCTTCAGGATAGAGGCCCATGGCGTCACACCGATACCCGTACCAATAAGTACTGCAATTTCGTTTTCGAATACATCCTCGGCGGGCGCACCGTACGGTCCGTCGATTCGAAGCAAAGGCATTTGCTGTCCATTCTGTAAAGCGACTTCGTACATTCCCATAGGGTCAACACCCTCGTAAAGCTTGGCTTGTGCGCTACCAGCACCAACTGCATCACCTAATGCCCTAGTGAAATCTCCAACCTGTCGAACGTGGACTGAGACGTAGGGATCGTATGGGCAAGATGTGATAGTAAACGGATGCCATTGGTAACCGGAGACCGAGGGGACCTGTAGGAAAAGCCACTGGCCAGCCTTGTACTTAAAAGAAGGCTTCTCGAACTGGATCTCCACAACATCTATAAACGGTGTTAGCACGACAAGGCTGTCGTATTAATCGGGTTCTCTTACCATATGGATGGCGAACCACTCGAGTAATCTTAGTGGTACGCTTAGCTCGCACTTCCCGATAAAGACGCTCGGCCAGGTAAAAGGCGCCTGCAAACAGTTCCCATCGCCACCCCTGGTAGCCAATGCAGTGCTCCCAGAATATATCACCAGCAAATGGAGAAAAGGGCAGGGCAGTGTCGCGAACGAAGCAACCGACGGCATGAGTATAAAGTCCAAGGAAGAACGGAATAAAAAGGTGATGCGTGTACCAGAAACTCTCGAATGATTGTTGGCGGATACGATGATGAGCAGTGGTATACATCAATAACATGCAGAGGAGCATTACATGACCAGTAATGCCACCAGGTTGGGTATAGTGAATCTCGATCGCGGTAACTGGTCGGATCTGCGTCTTTTCCACGTTATAGAAGCTGTAAAATGTTAGATTTAGCTCACTCCGGACTCAAAGAGTTTCAGGGACATACTTGACATAGTGAGCAGCGACGTGGATGACGGTGAAAAGTAGCATGGAATAGGCAACTTGACGATGGAACCAAATATTCTCATCCAAAGGTAGGAACCTGATCTTAGGTCGTATCCATCGTACAAACGTTCGGCACACAGGTAGTAAAATCAACGTTCCATCAATGGCCAAAACTAAACCAGCACCTCGAGATAACCATACGGACCATGCTAGTGTATTCAGACCAGCTAACTTGGGGTCTTTGGCCTGTTTCCACCTATAGTCACGTTAGTGATAATTGTATAATATACGATGCCAAGAAAACGTACCATCCGTAACCAAAGAAGAACCAATGAACCCCCCAAAATAAGACATGGAATATTAGTTTAGTCGCAGTGAACTGCTTCTTCACTAATTCGCCGACAGCCATTACGCTAACCGATGTGTATCTTCCTCCTACCCGGGATATAAATTTAAATTAAAAGTTTGTCGACCTGCGACGCGATTCTGTGCCTCCAGACGGCGACTATTGGTGAGGACGTTCGAAGCGAGCGGACGGACTGATCGATATCGATTTCCAACCCTCCGTAGTTATTCCTCTTCACTTTTTTCCGACTATTAAAAAGGGCTTATTATCCAACGTCGCGCACCTAGAAGTAAACAAAACCGAACCAAAAAAAAGAGCGATCTGAGCCAGCAGGAGACGAATGAAAGGATGGCGAAGTAGGGAAAGTCTCGAGTGAGAGGCGGAGTCTTTCTACGTCCTGATTGCCGCGCGAAGGACTAAGAGAAAAGAACTAAACGTAGAAGATTGGTGGGCGGGGAGTAAGTCATAAAGGACGACAGAACTAGGACGAGGTGGGCAATGCGATCAGGCGAGATCCACCGTTCCACGGGCAAAAAATGAAAAGAACAAGGGTAGTATGGATGTACGAAGATCCGGAGCTTGTTTGGTAGTGTACCGTAAAGCTTCTTGCAAGGGATGAAGGGGGTTTCTCGATATCTCGGATGTCAATAACCCATGAAACCTTAAGTTAATCGTGAATAATGTTAATCTAGTCCGTTTTCTGTTTAATTCGTAAAGTGGAAATATCGAAAGTCGAGAGAGAAGTGGAGGGTCTCTATCTCCGCGGCTAAACTACTTTTACCTAACGATGAACCCTCATCAAAGCCCTTCAAAGTAGATAGACTATAGACTATAGACTTCTCGGCAAGTAATCAACGATTTAACTGGAATAGCTGGAGTAGATCAAACGGAAGGGGAGCGTTTCGCGAGCCGTCGATGCGGTGTCAGATTTGCATCCGATGAACACTGATTTTGATCGGACGGTATGTCAGGCACGGATGATATCCAGAATAATACCCTTGTAACCTTGTAATGGTGGGGGGCAGAGTTGAGACGGGCGGTGTTTGGAAGCGCTGCTCTTTGGCGTTTCGACAGGGGGGAGTTGACCCTTAGCCTGCTATGTAGAATATAAGTGCACGTACCTTTCTTATAACAGCACGAACATTCGACGGGGTATGCGAATCGAAATCATGTAAAAATATGATAGGAACCATATTGTCGGAACTGGATGGGTGATCGGGGGTTATTAGGTAGAAATATGCAAGATGTCTTTAACCTGTAAATTAAGCGCCGTAGGTCAAGACGGACGTTTTGTGAAAGCCAATTAATTGAGAGGTTAATAATAAAATAACTATCGAGGCTTGTCCAGGCGGGCGGTTGCTGAACAGCGCGGATTCGTCCAGGTCCAAGGGTAGGATATCGTATGTAGCCAATAGAATGAAGTGAAGCCGTGATAAAGTGACAAATACAACGGGTTTAACCTATCCCGTTGCAGAGAATGTTGCTTTCCCCTTATCCACTTTAGCTTATTCCCCCTCGTTAAACCCCCTGCCCCTGGAATATATCCAAGTTAGACGAGATCCCGTCAACTAGCCTGCAGCATGAACAGATATGCATGTATGTACTAAAATCACCGCATGGAACACTCGCTAGGCTTGTTCGATACAATGGCCTCCCAATAGCGCATAGTAATTTTTGACCATTTTTAGTTGTATCTTCCATGTACGCTTGGCGCTGCCGAGACCCGAGAAGCTACATTTTGTAGCACAAGGGTGACGCCCACGTTGCTGGCCCTGCTGGTCTTGGTCTTGGATCGCCAATGCTCTCCTCCATATTAGATATTCTCGAGAAAAAGTCGTATGATTGTAAAAAAATCAGACCACTTTTGAATAGTATTCTTAAGAGTTGAATATATAAATCCGTAGTAGCCGTCATGCCATTTGAAAAGAAATTCGTCGTATGATTCTTCCATGTCTATTCACAATTGCTACCTTTGGACCCTTGGGATTCGCTTGGTATCGAGAGTGAGACTCACGTCTATTCTCTAGCAAGACAAGGCAAGGCAAGGCAAGGCCTACACCTGCCACCCACTATTTTGTACTGGGTATCGGATCAACGAGAGATTCATCTACGTGTAAGATATTGGAAACAAGGACTTCAGTATCTCACTGCCTTGACTTTCCCATGGCTTCCCATGGCAGCTCAGAAGCCCCGAGCTAACAGCTACCTAAGGTAATGACGATATACCAGATATACCATTGCGCGGTAAGATCCGAAAGATACTGTAACGGCTTTCTCATAGTCAAACAAAACTATCATTTACTGCTCGTCTCACTATAAGCTTTAGGGTAATGATCACACAAAGGCCGACACTAATCGTGAAAGTTGGAGTTTGAGGCGACGCCAAAGATCCTCAGGAGTGCCGCTCGTGTTGCTCATTTGCATCGTGCGGAGTGGTCAGCCTCAGAATACGGCGTTGACGTCGTTTCTGGAACAGTCCGTGAACGCAACCCTGATATTTTGAAACGGTTAGCAGAGCCTCAAGAGTGTGTAGTGTAAGTGCGTATAACCCTTCAAACATTAGCGTATGGACTTAGATGTCGACACTGCATGTAAAGGATACCCCTACGAAAGATCGGCCAATGGTATTGAATAAATATACGGGTCTTCTTACTAAAGCTACATACTTAATGCTTAGCCTTAGACCCTTGTCTACTCTTCGTTCGGCTTCATATCGGAAATGTCCATAGATCGTCCCTAATTATCTACATTGGTCTTATTCCAAAACTATATGTCAGCTAGTTAGGCAAACAAACCCGAGGATCTTAAGCTGAAATATGTCCATATCGATATGTCAATACGTGATTCATTTGGATAGTAACGTGATTCCTCATTAAGAGTGGTTTTCCTGGTTCCCCTATCTTCTTTTGGCATATTCTCTCTACATAGTAGAGTCGATATGAAGTGGAACGTACTTTACTCATCTAACTAGTAACTAGATGTATTATCAACTCATAGTCAATAGCTGCCTAGGTAAGCAGATTAGTTTCTGCCACATCGATATTGTATCATTTCGCTAGACACTCAGACTAGGCCATTCGCATACCCTTGAATCTCATCTGAGAGGCAATCGGGGATACTAACCTATACGAGTATATGGGCACGTGTCTCACCGGCCACAGATTATCCGAGTGGTAAAAGGTATTTCAATAATTAAATCTAGAGTTAGGTACCTAGATAGGTACCTAGGTATTCTTCAAAATCTATGAAATAGATTCGGCGCCTAACTTTGCTATGTAAGAACAATGTCGACGACGTGACGATGCCTGATCATTAATACGAGATGATGCATTTACTTCTTTAGCTATGGTCCAAACAGACCTTATTAAGTCGGCTATTACGTCCAGTCCATGAGGCGCATATGATATCATTAGAATTAGTAGATGATGCGAACAGCGAATGTAGTGACGTCTCTTTCAAACCTTCACTTTAGTAATCCGCTCGACGTATTTGTATTTGAAGCGCTCGAATCACTTCATAGTAAGTGACTGCAGTAATATCTCTTCAGCTCCATTATTCAGTAACTCGTTTGCTACCCGTCTAAACTTTGACTCTATATTTCCAATATGGCACCCAGATACAAGAAAGGCCAAATGGTCACATACAAGCCTGTCGGAGGTGAGCAGACTATATACTATTATCTGGTAGCGACTTATTAATCTTAAGAAGGACCTGGTTCGAACACTCCGGAGAGTACTGGCAAAATTAATGGTGTCCTTACAGAGCCAGGTATCCAGGCGGATAGGAACGTTCAGGCCAGCGCTGATAATCCTCGATACGAGGTGAGTTCTCCCCAAAAGCCATACATAGGTCATAGTAATGGTATGCTAACAACTATGTGTTAGATCATCAATGATAATACCGGGAAGACATCCACAATCTATGAAAGCAACATTCTCGGCTCGGCTTAGTACATAGTAAGTGAGTCGTAGCTAAGTTGCCGTTATATGTGAAGGTACCATCTCTTATAATGTCTCATGTAAGCGGTGGTCGGCATGCTGCAACATAACAGTTAATATTTGGTTGAAAAATCTGAGGGTCGAATTAACTGGTTTATTGCAGTATAGTCATTCCGATGACGGTAATTAAATTACACATAACCCTCAGCTTTGCCGGACGCAGCATGCTTGAATATGTAACTGTCTTACAACCTTGTATTGATGGCTCGAAAATTATTGCTGCCTAAATTAATCTCGCTTGTTCGCCGTATATTACCTATTGAAGGTGATTATGAAGAGACTTAATTATAGCTTATGTGTGACTGAGAGTCGTAAGATGATTGAAGTTTTGCAAGTTGGAAAATAGAAACGATGGTGAATAGAATAAATTATAAGTTGAATAAGGTAATGTCCAGTAACTACCTCCTAAGGTACCTAAAGAGTAAAATGTTCTAGCGTGAATGGCTGACCTAAATTCCAGTGCTATGGAATAACCCCGACTTGGCATTTGCCCTCAGCCACGCCTGCCACGTTACCCAGCCCCATTGAATTACGTCGCAGTGTGATACAGATGTACAGTACCTATTGGCGCTAAACCATAGAATAATGGTGCCTTCTTCAAGGCACCCGAACACTGGAAATACAAAGTCCATCTTCACACATGTAAATCCAAAACCGCGCTCGCGCACAATTATACCGCACACTTTACTTCTCAGGTCGCTACTCATTTGGGATAACTCTAGAATCATATTACAAACCAAACAAAACCCGACACTACAATCTCCCCCCCTTTTTTTATCTCGATCGAAGCCCCTGTCTTACTAAATACGACCCTAACGATACAGATACTGTCCATGCGAGCCCAATATGGTGAGATATATTTATATATGTTTGACTAAAGCAACGCTTCTATACTAACCGTCGTGTACTATAATTATAGGGTATAAGTAGACGACCGAAGGATAAATCAGGCGGAGCGTCCCGCGCTGGTGGCGCAAGAGCGCAAGATGGCGGTGCCAAACCTAAGAAGGCCACTTTCGAAACGACCAAGAAGAAAGAGATAGGAGTTTCTGATTTGACCCTACTTAGCAAAGTATCGAATGAAGCAATAAACGAGAACCTAAAGAAGCGATTCGAAGGCCGCGAGATTTATACCTATATTGGCCATGTCTTGGTTTCCGTTAACCCCTTTAGGGACCTCGGCATTTATACCGACCAAGTCCTCGAATCATACAAGGGAAAGAACCGTTTGGAGATGCCGCCGCACGTCTTTGCGATCGCCGAATCATCATACTATAACATGAAGGCCTACCACGAGAACCAGTGTGTTATTATTTCTGGAGAGTCAGGAGCTGGTAAGACCGAAGCCGCCAAACGGATCATGCAGTACATCGCAAACGTGTCTGGCGGTGAGAGCGGCGAGATCAAACAGATAAAGGACATGGTGCTAGCAACAAACCCGCTGCTTGAGTCTTTCGGAAATGCGAAAACATTAAGAAATAACAATTCCTCCCGGTTCGGAAAGTACCTACAAATACACTTCAACGCCAACGGAGAACCTGTAGGCGCTGACATCACGAATTACCTACTCGAGAAATCACGGGTGGTGGGCCAAATTACCAACGAGCGAAACTTCCACATATTCTACCAATTCTCCAAGGGAGCTTCTGAAAACTACCGGACCATGTTCGGTATTCAAAAGCCGGAGACGTATACTTACCTTAGCCGGTCAAAATGCTACGATGTCGACGGCATAGACGATCTGGCTGACTTCAAGGAAACCTTAGATGCCATGAAGATTATTGGCCTTTCTCAGGGTGAGCAGGACGATGTGTTCCGCATGTTAGCTGCCATTCTCTGGACTGGAAACATACATTTTATCGAAGGCGATGACATGAATGCTGCCGTAGCTGATCAGTCTGTTGTGGATTTCCTCGCATACTTGCTTGAGGTCTCACCCGATGCACTAGTCAAGGGTATAACAATTCGGGTTTTGACCCCAAGGAGTGGAGAGGTAATCGAGTCCCCAGCGAACGCAGCCCAAGCAAATGCTACCAGAGATGCACTTGCTATGGCTATCTATTACAACCTCTTCGATTGGATTGTTGGGAGAATAAACCAGTCACTACAAGCCCGACAGCAGACGAGTAACAATATTGGAATTCTCGATATTTATGGATTTGAAATCTTCGAGAAGAACAGTTTTGAGCAGCTCTGCATCAACTACGTGAACGAGAAGCTACAGCAGATTTTCATTCAACTTACTCTCAAGGCTGAACAAGAAGAATACGCACGGGAACAGATCCAATGGACTCCCATCAAATATTTCGATAATAAGGTCGTATGTGATCTTATTGAGCAGATCAGACCTTCCGGTATCTTCGCCGTCTTAAAGGACGCCACCAAGACAGCCCATGCCGATCCCGCTGCGTGTGATCGTACCTTCATGCAGAGCATTAACGGGATGTCTAACGCCCACCTTACTCCTCGCTCAGGAAGCTTCATTATCAAACATTACGCCGGCGAGGTTAGTTACACCGTCGAAGGAATCACAGATAAAAATAAGGACCAGCTCCTCAAGGGTGTTCAAAATCTGTTCCAGCAGAGCTCGAACCAATTTGTCCATACGTTATTCCCTCATTCAGTAGATCAAGATAACCGCAAGCAACCCCCAACCGCTGGTGATAGAATCAGAACTTCGGCCAATGCTCTCGTAGAGACTTTAATGAAGTGTCAGCCCTCGTATATCCGAACAATTAAACCAAACGAAAACAAATCGCCAACCGAGTACAACGTACCAAATGTCCTACATCAAATCAAGTATCTAGGTCTACAAGAGAACGTTAGGATTCGACGCGCGGGTTTTGCCTACCGTCAATCATTCGAGAAGTTTGTCGAGCGTTTCTTTCTACTGTCTCCTGCTACGTCCTACGCAGGCGAGTATACTTGGCAAGGAACCGAAGAGGCCGCGGTGAAGCAAATCTTGAAGGATACGAGTATTCCGAAGGAAGAATGGCAATTAGGTGTTACGAAGGCTTTTATCAAGTCTCCGGAGACGTTGTTTGCTTTAGAAACCATGCGAGATCGATACTGGCATAACATGGCGACCCGCATTCAAAGAATGTGGAGGGCGTATCTGGCTTACCGCGCAGAGTCAGCCACCCGAATCCAACGATTCTGGCGAAAAAAGAGAGTTGGTGCCGAATATCTACAACTTCGAGATCAAGGCCATAAAGTTTTGCAAGGGCGCAAGGAACGGAGACGTTTCAGTCTACTAGGTTCTCGACGTTTCTTGGGAGATTATCTGGGAACCAACGCGTCAACTGGGCCAGGATTCCATATACGAAGCGCTATAGAACTATCAAGCAACGAGAAGTCTATCTTCTCGTGCCGTGGGGAGGTTCTCGAGGCTAAATTCGGACGATCAAGTAAACCTAGCCCTCGCATTCTCATTGTAACTAATAGCAAGTTCTACATTGTGGCGCAGTCCTTGGTCAATCATGAAGTCCAAATAGTTGTTGAACGTCAAATTCCTTTAGGAGCTATTAAGTTCATCGGGGCTTCATCGTCTCGCGACGACTGGTTCTCGTTGGGGGTTGGGTCACCTCAGGAACCCGATCCGTTACTAAACTGTGTTCTTAAAACAGAACTATTCACGCAAATGCAACGGGCGATGCCTGGCGGTTTCAACTTGAAGATCGGCGAATCGATAGAATACGCTAAGAAGCCAGGAAAGATGCAAATCGTAAAGGTTCTAAAAGACTCGCAACAGGCCGTCGATTTCTACAAGAGCGGGGCAATCCATACACAACCCGGGGAGTCTCCATCGTCAGTATCCAAACCAACGCCAAAAGGCAAACCCGTGCCACCCCGTCCGATTACTCGGGGCAAGCTTATCAAGCCGGGTGGTCCTGGTGGCAGACCTTCTCGAGTCACCAACTCTCGTCCTAGCACTACCAAGCGTGGTCCAGTAGCGCTCCAGACTCCACGACCGGTCCCAGTTCCAACTCCCGCTGCCTCCGTCACAAGCAGCATTCCAAACCATACCCGTAACCAAAGCTCAACATCGTCTGTGCGCGCGCCACCTCCACCGCCGCCGCCCGCCGCTCCTCCAGCAGTGAAGGGCAAGATGACCGCCAAAGTTCTTTACGACTTTGCTGGTCATAAAGAGAACGAACTCTCGATAAGGGCCGGCGAAATCATCGAGATCGTCCAAAAAGAGAACAACGGTATGTAGTGAATTCCTATAGATTAAGTATTTATTCAAGCTGGCAAAGTCCACTGACACACTTTAGGCTGGTGGTTAGCAAAGAACGCTCAAGGGCAGGCGTGGGTACCTGCAGCATACGTCGAGGAGCAAGCAGCAGCCCCTCCGCCAGCACCAGCTCTAGCTCCGCGGGCACCGCCGCCTCCCCCAAGCCAAAACGGCACGGCAACAGCAGCACGGAATAAGCCTACACCTCCACAGCCTCCAGCGAAGCGACCTACTGCTGGGAAGAAGCCTGCAGCACCTCCACAACCCCGGGACTCGGGTATGAGTCTAAACGCAAACGGCGGCTCGGACAACAGTCGTAGTAGTACACCGACGCCCAGTGTTAAGGGCTCCCTAGCTGATGCCTTACTGGCGAGAAAGAACGCTATGCAGATTAAGAAGGATGATGATGACGATTGGTGAAGCAAAGCATCAGAATAGAGTTGCGTTTTGGTGCAGGCGTCGGCTTTGAAATATTTAGTCTATACATAAGAATAGGCGCACGCCAGAATTATAGCGAGACGGGACGGGACGAGACGACCTTCCCAGGAGGCTGCAATTAACGGACGTCAAGTCTCCAGCAAGGCGAGAAGCGAAAGCAGGGCAGGTTAGATATCAAATGGGTTCTACGATTACAAGGAAGCTTGTAAGGTATTGTACGGAGCGAGCACGATATGACATGACAGCCTTGCATAGTAGAACAATAACGTGCTTAGAAAGATGGGTAGATAAGAGAGCAGAACTTGAAAGAGTTGGCAAATTATATTGATATGTATTTATCTTTTTTATCCTATTGTGACATATTCAATAGTAATCGTAAATTACCTTCTAGGCATTACATACATTAGGTACATATCATCACGTATCGTCATCATCTTTCGTGCGTACTTTTCTCCTGCGCATCAGTTCTGCAAGAGGTACGTCTTCATCTTCTACACGAATGAGTTCCTCCTGTACTCGCCGCGGCCGTTCCACTGCCGGCTCGTCGAACTCGGCGTCTTCGTCTACGCCGTAGTCGCCCAGGTGCTCACCATCAGCGTTTACCCAGCCCGATTTTCCCTCGTCCACTATAACCGCGGTAGCGTGTCCCGGTCGTGATCTACCATCGTGCTCGTACGCCTCGTCGATGAAATCATAATCGTGGTCGTTGTTATTGTTATTGTTATCATCGTAGTATTCCGGGGGCATCTCCTCCAACTCTCCTAAGATCCGCGACCGTGACGCTTCCCACCGCCGCAAATCCTGCTCCTGCCGCCGGCGGAACGCCTCCCGTTCGTCGGCAGGGTTGGCCGGGTCGTCGAAGCGCGCTCTTTGTAGCGCGCGGTCGGCTTCGCGCTTGCGTGCGCGCCAGGCTTTCGCGTGCCGGATCTTGTCGGGGTCGGGGGGCGGCCACATGCCCTCGCGGTCGTTGAGGCCGTTTTCTTCGTAGGACCAGCCCGTACCGCTCATTGTTATTATTGTGTCACCACTACTACTGCCGCTACCACTCTCATCTTTTTTCGGGGCTGCGATTCTTGGCTCGCCGGCAAATGGGAGGAACCATAGTAGAGGGTCGCGTGTGCCCATAGCGGCGGCCATGTTTGCGAAGATGCCGATGTCGTAGGGGAACTCGATGGGATCGAGAGTTTCGCGGTCGCCGCCGGGGGCATGTTCACCTGAGCCCCACCATGAGGAGTAGGTGTCGTCGTGGGAGGTTTCGTAGCGGCGCTCGAGCGCGGATTCGTGGCGTTCGATTTCCCAGCTTTCGATCATGGTGGTGTTGAAGAGCCAGCCCTTGAGAGTGGTGATTAAGAGTATACCTAGGGCTAGACTCGTCATACTCGTGGCGAAGGTCAGGACGGTGAGCAACGCGAGTTGTGTCAGCGTGGGCCCGAGATACGCAGGGAGGTGGCGGGTTTCCCAGAGGGCGAAGAAGCGGCGGAAGAGGAAAGTGAGGAGGGTCCAGAGGGAGAGGTTGGTGTACACGAGGAACCGTAGGAAGTGCGGGAAGGTCTGCAGGGAAACGCAGTTGGAGGTCCATGGACAGTGGTGGTCCATCTTGGGAATACAACGACGGCATGTCTTGCAGTGATGCGCGCGAGGCGGCTTGGGTGCTGCACACTTCTTACACCAGCGATGCATCTGTTGCGGATCCAACTCTTCTTCACCTGAGTCGTTGGTGTTCCTCCTCTTGTTCTTAATATAACCCGGCGGGAAGACATATCGGCCTGGGTCAACTGTGCATGCTTTATAGTATGTATACCATAAACATAACACAAGTCCGTTAAAAGTGTAGATCTCGGCGGTCGTGAGGGGGCCCGGGGCAAGATCCGGTGCATTAGCGAATAGCCATTGCGACGTGTAGGCTAGGAAAGCGATTAGAATACAGACGGCGGGGACGGTGAGGCGTTGGAGTACTGGCTCCGTACTGCCGATGAGGAAGGCCATATCGTGAGATTAGGCCATCCAGGTGGAGGTCCGATCCAAAAATAGGTTGGGTAATGAATAATGAATAATGAATGGGAATATCGCAACAGATTAATTTAACCTAGGTACTAAAGTTAAATGCTAAAGTTAGATGCTAAAATGACGCGGTGCCGTGGCTTCGGGCGCGACGTCACTTATGCAGGAACAGACAGGGATCAAATACTTAGGTTGTTACGTAAACAAATATAGGCTTAGGATGATATGGCTTTATTAAATATCTAGCAAAGCAATCTACCCTTTGTTTATATCAGATATTGAATGAGACTCCCCCTTTTTATTACTATGAAATTCAGTAGCCCTAAGGAATCATCTTCAGATACTTCCTTAGCCATACAAACAACGCCCCAAGTCGCAGCTACCACTTTTCCGTCTCCGCCTTCGATTTGATATTTTTCTCGTCAATACCCACAAACTCGAAGATTTCGGGAGCAGAAGCGGGAAGAGGCTTGGGCTCAGATTTCATGATGATGTCCCGGCTAACCAACATCCGGATACAATTCTCCCCGATGAATTGAACGCCGACCTTATACCCCCCTTCCCACTTGTCAGACCAGTATCTCTTCAAGCTTGGGTATTCTGGGACATGAGACAATGAAAACTCAAACTGGTAGTCGCAGTTTACATAAATGTACCCTGTAATTCTCGATTCCGTCTTAGCAGATGAAGCTTTTGCTTGACTGAAGCTTGGCTCGCCGTCGGATCTGGATATTTTTTCATAGAGAGTAAGACTTGTCCAGCAGTGCTCTTCTTCATGGCGGCGGTAAAAGTTCTCCCAGTAATCTATAGAGTAGAGTTGGAACTTTTTATATGTGAGGGAGTAGTCAGAGTCGTATTTAGACCTTTTTGCCGGGGCTGTATATATAGGATGGAAGATGATAGGGTGAGTTTTCCTTTTCTCCCTTTTCTCCCTCTTCACCTTCTTCACCTTCTCTTTTTTCTCCTTCTTCTCCCTTTTCTTCTTCTTTCTTTTCCTCCTCTCTTCCTTGAGACCTTCATAGACTGCCCGGACGCTCTCGACATTGTGTCGGTGGTTCTCTAGCATCTTTTGAGTTTGTGTTTCCCAAAGCTCGTCCTCATCTTTTCGTATCATCTTGTGGCATTCACGCAGTTCCTTAAGGTTATAGTACTGGCGAGCGTCAGACCCATCATACGACCTTTCAGAGACACTGCATGGTTCCGGATAACATTCGCATTCAAATTCGGGTTCTTCCGCTGCCTTGCAGTGACACTCAAAGTCATCCTCCTCCTCCTCCTCCTCCTCAAGTTCGGACAAATCCTCATCAAAAATATCTCTTGGCAACTCGGGGTATCCATCTTCGTCGTCCCATTTAGAGCTCCTGATGCGCCGATACCATGCTGGCAAATCAGCGAGTGTCTTGGTAACCTTTTTGGCCTTCTCCATCTTGAATTTGGGTCTTTTATTTTTTGATGATTTTCATTCCCTCTTGTATGGAAGATGATTAAGAAGTTGTAAATTATTTTTGTGTTAAAAATGTAAGGAGTTTCCGGCCGGTCCTCGCGCTGTGGTGTTCTAGTGGCGTTGCTATGAGTACTTTAAGGCACTCCTTTTAGTCTAGCAATTGTGTACCGAGGTAAATTTGGCTATTATCGTTGAAAGGCAGGGAGCTGCAAATTTTCTAAGGCAGTGTTGGCTTGAAGGAAAGTACATTGGTAACCAAAATGATCAGTCTACAATCTTTACGTAGGAACTTTCCTCAGGTATCACGCCAACTGCAACCTAATTAGCCAGACTGTAAAGAGAGGTAGGTAGTTTGGACAACAGGTTGGCAGGTGGATATATCATGCGCTAAAAACAAGGACATTAAATTTAAAAATATGTAAGTTCTGATATAGGTATCGGTAGCAAATACTACAACTACACACATGTTTCCGTAATGACTATTCCATGATTTAGGTAAGTATGCTACCAGAAATACTCCCTTGTCTAAGTTTCCATAAATGCCTAACCTAAAATAAGCTAACAAAACACATAAAACACAAATGAATAGATAAATCCTCTCTACAGAGAAACTATAATGGCTACCCAGGTCAGAAGTATCTAAATACTCATATAGTCAATAAATACATCGAAATAGGTCCACTCCCGACCAACCCCTAAAGTATCTTTAAAGCTTAACTAGTAATATATGAAGTATAATAAGCCTTGACATAAATGTCTATAACCTCATGAACCTTGATATCTATGTTGGGGGGATATACTTAGTGGCTAGCCGCATAGTTAAAATCACGTTAACACTCAGACACCATGGGCAACCTTCTATAGGTCAAAGCCTAGGTCAAAGCCAAAGCCAAAGCGAAACCTGTATATATATATCATAGCAGCTCCTATAAACATCCCTCTCCTTCATCATCAACTTAGCAATTTCGCATACAGAAAATCCCATCTCACACTCAAACATCACCACTTAATCTCAAAAACACACTCCAACCAAGCACGCAAAATGCAACTCAAGCTCCTTGCCCTCCTCGGGGCCCTAGCCACCATCGCCGGCGCACGAAACAACACTACAGTTGTTCAAAATAATACCGCCGTTGCTCAAAACAGCACCATCGTCGCGCAAAACCACACCATCATAATCCACGACAACCTCGTCGACATCATCAACATCTTCCCCAGATGCTCGCTGCAGTGCTTCTCTGACGTCATCCACCTCAACAGATGCCGTGTGAAGGACTTGGATTGCTTTTGTCACTGGGCGTTGGTCATATCCGATAACATGACGCCCTGTATGAATCACCAATGCAAAGGATCCCATAATGGTAATTATCTTCTCCCCTACCGGTGTTTGTCTACAGTTGGCTACCTAGTTAGCTGGTCATGCGTGATAGGCTTGTTACTAATAAGAGAATAGACGTCAGAGCTCGGATCTGGGATTTATGCCATCGATGGAATGAGAATCCCCCTGCGGCCGAGGTGGAGGCTGCCAAAATCTTGATGAGGAAACGAATTGTCGATCAGTATGATTGGCTGGATCCTCCCATAGGCAGCAGTAGAATCGTAGCAGAGCCTGACATAACTGTGGTGGGCGCAGCGGCAGCGGCAGCGGTAGCGTTGATGATTTAGATGGACTATTCCAATCTTTGGCATAGCCACAGAAATAGTAGAGTTTATGGTATATTTATGGTTCGATAAGGGTTTGGCAAGCTGCTCACAGACATTGGATAGAGCTACGGCATATATGGATCATGGTATTGGGACTAGAGAATGCCCTAGCTATGCTCAGATATAGCGAAACTTATTGCTTTGGGTGTAATGGCACACTTAAGACGTCCGGGAGGCTAGCTCTCGTGTCTGTGCCATATTATAGCAAAACAGAATACGTCAGGTGGTTTACTACTAACCTAGAGAACAATTCTGAAATTTAATGCATGAAAACCATTGCCTCTATTTTCACCCAAAAAGTGTATAATTTGACTGTACCCAAAGAGGAATTTCATTATCTCAATTATCAAGAATCTGTTTTAAGTAGCAGACGGCTTGCAACTATAGTTTTAGCAAGTAGAGAGAATTCTCAATGATTCAAGGTCAAGCATAAACGTTGACAATATTTAATGTCAAACGACTGCATGATAGGTTAGTAAGGATAGGTTAAAGGAGAGTCAAGATATATCTATACCTATACGGAAGGGTTTCTCATGCCGACATGTCTTTTTATTCTGGTGACATGTCGGCTAAGACCAGCATGGGCAACCGGATGCCCAATATTATCCGAATGCTTTTCCTCCTAAGGCAACCAAGGCAACTAAGGCAATTAAGTATTGTCGAAGGACTTATATTGATTCTCTCATCATTCTGCAGCATCATCCTTGTGTCCTTCCGGACTACGACTTCGGCTCCGTCCTCTACCACGGTGAGATTGTCGGGGTCCCCTATTATTACCCTTACCCGGAGGTGGTCTAACGAAAGCAAAGTCGACGTTAATGACTTGGTCTAGCAGCCTCGTCTGGTGTGCGCCATCGATAGCGGCACGCGCTTCGTCAAGGGTAGCGTACTCGATGAGAGCGTAACCCTATTTCTCAATAGAAATATTAGAATTCGGATTTCCTTACATATAGCGTGTAGAATGGGTTTAGGGATTTGTTGATTTACCTTAACGTAACCACTACGACGATCTAGATTTAAATGTAGATTCTTGATCTCCCCGAAATCGGCAAATTTGTCGTGAATTGTCTCCTCGTCAGCTTCTTCGTGTACATTGGTAACCATAATGATCCAACCCTCGATCGATCGCACGGCCGTGGCCTTGGTATGCGTTTGCATGTCGCTAACCTTAGCTTGAGTAGCTTGGGGGGAGCCAGGCTCATCGATTTCCATTTCGACGTCCGCCATAATGATGAAACTTTTTAATTTTACGTAGGGTTAAATATTTCGATAGTATTTGCGGGGAGCTCGAGTAATGTTGTCGCTTTATTGTTGTCTTGTATGCAATGCAATTCAGCCTCAAGAGTTTGCGACGTGAACCTCGAGAGTTGAGAGTTGAGAGTTGAGAATTGGTGGGACGAAAGTATGGAAAGAATTAAAGAATTAAGATTTGATTGGTCAAAGCTATTAGTGACTAATGACGCGGGACGTGCCACCTAAGTACCTAAGTACCTATGTATATCCTCTATCCCTTTTACTTCCATATCCCCTGAATAACAACATTTTGTATCAAGGTATAATGATGATGCATACCCCATAACTACCACCTCCTATGAACTATCACGCCCTTCTCATGTAGGCTTATAAACTTATATTAGGTACCTATATACTTTACGTATCTAAACGAACCAACCACAAATTAACTCTCTATATTTGCCGGTCCAACCTCACGAGATCAATTACTCTATTTATCAAATCCCACTCTCGAGATAGACTCAAAACTCAATAGGAATCGCGATGTCGGAGTGTAACTATAACATGATTGGTTCCTTTTGCTGATCTACGGCATCATCCCCGGAGACATAGGGCGCAATCCTTGATTATCCAACCGGAATCATTATACTTACCCCGGTATCCATTACGACCCTCCTTTTGCTGATGTATAGAGCTAGACATTATATAGATAAGTTTAAAGAAGGTAGGTATAAGTGAAGCTTAGATGCCGCCTCGTAGATACTAACCTACCAACTATTATATCTCTATATGTAAGCTACGTGACATGACTCCCTAGAAAATGTCTACACAACAAATCCAGCTACAGGACCTCCCGATAGACCACCTTTCTACCCCCAGGTTAGAAGAAGATGGCAGTAGACCACCAGAACCTCTCCCAACCCAGACTTCGCCGTCCGTTCAGCCGGCTGACCGCAGCAAGGCCGCCTACCTTGTATTATCCGGCTGCGTGCTGATCCAGGCGCCTATATGGGGATATTCGCTCGCCTTCGGTATCTTCCAAGAGTACTACACCACCCACGGGACTGCCGTGCTCCCCGACGGTCCCGGAACCCCCGGCACAATTGCCAGTATTGGCAATGCCCAGACGGGAATATTGTACCTGATGATGCCAGCCACTTTCATACTTCTAACACGGTACCCGTATCTACGGCGTTGGTGCGGACCCCTCGGACTTCTCATCACTACCGCTTGCCTTATCGCGTCATCTTTCGCAACCTCGGCGCGTCAACTAATCGCCATCCAGGGGGTCTTGCATGCCATTGGATGCGGCCTGCTGTTCAGCCCTACGTCGCTGTGTCTCGACGAGTGGTTCTCGGAGCGTAAGGGGCTTGCGTACGGCGCCATGTGGGCGAGCAAGAGCACCGTCGGGGCTGGTATGCCGTTTCTAACAGACGCATTGCTTAATCGGTTCGGCGTCGGTACTACCCTGCGTGCCTATGCTATCTCTTCAGCTCTCCTCACGATCCCGCCGTTATTCCTCATGCGTGAATACCCTACCACCACTACATCAGAAGAGTACGAGCGACAAGGACGCCAAAGACAAGGTCATGTCTCCTTTGCTTTTGCCCGACATTCTATCTTCTGGATCCTGCAGTGCGGCAACATTCTACAGTCGCTTGGCTACCTCATGCCCTCTACATACCTTGCCTCGTATGCATACGCGCTGGGCTTTCCCTCCATAACAGGCCCCATCTTCCTTGCACTAATCTCTTTAGCCTCCGTACCGGGTTCGCTCTTAATCGGGCTTCTGAACGATACCGGACTTGCACCCACGACCGTGATCCTGATCTCGTCCCTAGGTAGCGCACTGGCCGTCTTCCTCCTCTGGGGTTTGGGTGGGCACCAAGTTGCGGTCTTAGTTGTCTTCACCATCATGTACGGTTTCTTCGCCGGCGGTTTTAGTTCCACTTGGTCCGGTATCCTGCAAGAGATGAAGCGCCGCGACGGCGCTATTGACACGGGTTTGATTTTCGGGATGCTGCTTGGCGGCCGCGGTCTCGGCTTCGTGCTCAGTGGACCCATAGGGGGAGCTTTGCTTGAGGCAAACAGGTTGAAGACGGAGGATTTCTCGGGGTACGCTACGCAGTATGGTCCTATGATCATCTATACTGGGCTAACCGCAACCCTCGGTGCTTGGGGTTGGTTCTGGACAATAGGGAAACGAGCGATGAGAGCCCTATAACAAGACTAGATAGATCATACCTCGGTACCTGTTATCTAAATTTAAATCTACGGATGACGGTCAGTCATACGTACCTGGTTATAATATTTCACAGATAGTCACTGCTTGTCGATAGAAAAGTTTCATAATTTATTCAATTATGCAATGTAGCAGCGCCCTTCCGTGGATGCGCGTGACCTAGGTATGGCCTTTACAATAGGCTCCTAATTATACAATGAATGCATTTCATGCAGACTCCTTTTTGTAAACCTAACAATGCATGAGCCTCGTGACTTAATCAAACCGCAAAACTCCAATGGCCAAGGACCCCCGAGTCCTTCCAATAATCCACCACTTCGGTGGCTTAACCCAAGATAAAAACTCCGAATGCTCGCCATACCTCCTTCAGATACCAAGGACGCCGTTCCATGAATGATCCTTGCTCATCGCACCGTGTAAGGTGTACTCGACGAACTCTGCCGTCATCTCCTGACCGCTCGCCTTCTGCCCTTCGAGGGCATCGTAGAGATAGTAAATCTGATCTCTCTTCAGGTCTCTTACTTTCCTGATCTTGTCGATCTCAAAACCCAATCGCTTCCACGTCTTACGGTTGATCGACGGGTCGCATTTATCGAATTCTACAGCTCTCTTTTGGAAAGCTTCTTTGAGATGTTGCTCCTCGTCTTCCAAAGACCTTATAACCTTGGCTAAGGCCATTGCCGGGTCTTGCGATGGGCGCATTGTACGCTGATCTTCGCACTCTTGTGTCTCTGCAACTCGGTCTGTGACGGGAATCGGCTTCTTTGCACGGATGGGCCTCTGACCAGAACCGCGAGAATTGATTCGTGAGCAGACAATGCAGTTACCGCAGTCATGATCGTGACAGAGGTTATCGAGAACACGCTTGGCATCCTTGGAAAGCTCGTTCTTGGTAGTACTAGCATTCTGCTTCTCGGCCATCTTCCTCTGTCCGAGTGTGATATCATCAATAAATAAAGCTGAGGTCATATTATCTTCATGATCTGTATCCATATCGAATCGTGCACTGTCCGAGTTGCGACGATGGAATTTATCCATGTCCGAAATCTCGCTGGGAATGCTCATACCCGACTTGACACTAAATCGACCCGTAAGGTCTGGTTCTGGCACTGATCGAGATTCCTTTGTGGCACGTTCTGTATGGGTTTTCATCAAGTCATCATGCATGGCTGGTTGGCCAAATGAGACTTTTCGAGGGTTAGTGTCGTCCGGCTTCGACTTCCGCACTCCAGTAACCGGGTCGGTTGTCTTATTTCGCTTCTGCGTGTCCTCGAATCCTGTTTCGGTTATAGTGCGGTTTGTCTTCTGTTTCTGAGAGTTCAACCGAGAAGGTTGAGACTCCTTTAGAATTCCAACAGGCTGGGATTTGCCTGTTTCTGCCCGTGCCTTAGACGTCCCAGAAACGACCTTTTGTGAACTTATAGATCGGGGTCGACTATTGGGCACAAAAAGTCGTGGAAGACTTGGGCTAGCCGGCTCACTTATATCATCATCGTCAAAAAACGATTCGTTGTCGCTTGAGTCGTCAGGTCGAGTATCGTTTCGAACTTGACGGAGAGCATCTCGTAATTTAGGCATTTCACCTTGGGTAAAAATGCTCGCAAAGTCGGACCCCTGTGTGAGGTCAATCTGTTGCGTGTAGTCATCCTGCATAGGTATATCGGTTTGAGATGTGGTGCTTCTAGCTGTGGTCTCACTAACCGCTGGCTTGCCCTTTGGTTCAGCAATGCGTGTTGTCTTTGCATGCTGCTTCTTGCTTACAGTACTCATAAAGTCCTTGATTTCTTGAGTAATCTGACGAGCCTCGTTAATAGCGTCTGTTCTCCTATTGAGTTCAGACTGAAGCTTGGCTTCTTGAATGGCACTTTTCTTCAGCTTGTTTGCCAGAGCTGACTCTTTGTCGGTAATGAGCTCCAACTGCTGCGTCAAGGCTGTGTGCTGCTCTTCGTACATGGCAACTTCCTCTCTGCTTTCCTTCACAATCTGTTCGAATCGTTCACCAATTTGATTCAATTGCTCCTTATAACGCGCATTTGAGCGACCAAGTCGTCGTTTCTCTTGCTCAAGAGCCACCCGTTTGGATGCAAAATCGGCTTCCAGATCAATAACCTGTTGTTGAAGCTCGGCATTCTCCTTAGAAAGCTCGCGGTTCTGCACCTCGAGACGATACTTGATATCCTTGAAATCGACAGACACTTCACCGGTCTCTGCATTGGTGGCATCAAGCAGTTTCCGTAATCGAGCGACATTATCTTGTAACTCGTGTGTTTGTCGATCAAGTAAAGAGTTCTGCTGCTTGAGGACCTTATTGTCGTTAAAAAATTCATCATTGTGACGCTCGAGGCTAAGATTGTCTTGCTTGAGCATGTCTTTCTCCTCTGAAAGCAGCTGATGCTCGCGGCGGAGCGCCTCTAATTCCGCCTTGGTGCCCTTGAGTTCTTGCTCCAGTAACCCATTTTGTTGGGAAATGTCCTCATTGTGTTCCCGGAGCGATTGGTTTTCTTCTAGCAAAGATTTCCACTTTTGTCGGATCGAGCTGTTATCCTTGCGCAAGGATCTATTCTCCACTTCGAGTGTATTGCCGTCTTGAGAATTATCATCACGCTGTGATTTGAGTTGACGACGAGCTATATTGAGTTCGGATTGAAGCTGCTTTATCTTGTCCGAATACTCAGTCGAGGTCTTTAGAGCTTCATCGCGCTCAGCGACGTACGATTCAGTATGAATTTCGTTGATACTGATCTTCCGGTTTGCCTTATCTAGGCGGGCCTGCAGAGAGCTGACTTGCTCTTCCAATTCTAAAAATTCATTTAGCGACTTATTAGATGAGCTGGAGGAAAAGAACCTACGATTCTTCTGCGCACTAAGATGATCTATTATCGAACTCTCCGAGTCGGAGCCCATAGCACTGTCCTTCCGAGACTTGTACTTGGCAATCTGCACATGCATATCTTCGATCTCTTCATGCAGTTGTTCGGCCTGTTTTGTAACAAGCTCATCATGCTCTCTTAGAGCATGAATTTCATCCTTGATCTTATCCAAGGATACGAAAATCTTCTCCTCGTCCTCTGGAATCGAAAGCGCTTCAATATCGGCATGGTGATCCGGGTAAATCATAGACTCGCGGTCGTGGACTTTGCCGTGTTTGACGAAGATAGGTATGCCATTCCGGAGGGATGACAGCTTCAGAGCACCCGATAGAAAGTCGTTCATGTAGGAAAGATTAGGTATAAAGAAAGACCGGGCGGTCTGATTAGGTGTAGTAGGGCTAGCTATATGATCTGTTCCTGGTTGTCGCTCTGCATTAGCCCTAGCGGCATTTTGTAGCTGTGGCGATAGTTGCGACTTAGGGGAAACCTGTCTGGATGGCTGCTCCTTGGATTCGGCCTGTTTGGTCTGGGCCGTCTTGAGCGTCTCGAGTAGGGCTGTAACATTGCCACGTCGAGGCTTCGACCTTTTTGCGGCATTGGATACTGACTGTGGACGGTTTCCTTGCTCTTGTAGATCCCGCCGGGGTTGTGCTAGCGGTTCGGGAAAATCTAATGAGCATTCGGACTCGTCTTCGACTCTTGGTTGCATCTGAGCCCTTGATCGGGAAGGGCCTTGCTCCGTCGCAGTTATTCGATCCTTGGCTGTGTTTGTTGCTTTTGTATTACCAACCTAAAAACAGAATGTCAGCCGATGAATTCCAACAATTATAGAGTAGAAAAAAGTTACATTTTGTGTCGCAATAGAACCATGAAAATGTACAGAAGGTCGAAATCCAGACTGTGTTACAGAACGATCGCGTAAGCAAGAGCGCAGGGCGGAAATAGAAATGGAAGAACTAGAAATAGGTGTAGAAACTGAAGACTCGGAAATAGGAGAATCGACGGAAATAGAGAAATCAGTACGAAAAGCGGAATCATTGCACTGTTTTGCAGTAGCAATGCTGCCCTTGAGAGGAATATCCTGGGCAGCAGGCAAGACTTCCTCACGCAAGCTTCGGACATTTGTCGTGGCTTCGCTCGGATGTAAGCAACCAGGGCTATTTTCACGGGTAGGCGTTCGACGACCACTCGCCTAGAGTAATCGATCTGTCCGCGCGACACGGGCAGCATGAACAGCTCGGTCGACTTCCCTGTTCACGTCCCGAAATTGCTGCGCAAGGGTGAGGATATCCTGCCTTGCGCCTTCCAGCGACTCTAATCCAGCAAAAGGCATACGCGGCTTGACATTATCTAGAAAGTTTGTACTAACCTTATCTCTATTAGACGCTTCTGCCCTAGGGGTAGCGCCCACCGATGAGTTAGGGCTTCCAAGAGGTGTCAAGTTCTCCTTTTCCTTAGAGACTGGGACGTCGTCACTACCAGTTTCCCACATGTCCTTCTCGTCCTCGAGTCCATTATGATTCCAACGGCTCCATTCGGGGAAGGTTCGTCCTAGTACAGAAGTATTAATGTTTAGAGAGGATGGTTGAGGGGCCTTAGCGCTACGCATGGCAGCTTGGCTCGGTAGGTTGATAGATAAGTCGTCCATTTGTCGTGTCGATTCACCTTGAGGACCGGTAATATTCGAGGTAAGTGTGATGGTTCCGTGGGAACCAGTAGATGAAGGTGGTGAATTAAAAGGATTCTCAGTATTCTGATGCATCTCCCTAAGGATGCGAGACTGATATCTGCTCGTTTTCGACTCCATGTGATCCGTCACGCGTTAAACGCGATTAGGATGGAATCGAAGGATATAGTAAAACTAAGGTACCAACTAGGGCAATATAATGATGCGTAAGCATCAAGAGACGCGTTGATAAGCGTGTAAATATAGGTGAGCGATTCAATCGCGATTCTAGAAGAAGGGTGTGGAAAATTGATGATGCTGCAGGCGTTGCCTAGCAGATGGGATGGTTGAGGAAAGACGCGTCCAAGCAGTGATCAATGTCAGAGCAGGAGCAGTAAGGTAATGAATCAAGTGTTTCCAATATAGTATTTGCAATGAAGCAGAATGAGTTATGCGAAAAAGCTTTGGAAGTAGCTGATTGACAAGGTTGTGTGTATTGAATCTGAAGTTTGGTTCCTTCTGTTGATGAATTATGAGAGGAAGGAAAATGGAGGAGAGATCGAATTGATGTTTACGTGCCAAGATATGGGGCGCGAAAGGCGGTGGGGGGTGGGGTGTAATTACGGTAGTCACGTCCTTAAGTACCTAAGTACCTCTTTCCAATTTTGCCCCAAAAGGGTACCTAAACCTTGTACCCTTTCACATGCACTCAGGTACCTCAGGTACTTCGTGCATTACGCTAAAAATCTGGTTGCTAGGGGCTTACATGTGGACACTTAAACAAACATTGAACTCAGTGGCATTTCAATAAACGTTAGGAAGGTTTTCACACAGATATGGGCAGTGAATCAGCTTGCTTAAGTGCCTACCTAATATACATTGACCTAAACTACAGCACGCCCACTACATGAATATACCTTGGTACATAGACTACCTAGGTGCCTTGCGCATCACCTCCAGAATACATAATCCCTGTGGAAATCAAAAAGGTTTCATTGGCTCATAAATTTAGTTCATCAATCGATTGCGAATTAGCATGTATATAGTACCGAAGTACTCAAGTATATCCCCAAGGATAACAAGCTCATTGTTACAGAAACTCCTCCTTTGATCTATATCCACGCCTATACCAAGACATTATTTATTTAAGACACTATCTTCTTACAATAATTTAAGAATAAAATCTGCCCTCTTTAACTAAGTATCTTACGAATATCTCGTATAGTTATACAACTTTCTCGTAGTGTCCTTCCTAGTCGCATATGGCTCCTTTAGGTGACACCCAGGATTTGTAGTACCTACACGATAGCTCTCAAAGCTACCCGTATGTCTCCTTCAAGATGTCAAGATGCATAGCACCTACCTATCTACCTAGGTAACCTATATAGATACTCGAGTTCTTACTAAAACAATCAATCAAGATCGATAATTAACACGATGTACTTGACGTCCCGACCATCTCAAATTCGATTTCTCCGGATTCAACTATCAAACAGATAACATATAGTCATGATTTGGTAAAGGGGCGTTTAGGTAGTTTTGATATGATTATATACCTTACCTGAGGTACTTGAGAGCATGATATCTGACGTATTGTAAGTGGTACGGGATTCGGCCGCGAAAGCGACTATACGTGGCTATCGAAATCACCAGAGGCGTTACTTCCCTTTGAACAACTCCATGGTTTTGAAACATTGAATACGCTGTGTAGGTTTTCAATGTACTTGAATGTAGATAGTCTGATATCTGAGAAGGTTGAACATGGAGGATACATGTGTAAGTTAACAAGAATTGTGATACTACAGTCATCGATGTTTGAATGCAATGAATATGTTCAACTTGTTTTCGTCATGATATATTATGATATATAAAGCCTCTATCGGCAATAATTAGCATTTCTCTCACGATCATCAGAATATTCGTCAGAATATAGAAAATAACCACCTAATGCACTCAGGAAATCACAATGTTCACCCAACCCATCCAGACCCTCGAATTCGGCCTTCTCCTTGGCCTCTACCTCTGGGACTATACCGATGGCGAACAAGGGAGAACACTCGCGAGGCAATACCAACCCTTTCCCTTACCGTCAAAAGAAGATGCTCGATACACCCCCTCCGATGTTTCTATCGTTGTACCAACTATCGACTGGGATGAAACCCTTCCTAGCAATCTCATAACCTGGCTTGCTAACAATCCCCGCGAGGTGATTTTCGTGACCGTCGATCGCGAGCTATTAAGGTTACAAAATACCCTTCAGTCTACCCCTGGTGTCAGGGAGGCGATGGAAGAAAGCGGAGCGAATATCTTTATTCTCTCGGTACCGCAAGCCAATAAGCGAACTCAGCTATGTCGAGGCATTAACGAAGCAGCGGGCAATATCATCGCCCTCGTCGATGACGACGCCCTATGGACAACCCAAGACGTACTAACAACCCTGCTTGCCCCTTTCCAGGACGACGATATAGGTCTTGTTGGAGGACCCATCGACTCGCACGTACCAGAGGAACGTCAAAATCCCGGGGTCATCACTGGCTGGGAGGTTGCCGCTCTTAGGATACGACAGAGGCGAGAAAATGGCATGGCAGCTTTCTATGCCGCCGACGGCTCAACAAACTTCACAGTCTCAGGACTTACAATGCTATTGAGAGCGGAGATAGTTAAGGATTATTACTTTCAACACCTCTTCACGAACGATATGTGGAATGGAATGAGGCAGAATACTGGCGACGATGGGTTCATCACACGCTATATCCTTTACCAACATCACCTTACCGATCGCTTCAAGTCTACTGTCCTACCAAAGCAATGGAGGCTTGGTATTCAACTCAATCCCGAGGCCCGAGTCCTAACGAGTTTAATACAAACCAGTGCCTTCGCTCACCAGAGCAAAAGATGGTACCGATCTGGTCTTAGACTGCGGCTCACTTGCCTCCTATACGAACCGGGATATCGTATGATGAAAGTAACGGCGCCTTATATGGCTCGGAAGATGGCTGGGGGCATGGTAACCCCCATTTTCACCATCGTCCGGGCATGTCTTTGGTATAGATTGTGGGTGAACTTTCCTTGGTTCGCACTAGTTTTGCTTTCTTACGTTCTGTACAATTGGTTTTCCGGCCTTTATACATTCTACCGGCGGTTCCCATACTGTGGTTCGAAGATTTGGGCTGCCATGATCGCCGACAACTTATATCTTGTCTCCGATTTCTATTCCTGGGCGACTATATCTACTGAGTCGTGGAGTAATAGATCAAGTGTCTAAAAAACGCGCCATAAGATATTGGTGAGTATGAGTGCTGTGCCATTATTTTATGAAGTAACCCTAGGGATATTATATGGATATTACGCATTATGTGATAACCCTATGTTGAACAACATAGTATTTATTTAGTATGAACAGCTACATTGTTTAGCTTAACCCCTATCTTTGACTAAGTATTAACATAGTTTACAATAATACACCATAATAATGAATTCTAATGCGTTCAAGTATATTTCCCGTGTACAATTTCTTTGTTAAACGTACCGTTTACCTAACATCATCTTTATATAACTCTTCATAGTATTCTAAACGGAGATAACTGTCAAAATAGTCTACTACTCGATGCCCCGGACAGGTATGTAAAGTTTCGTCTTGTACAAGTCCTAACAAACCATAGACTCCGCTTTTCAGATTGTCAAGATTCCAAAGATAGAAAGTCCTTATCAGGGAGATTAGGGACTCAGTCCCTTCTGCCTGGAGCTGGTCTTTCTTGGACCTGACTTTGCTGAGGTTCATAGGAGCCGGGTAGTCAATAAATAAGTTGAAAAAAAGGAGACAAAAGGCCAAGAACTCTGGCCACCAGACACCACGGGATCCGCAAAGAATCCATAGATTCCTAGCAAGAGCGAATTCTTGTGCAACCCACAAGCGATTCCAATATGGTCTTGAAAAGAGCCTTCTAAGCGTATACCGATGATCATCGTTGGCATTGATATGGTATTCTGAGCGTTGGGTACTCACTCCTACGTGATGTGAACTACTAAGAATTACTATTGCTCGGTTTCGTGTCGGTATCTCTTTTTATGCCTTTCATTGGCTTTCCCGTTTTTCACTCTGCTATTGTAGCTTCTCCGACTAAGTCTCGGCCGAGAAAGGTAACTGATTGCCACATATCAACTATCGAGAAAGCAGTTCGAAATTCTGAAAATATGACTTAAGGGGTTCTAGAGTTCGCCGCAGATTCACTAAACACCACTAGGCGCACACTACCATGGAGCCAGTACGGGGGAGGTTATAAATTTAGGTTGTGCCTGGAAGGGTTAGGTACCTACTTTATGATACATTAACTTTCACTTGAGCCATGGCCTGTACCGCTATAGTATTACTAGGACTTTCTGAGGGGGTTTCTACATATTTACTCCGTAAACTTTCCATGATATGAAGACCGTAATTAATTTAATAAAAAATCATACAAATTACCTCTGTCTTCTGCGCTATCTCTAATACAGTCTAGGTTTAAATTCTTTTCCCCCATGTCATGCTTTGTTACTATAAACCGCGCGTGTATCCGCCACGTTCGCAACAAGGACAGAGCTTTTTAAACGTAATGACTAGGTAGTAAAAGCCAAAGCATGAATTTAATCTTAATAATGAATCTTCACCTCTATTTTGAGTTTGAGTAACATCTTTCGAATTACATCTAACTACCACCTCATTCTACACTACTTAGAAGCATTAGGTGGGTATCCAAGCTTGAGAACCAAGCCACGTAGGTAGTTATTATAGTTTGAGTAGAATACACGGTATGATCCCTAATACCCAACTCAAACTGAAATTGTAATATGTATAAGTCGTATCATCCTATCAGAAAGTAAGATAAACGCGCTTACAGCTATGACGTGAATTGGAAATTATGAAGCAGCTGCACGTGGGCCATCCATACGGTAATCATTCTTGATTTACACCGTCAAAGCTCACCGCAAAGAGGCTAAGCCATGTTTGTAAAGGTAACCCCCTATACATGTCTCTGGGATGATAAAAAGTAGCGTCCTCCACACCCCCATATATTAACCCGCACGTATTTCGCAGCTAAATCTCTTAAAATATACTTACATTTGTCAAAGTAGGTAATGACCATAAATCTTTTTATAAGCCATAACCATTATTGCTACATAATATTGTTACGTACCTTTTTATAGAAGATCGTTTGTGAGATACTACATCTAAGAAGAAGCCAGGCAGCAAAATTATGTGTCCACATTTTGGTGGATGTTAATATTTATTAGGATGGTCACGGAAGGAATCACATACATAAACTACGGAGAATACTAACCGATCTAACCACTCAAATAAGTTTCCGTCAAATAAGCATAATTGATAAAGTATGTCGATCTCTAGATCGGTGCATATCCCGCTCGTGCCGCTCAGCCGTTCAGCCTGGTTCCAGCTGAATCTAAAAATAGATACTAACATTACTGCTCAGCTATGACTTCACTGGCCAAATCCTTCCCATACTAATTGAAGTTCTACCTGAGGCTCTCCACATTGACATATTCTTTATAGGCAATGATAGACTTTAATTATGACTTCATATCGTCAAAGCCTCATTCCTATTAACGTTGAGAATCGAGATTCAATTGCAAAAACTCCGGAGGAAGTACTATTACCAACGGAAATTGATAGCGTCGCCACGAAGGCATAGACGAGATCTGCAATTATAGAGTTGATAGTAAAAAACGAAGATCATTGTTTTCACGATCGTCATCGTGACTGTGGAGAGGGAATATAGGAGATAGAAATGTGTATAAATAAATGGATCGTTTTCCTGCCATCATACTGTATTATTCCTCGACATCAGAAAACAACACCACAAATATTCTAAACAACACTACTTAATTTTTTTACAATGTCACCAATTAAATCTTCTGGCCTCATCGGCCTCGCGACTCTTTTACTCCAAGTTAGCGCCTACAAGCTGACCGCCTATACGGAGAAGGGATGCACGGGTGACGTCCAGCAGACCATCGAGGACACCAAATATGGTGACTACTGCCAATACTTCGACGACAAGGCCGTATCAGTGAAGGTAGAGGATTCTGGAGAAGACTATCAATGGATTTTCTTCAACAACTGGTGCAGTAAAGACGCCCAGGTCGGCTCATTCGTTGGAGATGGCTGTATGACCATGGGCAAGACGAAGATTAAGGGTGTGAACAACATCTTACCCGAAGGTTCCCCAAGCAAGCGAGCCTCTGCCGGCACTGTAACAACTTGGAAAAACACGGACTGCTCCGGTACCTCAGTGTAAGTTATATTTCCCCCTACCTACACTTATTCATGATATCCGGTCTAACAGAGTTACTCTATAGTAATCAAATGCGATTCATCGGTGAAAACCTTCCTGTCACCCTAAATGACGTCTCATCTATCAAGGTGAACGATGTCCCTGATGCCGACATTGCTTTCGCTTGCAGCGACTCCGACTGCCATGTTGAGAACCAAGTTGCAACTCTTGAAAACGACAAGTGTGTCAACGTCGAAGGCAAGAAAGTCAAGTCTGCCATGGCCATCGGAGTACCTACTCCCCCTGGAGGCCGAGATGTATTACCGAAACGCCGTTACACACGCAGCCTTATGCTAGAAGCGCGAGAACGAGATGCTCTGGAGATCCGCGCCGACGGCGTCGAGTGCGACGCCACTGACGGACCCGACTACAAAGATGCCCTTAAGGTTGGCGACGACTGGCAAGGAGACAACGGGTTATCATGCTGCTGCCATGTCCCTGGTGGTCCTACATCGAAGTCTTCCGGCTCAGCTAAAGCCTCGTTCAGCGAGAATTTCCAGTGCCCCGCTGATCCCTCCGGCATGCCGCCACCACCCACCACTTGCCCCATGAACTGCAACACGCTGAGGAGCTACGTCTACGCTATCGCTACTAAGTGCAAGACCAATGATGGGAAGACTGGCGGCACATATAAGCTCACTGGTGATCGCGAGATCAAGGTGACCCACAGCTAAATTTATGTAACGGATGGAGGATTTTAGCTACGACAGTGATGGATATTTTATGACGAGATATGTCTTATCTCATTACTGTTACCTTGTACTATTATTCATGTTTTATATCTGTACTATTATGTACTATATATAGTTTTTGAATTGATACTCTATCAAATCTATCTCTAAGAAGATCTCTTTAATGGTGTTATATGCTTGTGGGCTTAAATTGTACCTTGGTCCATCCTATATGCACGAGTACCGAGTAATGCAGAGCCCTGACGAAACTAAGTAGCAACTTATAAAATGACATATTCGACTGATAAAATATAAGTAGCGAGCTTCTATGTACCTAAAATACTAGGACATATAGTTGGGAAGAAAGGGGAAAGACATGTTCATGCTCTTTGAAGTGGCATCAAGGAGTACATGGTCTCTAGGACGATTCAGTACACTATCGCCATGGCGATTCACATCCAAGTTCGTAGTCTAACCACCAAATAAAAAATGCCTTAAGGAAACAAGTGCAAATGGGGTAACTTCTGCATGAAAAAGAATAATGGTAACCTGAGCAACATTTTCTAATGTGTTCTCAAAGAGTCCAGCCCTCCCTCAACTTCCCCCCTTGTTTTTCCTGCTGACATCCAAGTATCAATAAATGTTGAGTTAGCAGTGAAAGGTCTTTCTAACCTGTTTGACCTTTCTCTTGGCTTGCACAAGATTGCCATCACTTAAGAGGTTATCCATCTTCAAGTTCAGGAATCGAGGTGTAGTACCTAGGCAGGTCCTTCTATCTCGCGAAGCTTCGATTCTCGACCACAGAATCCTCGCCATCACCGTGTCATTACCTCCAGTATCCAACCAAGCTATCACACCCAGTCCACACCAGCTCGATCTATCAGCCCTTCTTCACCTTATCCAACCCAATCATCCAAGCAACCCAAAGCACCAAAGCCAACATGTGCCACCAGTACTACTCCAGCTTCACCCAGTGCCCCTGCCAGCTAAAGCGCTTCTTCTGGCGCTGCAAGCACGGCCGCCGATCGCCCAAGTGCAAGTCCGTCCAGAAAGTCGTGCTCAAGTCGGGCGACGCGCTCTGCGAGTACCACGCCATGGTAGACAGACGCCGATGGGACCGAAGCCGGCGGTTCCAGCGCCACCGTGGCCGCAAACCACGGGCCGCGCCGGGCCCGAAACCGCTATGCCGCGAGTCCGTTTCCTCCGCCATGGTCGCCGACCCCTTTCTCTTCCCTCCTCCCGCCGACCCCTACGATTCTTCCTGCTGGGAGAGCGAGCCGGACCCCGAGCCGGAAAGCGAGGATCCGGAGATCGGGTCGGATACTAGCTCTGGCAGCGAGTACTCGGGTAACGAGGACTAAGGGGGCAAGATGAACTGGGAGTGAGAACGGCTTTAAACTCTCATCTAGTTGCTTACTGATCGAGGAGAAGTGCGACCCTCGCCCCCCGGCCAGTTCTACAATCGAATCATCGATATGTTGAACGAACGAATGTCTTCTTTCCTGAGAGCACCCTACGGCCTATAGAGCCAAACTAGTCGAATCGTTAGGAACTGAGCTGAAGATCGCGTTTGCACCTAATGTTTATGTCAAGGATACGATGTCGAAGCTACCTCGTTGGAAACTGTCTTTGAATGTGCTTTGCTTCTATTTTCTGTTTTGCATTAATTGTTGATTCGAAGAACTCCTCTCCACTACGTCAAACGATGAAGCAGTCTGAGGCGATATGATGTAGTCTTGCCAAGATCAAATTCTCCGTATCAGACGTATCTGTTTTGCATGTAACTAGTTCGCCTACTTTTGTTTTACGATGAGCACCTTTCTATGAAATTGCAATTATTCAACTTGTCTTGTTAATGCGTTCTCAACCTTGTAATTTGTTCTAAACCAAGTTGTCAGCTAGTAGTGGCACCAAGGGTTAAGCACTCGTTTTGTCAACTTAGCATCTGGCTCGTACAGTGTCAAGGAAATAGGAGACATTTAAATACAATGCTAGAGAGTCGAGTATGCAAAACTTTTAGTCTGGACCTTCGTAGACTCCTACAAGAGATTTAAAACCCGAGTAACGATCCTCTAACTAAGTTATATATATTAAAATTCTTGACCTTCGTATATTCTATGACTTCAACGGGACCCAAAAACCCGACACTACATTAGGTAGTTCTCAAGACAGCGAGTCATTGAGCACTTATCTTCCCCTAGCCTCCTTTTCCAATAAAGATTCTCGTATGCGCCACGCTATCGTTAATAGAAGTGTCACCCATTTAACTTATCCCGTCTACTTGCATCGCTTCGGCTTACATCTAGGAACGGGGTATATCGATGTCATGAACTCCAAAATACTCCGTTATCCTATACCTGATACACCCAAATCTATTTCCAACCCGGTTCTCCAGGATACCGCCTACCACCAACACCCGTTAATATAGGACTCTCCCTGCGATCTTTATACCGTCTTCGGTCTCGCGAATCCCTTTCGTCAGCTGTGACAACTCTTCTCCCATCCCAATCAAAATCGGAATCTCGATCCCTATCCCTGCGATCCCAGGTGTAGTCTCTATTTCTCCTGTCAAGATCCGTATGGCTGCTCGCTCTTCTGGGCTCTGCTGGTCGTAGATATGCCCTTTCTCGACTTCTTCTCCTCTCTAACTCTTCTTCTCGTTCACGCTCCCTCAAGCGTTCCTTTTCAATGACTCGATCGCGGATCCGTTCCCGTTCATGCTCGCGGTCGCGTCGTAGTGGATATTTAGAAACCCCTGCTTCAGACTCGTCGCTAGGATATGACTCCCCGGAAACACTTCGGCTGAGTCGTGACGAATGCTCTCTCCGAAAGCGCACAGTTGGCGCAACATTTGGCGGCTGGCGCTTCTCGCGGGAATTGCTTCGTTGTCGCTCAGAAGATCCTGAAAGAAAGGAAGTAAACTTCTGTTTTATTTCCGATGGCAAGCTTCTTCTGCGAACATCATCCGACCGTACATCCGGCCGTATTTCGCTACGGTGGGAACGAATAGGAATAGGTGGTGTTATAGGAGTCACAACTGGCATACGGCGTATGATAGGGGGAGCCGGTATAGGACCATGTGCTCGCGACTTGGAGCTAGTACGTCGAGGCGATACATCCGAGTCGGAATCCGATGGCGAGGCGGAATAGGGTTTTGATTGGCTATGGCGATGTGGAATATGCGGACGGCGAGGATCAAGATGGCTCGAAGGACGGGGATCATCCATCTCGGAACGGCGAACCTCTGAAAAGCTTGGTCGTCGAGGCGGTCGAGGCGGCCGATCCGGCGAACTACTACTTCTACCACCAAGAGAACTGCTGCCGCTGTGGCTGTGGCTGCTGCTCTTCCGTCGCTGCCTTGGTGGTGCGTTCCTGGAAAAATAGGGGTCGGCGTAATTACTTCTCGACACATGGGCATACGCAACAGGCCGTTCCCGTTGAAAATAATCCATTTCCGGTCTTTGGCGAGGCGTGGTGGTATTGCTTTGAGGGTTTCGCACATGCGTGAAGGTGGTATGGATCCGAGGTTCAGAGTCACGTCGTTTAGGTGGGTGTTCATCTTTAGGAGTAGCGTCTTCCCGTAGCTTTCGCGCGCATTCCTTATGCCAGGCATCTGTCTCGGGATCGCATTCGGCTGGAAAGGCCTCTGCTGGTAGATCAATTGGAAAGGGTTTTCCGGTGTCGGGGTGTACTAGGGCCCAATTGCGCACAGCGAATTGCATGAATGGTACGTGTTCTTGGGGTTCTAAGAGAAGCTGGATCGTCTCCCATCGTACAAACCCATTCAATGTTAAGGCCGGAACATTGGGTGCTTCGAAGGGATTCTCGGCCGGTTGCAAAGTATGCTGAACGCCCAGAGCTTGCCAAATGTAAGATATAGATTTATAAGGGCATTGTAGAAAGAGCTGGTCATAGTCACCACCGACAGCACGATAAAAGGCGGCTAATTTTGTCGGGGTTAGTTCATGACCATTAGTATCGCCAATATTGGCAGACTATAATGTCTTTAGGTTAGCGAAACTACTCTACATGTCCAAGTAAGCAAGGATATGCGAAAATAAATAAGACTTACAATATATTCTCCAATGGCGCGGAGTAGCGCATCGAGGATAGGGGTCGGTAATTTTCCATTAAAAAGATAGCCATAATATTCCTTTGCATTAGGTTCCGACGCCCTCGACTGCGATGGTGAGTTTGGTTGGGACTGCGGCTTGGGATGAGGTATATCGTTAGAAGTCGCGGGGGTCGCGGTAGGTTTACTGTCGTCAGCCTTTAAGCTCGCCATCTTTACTTGTTCATAAGAAGCGTCGATGACGAGTGGAAAACCATTGAAAAGCGAATCGGAAGCAGTGAAGGTGGTGAGAGATAATGCGAACACGTTGAACCAAAAGACTTGTTTCGGAAATAAAAGCGCAAATTGTATTACTGAATGAGATAGACTGATAGAATAGATGGAATAGATGGAACAGGCAGATTGTCGATCCTACAACGTTCAGGGGGTAGATGATGACTGCGTCATTCGCGAATGGACAACGACTGGAGCCGCTGCTTCACAAAAAATTAAGGCAACATTCAGAACAATATAAATTGTGTGGGAGATAGGTAAGTAAGGTAAATAGATTGATATAGTTGATATAATTATATGTAGGCTATTGGCCAGCCTCAACGAGACAGACGATCAACGAAATGAGTCGAATTCATCTAGAGTTGTAGGGATACGACTACAGATGATTCATAATGGCACAGCCGGATATGTAACCGTGGATGGTTGGGTTCTTGTTCTTGGAAGAAATATTCGGCGCACTGCATTTATTTTATTTTATTTGAATGGTGGGATATGATGGGATGTACATACACATACCTATAAATCAAGGTCAACAACAGGCTTCTATGAATTGAGCAAGGATAAATTGAGCAAGGGCAGGTTTTTTTTTACAGCTTGGGTAAGAAGAAAAAAGAATACCCCGCGCCAAATTGCCTGCTGACACGTGCACCCGGAATATACGCCTGACGTAACTAGTGGCATAGGTGTACCGTACCTGGTAGGATTTTGTACCTGCCTAACCTAAGACAATTAATGTCAAGGAAAAAAAAAAATATTGATAAGCTCAGCAGCATCGTCATCATCATTATCATTTACAGGTAATACATGTACCATTTATCTCAATCTCAATTATATTTGTCCTACTCTATGTCCTTATCAAACATGATAGAAATAGGACATAAGTATCGTACAATATTTCACATTCGTACAATTCCGCCTTGTTAGGCCAAAATACCTAAGTGCGACATGATGATGCACACTTCGTACGTGTATAACCAAACACATGTACCTATGCTAGTATCCGAATCTTGCACGACGACCGCCACTTACATCGTCGTACATTATGTACCTAATTTTTATCTCGGTATCTTGTCCAACAATTCGAAAGCACTTACAACCAATACAAAACCCGCCGCAATATTCCGGCGTATATCGCTCATCAAATGCGATTACTCACTATCCCTACAACACATAAAAAAAAAAACAATCTGCCAATCCAATTCCTACCCAAGAATTTAATTCGGGTATAACAACATTTCTAAATTATGGCTGTGTGTAGCTCAGCCATATATTTATTATACGATAGGTAGGGGGCCAAGTGCACTAACTATTCCCAATCCCTTGGGTCCAATATTCTGCAGCGGAAGTAATTATAGATGTCCTATGAGCCGCGCTCTTGTCCTTTTATTGGCAAGGCACTTTCTTCAACATTCTTCAACATTGTTCCAACTCGCCAACAGTTCTAACCATTAAATATGATATGTCGTCAAGATAAAACTTTGGCCCCCTGGACAGGCGACTCGAGTACGAAACCAACAAGAGTAATGTCGTCTGTAATACCCACCCGTGTATCAGGCTCAGTCCACCTTATAAATTGTCGGAATCCAGCCTTCTCGAGGACATGTTTACTACGCGGGTTATTATCATCGGCTATTGCTGACAGCATTTCCGGTACCTCTCCGGATCTATCCACCGATCCCTCAACTACCTCAATCTCAGCCTCGGATCGTGGTAAAGTCCACCAATGGTCTATAAATGCCCTTACGAATTCTGTGGCATAGCCCTGTCCCCAATACTCCTTTTTGAGCATGTAACCAACCTCGGGCCATCCAAAAAATAAATCGGTTTTCGGCATCCCACCCATCCCGATTATTTCTCCGGTAGAGGCGAGGCAAAGTATGTTGTTATAAGTCCGGATATCGTTAGGCGGTAGGTAGCGGGCCAAATATGATGTTCGTGTCTCATCCTTGCTGGCATCAATCTGACCGACCGCCGAGAAGTGCATAACCTCTGGTTGAGTACGTATAGCATAGATCCCATCAAGGTCTTCCTCGGTATACGGGCGGATAATTAGGCGCTCGGTGCGAATAGGTTTCCTCTCCGCATTAGGTGGGAACGGCTGGGTGGGCAGATACGTCTTAACTTTGATCTTCGAAGGTTTCGCCATTGTAAGCAAATCAATCCAGCCGAGATTGATACCGATTCTTATTGTTTGTCAACACCACACCGGACCTTTGTAGTGTTTAAGTAAAGATCCAACATTATCTACAGCCTACTTAAGATAACTTATGTTCTCTTATATCCGAGTGCCGCAGGATTCCAACACCGAAGTGACTCATATGACTCATAACCAAATCTTAGTTGCCCTCCCAAAAGGGAATGGCATGTATGTTTTCTTCAGCTCTATTGGTGAAGCGTCTGCATCTATAGTGATCTGTCACACAACTAAGTTCAAGCCTTGATTTGAGGCAATATTGATCTTATTCTTGATGATCTGATTGATTGTTTTGAAATCATGGGAACGCGTTATTCACCGCTATTTACATAAAATATGTAATAGCTGAGCGTGAATACGAATCTACGTCGTCTTTCTACTAGCCTAGATACCTAACATATTAGATTATGTCCTCATGATATGATGTACTGGCTGCTTGACCCTAGCTTCAAGAACAATCCTTCTACTACAAATGAGTCTGGCTTTTCTGATTGGCTAGCTACGGTGCTCGGTAGCATATTGAAAAAGCTAGGGGATTTCTCGCTTCATCGGCTAATATCAGCTTCTGATCTTTAATAAGACGTCTTTATTACGAGTGTATACATGTTAGGAGTTAAGGGTAACACAAGGAATACTAAGCCTAGAGACTCGAAGGGGTTGAGCTAGGTAGCATTAACGAAGGTCTACGGCGAGTTCTGACAACCCCAATACCAATAGCAGTGAGCAATGACACTCAACAACTGAATTTAACCGAGCTTGCCCAATCTTATATATAACTTCAAAGGTTCCTAGCCGGTTCAGAATCAATACGCCGGCTACCAGGTATGTAAAACATATTACATAAATGCATCACGTATTTCACATCTCATTAGAAAAGAAAATGTCCTCCACGCCTAAGCTATACCAAGGGGGAGAAGCCTTACAATAGAACTGCCCAGCTGGATAACATGTCAGCGCTCGGAATTTTTGGAGACGTTCTTGTCCTACTATTGCCTCTATCAGCCATCTAGAATCCCACGCGAACCTACACACCAAGATCAATATCATCATCTCTTTACTATTCTTATTCGGAATCATATGAGCGCCCCTTTTGCTTTTTATTTTCCTGCCATACATGTTTCATCCACTATTATCCACCTAAAGGGGAATATAGTAAACTAGTCTACATATATATCCAATGTCACTGGTGTTGCTATTCTACGATATGCCACGGTAGTTCAAGAAGATTTTTGAAATCCCGAGCTTACTATCAACCCTCAATACGCACTAGCACACCTTCTCCAGCTCTTAGCTGAGTCTACTCCCAAGGACGAACTGTTATACATAGACTTGCCGACTAGACTCGTGTTCGCATAATGAGAGATAGTTTCCGCATATAGGAAGCAGGTATTTACTTCTGCATTAGGTATGGTGCTTCAGTCACAGTCGAAGACGACAACGGCTAGATACCCATCCACTTAATGTATGGTATTAATGACATGAACTTGAAGCTTTATCTCGCCTACGTATGCAACGAAGATAATGTCTTCACTCTTAACGATTCGGGAAGCACGCCATTGAAATGTGTCCGCCAGTCTTTGAAGTTACGTGGTATGCCCAAATTGAAGATGAGATGACTCAGTTATTAGAAGAAGCGTAAATAGAAGGGCCCGGAATTATAAGCGAAACCCCAACGTCTGTGATGTGGTTTCCAAGTCAGTCATAGGTGCGAGGGAATTTATACTCATAAATACCTGCATATAATATCTCGTTAGTCATCATATTTCCATAGAAATGCACGCGTCCATACATGACACGATATATACAAGTCACTACTATTTACGAAAATTAAGAAAAGTATAAACTCTTCAGAAAACGTCTATCCTATTTACTTTTAACTGAGCCTAATTATTCCTGGTAGACCCAAGGTGTAGTAGTAGAAGGACTATATAATATATAAAAGCATATACCTCACATACCTGCGAGTTTAATTGACATATCAGTTCTCAATTCTATTAGCAACGTCCCGTCCTATAAAGGGAAGGCTACACACATAATTATCCGTTTATGGCAGCCAATGGTATGTAGATACGTACCTAGCAATATCACCTTCCGATCGCAGCGGGGAAATCATCAAAGCTTTCTATATACATGTACCTAACGAAGTGTTTAATACATAGGGAAAGAAAGGATCAGGTTAAATTACAACCCTGAATATCTACCTACCTAAGTGAAAAAGAAAGGCAACAAGGGCAAAATGGCGGTTAGTACTCACCTGTTTATAGATAACTCTGCTAACCGGTATTCAGGCTCTTCCTGGGAAATCACCCGATACCTCAAGCGTCACGATAAAAGTTGGGGAAACAGAACATCTTATCAACACCAATAAATTTCCTTACTTCAAGGCCTTTCTGAACTTCCAGCAAAAGTCTGGCCAGAATACTACTCCTGTGCCAACTCATGGTGATATCCCCTTTTTCGATGTCATCAACTACGGAGTATCCAACGGATTCCGACACTTCTTTCGTCGCATGCCTGTTCAGCTCTCCGACTACCATACACTCTGCGAAACCCTCGAGTTTCTTACTATTGACGTCCTCAAAGGGCAAAAGCTGCGTGATATCATGAACGATCTGAGGAAGTGCAAATCCGATTATGATAGGTTCGATGGGACTGGAACCATGGGGCAAAAAAGCATTGCACGAGACGCGTCTTTTAGGCTCTTGTATATATTCCTCCTCGGTGAGTTCGAATCGGAGGCCCAGGATAGGGCAATGGCCTACAATGCGGCTCTGTTCGTGGTGTCTCACCCTGGAACCTTCAAGCAGAGAACTCGGAAGATGGTTCGAGAAGCGTTCGAGGAAAGATTTCTTGTTACGGAAAAGCAGAAAAATGGGTTGGACAAGTGGCCCGTTTCTGATCTTCTTGAGGACCTAGAGGACGATTGTACGACCGAGGAATCCTCTGATTACCTTGAGGATTCCGACTATGCATACTGGAGCTCTGACTAGGTGCGAAAGTATTTTGGTATGTAATTATTAGGTGTTGGTACAGGATGGGTTGGCACAAGTGTAATTGGTATACCTTATAAAGGCTCAAAGGGGGACTGGATACGTGACCTTTAAATTAAGCTATATGATGGCATATAGATAACACCGAGTCAACGTCAAGCCTTTGACTAAATAGTATTAACCTAGAGACACATTGATGGACTCAGATCTGAAGCTATTGCTAAATAGGAGACTAGTGCCCCTATATGGTTTTCCAATACTTACCGATATTAGATCTGAGCATGGTTTCCTACATACTTCTAGCTGTGGCCTCATTAGTAACTATCCCAAGGATTTCGCTAATATACCTAATGATAGCTACCTAAGGATTGAGTACCGCTTTACCCCTAGTCCCTAAAAGGGGGAATATGGGATATAGTCACGTGATCGTACAGCTCCTCTATTTAAGAATATTATTTATTTACGAAACTACCTATTGACGAATCTACAATTCGTATCCATCTCTCAAACGAGTCTCAACCCAATACAATTTACGTCAATAATATTTCGTCTTTTAGTTAGAGAACATCCTCGCGTGCTATCCTCTACAACCCCTGTTAGAGGAGTTGATGCCTGAAATGCATGTGATCTAATCAAATGGGATTGGGGCTATGCCAGAGAAAGTAAACTACAACATACATAAACTATCACATCTCCTATTCCAATATACTTTCTGGGACCTCATGCCTAATGGCATTGGATTATTCTGCTAGGAAAGCCTCAACTACATGGCAGGATGCGGTGCAGTCCTTTCTCTCAAGTCTTGGGCCTAACGAACGGGCCGCTTTCCAGGTACCGACAAGTCCGGATGATTGCATGGCTGTTCTCCTAGCGACTCAGCGTCGCAAGAGCAAATTGACGCGGATCCTTGAACTAATGAAGCCTGCGATCGAGCCGCTCAAAAGATTCGAGAGCGCGGTCGATGTCATCGTTCAGGTTAACGCGGGAATCGCGTCCCCGATATGGGGTCCGCTGAGGATTGTCATAACGGTGAGCGGCACTTCGCCTGGACGCCGAATAGCTAGAAGCAACTAATGACGTCCATGCTACTCGAAGCTCTCCGCAGACCATTTTCGTACACTGGAGAGCATTGCTATGATCATCCATAGAATCATTAGTTCGCTGCAGAGATTCTCCAAGTATGAGGAGATGTTTGAAAAGAATAGTCTTGTCCAAGACGCAATAGGGGCACTCTACTGCGATTATATAGACTTCTGCGTTAGGGTTACGAGATTCTACTCGGCGTCATCTTTTCGTAGGCTACATTCATCGCTACTGATTGTATTTTACCTGACGTTTAACCAGGGACCCTCTTCGTCTCCTTCGATAAGGACTTCCACGATGTTACCGAGAACATCCAGCTTCATAGTCAAAACGTAGACTGGGCGGCCCATGCTGCGCATATAGAAGAGACACAACGGGAGGTGGAGAACGCAAAAGCTGAAAGACGAGGTATGGTGCCTAACCTAAGACGCATCGCCGTAGATGTTCTCTTCTAAACTATCGCAGCACATGAAAGAGGTAATATCCAGAGATGGTTGTCGCCGTCGACTGTCGATGACGACCTCCAAAAACACTTGGATGATTGCATACCTCAGTCATGCGACGGCTTGTTAGCTTCTCGGCAATTTCAATCATTCATCTCTTTGAATAATGATATAAATAAATCTCCTATCCTAGCATTACAAGGGTTGCCCGGGAGCGGGAAGACTACGGCAGCAGCCTTCATCATAGACCAACTAAAGAACGAAGGATTCAAAGTGTTATATTTCTTTTTCAAAGCTAATGACGTAGAGAAGCGCACATTGCTGAACTGCCTTCGAACACTGTTAGCTCAACTGATTCGATTAGAGGAGCATCTCTACAACCTTGTCGAGCCGTTCTACCAAGAAAGTGGCCGAGTGGTAGCCGACTCATTAGCTGAGGTACAGAGAGCTTTATCAGCTGCACTCCAACGTTCGAAAGCAGCTCAAATATTCGTGGTTCTCGATGCTCTCGATGAGTCTTCAAATAGCATAGAGGTTGCCCAATGGTTTACCACTCCTAAAGACAGTAGCGACGGGCCACAGCTTCGGATACTTATCACATCTCGCCCGTCGCCATCCTTTTCAAGGTCCCTTGACTCATCTTGGACGGTTCTCAGAATGGGGAGCTTTGAGAACGCGAGCGTCAACTCGTACATACTCTCCCGAGTTCAGAAAAATCCAATCATCCGCGACACAAAAGTCGGGGCGCTGGTCGCAGACTATGTCACGACGGCTGCAAGGGGACTTTGGCTTTACGCTCGATTGATGATGGATGATATTGATAAACTCCCCTCGGTCGGCCAAATCCAGAAGCAGCTCAGCGTTCTTCCGAAAGGCTTCACCGAGTTATACACACAGATAATTAGGACGACAGAGGCCAACTACAATGCGATTGAATTGAAGTTAGCCCAGCAGCTTCACTTGTGGGTTGATACCGCAGATTACCTTCCGGGGTTCTTAGTCTTGAGGGACGATCGAATCGGATACGGGACGTTAGAATTGATATTCCAATATGCCAACGGAGAGGTAGTTCATGACCCAGGTGTACAGGCTAGTCGCGTGTCAGGCCCTCTCATTGAAGTTTTCAACGACGAAAATATAGAGCGAATAGATTCGCAGGCCTACGAACTCGACTTCATTCATTATACAGCAGCCCAGTATCTAAGCGAGAGCAACGATCTACCGGTAGCGCAGCTACCACTTACTCTACGGCCGCGGCGTCTCCGACATCTGCACCGCGCTGCCGTCGCGATTTGGTATTTCACAGAGTGCAAGCAGTCAGAAGAGATGCTCCTGAATCTACGGTGGAGCGAGGGGAGACCTACAAACTCTTTGATGAGGTACTTCGAAATGGCATATGGACTTTGGAATGCCCTCCATCTAGTCGAGTTTCCGGACATTCAAGACGATCAAGAGGCGGCCGAGGCGAAGAGTTTACTTCAAAAACTAATTGATTTCATCTCAACGCCAGCATGTTTACGCTGGGTCGAGTGCGCCATGATCATCAATTATAAGGGAAAGTTTCCACATTTGTTATGGAATGCTGCCAAAGGTGTATGTTTTATCCCCCCCTTTTCCTCTTGAGCCACCTCAAATTCTAGTACGTTCGACTGAGAAGCTATTACTTTCAACACACCTAAGCTTCCTCTACTTGAAGTTCAATAACATACCTAATCACTAACTCTAATTAACAGTGGGAAGCGGGCAAGGATAACGAAAACCACCAGTTTGCACCATACCAAGCTTTCTCCAAGTCTCGAGTGCACTTCTTCCAAAACTACGTCCACGTCTTGGCGTTGACGGGCGTAGGAGCGGAGTCTGCCCCTCGTGAGCTTTTAGATTCTGCGAAAAACGGACCCTTACGGGATGAAGTCGCACAAGAGATTTTTCGTCTAGGGGAGCAATGGCGACGGCTTGCATTTCCTGGTTATAGTTAGGAATTGGATATCCGCCGATTATCGCAAGGAATCATTGATTTTGATTAGCTATATGCTATCTTCAAAGGATTTTAGGCTTGGTATAGGTATTTTACGGATTTCGGGCTCAGTAAGTCTCCCTTAGAGGTAGATAATGGATAAAGGGGCTATTGGTATGGCTCGGTTATTCATTGTGGTCGACATGAGATAAAGTGAAAGAGAATGATGTACCTAAGTCGAAGTTAAAAGGAAGGAAACGTGCTATCTTTGGTACTGAACAAAGACGCAGAGTACTTTCGCGCATGGTAGCAAAGTTACGTACGATACTATACATAGACGAATCATGAAAGACCGCTTAAAAGTGCATTGATGATATCCGACTCGAGAGACAATAGGTGATTCTCATATATAAGAAACTAGTCACACCTCTAGTGAGCAGAGACAAATTAGCTTTTCTCAAGTGTTCGTTTCCTTGTCTCCTATCAACTCACCCAAGTCATTTCGTGAACATCACGATTTCAGTCTTCAGCATATTCATTTCACAACAAAACGCCCTATTGGCTTAAACTAAACTCATATAAATTTACTATACGTTAACTTACCGCAAAACAACCATCATCAAATATAATTCAAATATTCAAAATGCAATTTGCCGGCATCATTCTCTTTGCGGCCGCGACTTTGGCTGGCGTCATCCCGACAGCGCATGATGTACGAACGGGTTTCCATGTCATCGCCCGTGGCGCTACCGACCAAGTACTGAAGCCCATAAATTTCGCACATGTCCAGGAAGATAGGCGAAAAGTGCAACTCGGCTCGAGGGGAAGTGGCAACTAGGCTGGGCTGGATCCCAACTTAACTAGGTCCATAGAGGAGGACAGACTATAATTTGTGTCCTCGCACTCACTAGGACAGTCATATAAATATACCTATATATTATGCATAATACATAGGGAAGCGACTTTAGGCCTTTTTAAAGGAGTTGTACCACTTGGTTCTTGAGGTTGCAAGATAAAAGTAATTATAGAAAATTCAATTCGTTAAATCGTCTTAGCCACTTGTGTAGCCGGGGTCGTATCAGTAGATTCCGGTAAAGTATGATGTAATATAGAAAAGAAAAAAATTGAGGGAGATTAAATAGAACCACAGCTTTCAACGGCATACATGGGAAACGTGAAAGTGAGGCGAATCAGAATGCTTCGTTGGCAGTGCCCCTCTTTTCAAGGAACGTAGAATTTGGAGGGGTGTGTAGACTTTGAACTTGATAACTGGTAGAGCTGATAATGCCAAACAGTAGGATAAGTAGCAGCATGGAAAGAAGTTGAAGGTGTACCATAGAAATATAGAGCGTTGATACGCTGGCTTCTTTCTTATCTTAACAGGAACCGTAGAGAGCTTGTGATAAAGGAACATTAAGAAAAGGGTAGAAGAAGGCACCTGCATGATGGGATCATCCCGGGAAAGGATCGAGACGGCGTATGCAGCCCCGGGGACTTGGAATGGCTCCATTTTCGACCCACCAACACTTTTATGCTGCAGCTTCTGTTCTAGCTGGTGTGTCGTGCTTCTATTCTAGATGATCATTTTCAATTGGGACAGGTTATACGATCCTGCGAAGAACTTGAACTTGAGCATTGCTGTTGATTTGTCAAATATCTTAGGTGGCCCATGAAGGATCTTGTGCTCTAGCAATAGGTAATTAATCTGAATAAGTACGTAACGATGGCCCATCTTGTCTTACCTATTGGGTAACACAGTACAAACGGGATAGGCAAAAAGGATTGGTACGCCATCAGATGGAAGAGGTCATCATCCCGGGGGAAAACCCCTGAGACTAGTTCCAGGCTATGACTCGTCGTGTGTGACGGCACATTTTGGCACCATTCGGAGCCATTCTCGCCTCAGCCGGGACAACAGCCGAGTCTAGTTCTCAATTGAATATTTTTAAACTGCGATGTGTATTAGATGGAATCGGATGCTGGCTAATAGTAAGCAATTAAAGCTTAGAATTATATAATTGATTCTCTTGAAGTTGAAGTTGACATATTTGAAATTTTCCAAGGGAAAAAGGATGAAATACTTAAAAGTCAAGTGCAGATTCGTATCTTAAATTCCTGCCGGCTTTCTGCTGTAGCATCTCTGCAGCTGTATTAATCCCTGTAGGCTCCCTGCTAAACCTAGCAAGTTAGCCTGATTACCCCCACTAATCCATCCCTTCAGGTGCTTGGCCCCTTTCTATGGCACCCTAGTGGCACCTCCGACACCGAAAGAAGCAGGGAGTGGGTGTAGCGCGCTAAACCAAAAATGATTTAAATGGATAAGCTAAGTCATGTGAAAGCGCGAGAATATCGGGTTGAGTTCAACGCGTGGGCCAACATCCATCACATCCATCACCAAATTTACGTGTTTGCCTGAAAGATACGGAATTACAGCAGAGTACAGCGCCATGCATCCTCACATACAGCCTGACATGGGTCTGTCGCTATATAAGGAGGGCACCGCCCAAAAATTCTTTTTCATTCAACCATCTGCAACATTGGAGCCTCGGGCAGGTAAGGTAGGCCATTTTTATCATTTGATCATCTCATCATCTTGTCGTCTTTTTTTTCCTCAAGTCTTTTTTTCATCCTCGCAAACTTCTACATTCCATCACCCGACTTAAACCATCTTGATTATTCCATCAACTGGATTTCGGTGATCCAAACGCAGTTGATACGATATTGAGGGGATTATTCCTTCGGTCGGAAACTTAAGATAAATTAATAAGAAGATATCATTCATTCATTCATCTACTCAAAATGTTCAGTCGACGATTTGAGCCAGCCGCGAATAAGAGTTTCTCCAAGACTCAAAAAGTCAATAAGTCCAGTTCATCTTTCAGTAAAAGTAGCGGAGTCTCTAAGAGTCGACATGAACCTCGTCAACATCGCCGCCCGGCGACTGCGACATCTTCAAATGTACCTATGGAAACAGCCCTCTCACCAACTGGGTATGTCTTTAATTCTCATATTCTCACTTGTTCGTTTTTTAATATACATTTTAATTAACTTCATTTTCACAGCACGTTAACCCCTTCCATCGTCACTCTGGTCATCGGTAGTGACCAACGCATCTTCGCCGCCCACGAAGATGTTCTCCGCGCTTCGTCGTGGTTCCAGCAAGCCTTGTCGAACCAGTACATGGAAGGCCAGAACTCCAAACGCATACATCTCCCAGATGAGGAACCCGAGATCTTCTCGTCTATTCTAGAATATCTATACAAAGGCGACTACTACCCTCGCCTAATCCATAATAAGCGTCGGAACTCGTGGGAGATTGAGCAGATTGAAGATGATGATCGTGGCTCGAAAGAGTCAACCGTTTATCACCGCGGCGTTGATGGCGACGTTCTTAAGGACACCGTCATTTATTGCACGGCCGACAAGTATGGCCTTGAGGAACTCAAGCGAGTCGCTCTACGCAAACAGGGTCTTCGTAAGTTATCGCCGTCATTTCAATTACCTGTTATCTTAAACCCGGCCACTAACATATCAACAGAGTCCGGTATTCAGTGCAGCACTATCCTCGCATCGGCGCGTTACGCATATGCCAACACGCCAGATTCTGACTCTAAGTTACGAGCACACTACCTTGCTCTCATCATCCGAAGCCGTAGCACTTTCAAACGAAGCGGTACCATGCAGCTAGAGATGTTCAACGGCGGTACACAGCTCTTCTTCGACCTTTTCGTCGCCTTATGCAACCACGTCGACGATATTTCCAGCACTCAGTAAGTAACTCTTATTCATAACGTCGCTACAGCTCACTAATATCGCTTGTTAGAAACACACCCCGAAGCAACCGCCATTTCTTCTAATATGCTTCATCTTAGTCGTCATAATCTCTCCATCTTATCGTCATTTCTTATTACCCATTTCATTCCACTCGGGTCCCATCATATTAAAAACAACCTAATGATCAACGTCTTCATATTCTTTTTGTACTTCCTATCACCACGTTCTTAAAGATTTGGAGGTTTCGGTTCGGGGCACAACAGCGACAAATACCATATTAGCGGCGTTCGGGATTTTCACAGTGGATACTATCATGTTTTCTTTCTCAATTTCAGTTAACTCTTGTATCATTATGATCCTCGCGACAAATTGGCGCGGCGAGGATATCAGAGAATCATGTTATGGTGGATTGATGGATACGAAGTAAAATGCCGGAGAAAAAAATTACGAGTTCTAGAGGTATCAGTGTACGAAGGAAGCCGGCAGCGCCTTTCAGCGAGGAAAGGCTGAATAATGAGGAGATCGGTATGAAGAAAAATGGAATCAGCCCGTGGGGAATGCACTTGGAGGAAATCTTATGAATATGCCTTGTATTATTACGTTCTAGACTATCTTTGATAGCAGCTCGCTGCTTTCCGCCCCTGGTCTTATTTATTTCTAAGATATCAGATCAGGGGCTTCTAGGAGATAAAGCACGCAAAACTAATGAATTACGTTCTTGTATACATTTCCCACAACCCTCCACTCAAATGATCGTGAAGCTTACAATATTCGTTATAATAAAACCTTCCTCACATAACACCTTGGTAACGTTTCCCCCGCTCAACCACCCTACAGGACGTCCAATGGTGCCCGAATGCAGATTGGACCGAGAAGCTCCCAGTGATAAGCATACCGACTAACCAACATAATCATCCCTTCTCTCTTGATTCGCCAATGGCTAATTTCTTCCACATTAGGTGCTTACATATTAGGTTACCTGTCCCAGCTCGTCAGCATGTACGTATCTCATGCTATACTCACCCCGTTTCTTGTCGTAGTTACATACAGGTTAGTTACCCTACTCAAGACATAGATGCTACACCCCGGTCTCACAAGTTAAAGTGGTTGCATATGGCCCCCACTCGCGTTTTAAAGAAGCAAAGACCAAGGGATTGCGGGAGGGATGTGTGAGTCATTCGCTCCGCATTCACCCGTGCTGAGCATGGATGTAAGCCAGCAATCTCGCATGGAAGGATGGTTGGAACGAGGGTGGCGGGTCTCTTCCCCGGGATATCTTGATATGTACGTATACATATACTACTAAGAATAATGATATAAAGTGATGATTATTTTACGTATTTTCTCTTTCAGTGCCATAAAACTGACTTAATTTGGGTTTGCGATGTTCTATTCAATCATTTTATATGTTCATATTTGTGGTGAGTCCATGTTGCAATATTGCTCTTAGAAACGGGTGGAACAACTTAGAGGTGATATAATAAGTAATAAAGTCCAACAGCGTAAAATATGTATTACAACATGAAGGCTTAGTAGAACTCATGATACATCCACCTACGGATTTCCCTTGTATTCTTATTCGTTCTATAGACGAATTAAGAGGAGGCTGCAGGGCGGGATCTAATCATGCCCGAATCCAGTAGTATCATTCTTCCCCGCACTCGCAAGTCAGCCGCATCCTTTATGCAAGGCAACTCAATATCACTCCTCGGTCAATATCCCTTAGTTGCCTAGGCTGGCGACACGTATTTAAAGTGCCGCCTACTCATCGCCTCATTATATTAGACGACGGATGTGTTCCTCATTTTTCTGTCCACCCATTCAACTCGTTGACTCAAACTTTTGTCCCGGGAAACGCGCCATTCTTGCTTAGCACCACAAAACCGCGCTCGTGGGCAATATATCCCTTCATTAAGTTCTATGATAGGTTTACACCATTAGTGAGTCATACTTGAAAGACGTTAAGAGCACAAAAATAAGATATTACGCGCTTGCGTTAAAAAGGTCTTGGGGAAACTCAACACCGTATGACGCTAGACTGGACACGCCCAACACAAATATCAAACAGTTTGTCGCTTGTCCCACACACTAAATGGGCATTATTTTAACACATAAAATTTTGAAGAAAAATAACTCGTACCTTATAGATCATATTAGCTAGGAGACACTCTACCTCATCGGTATCGATGTCTCCTCCGCCGCTGATCTTTATCGCCGCAGCAAACTCGGCCACCGGTATCCTCGTGCGACGGACAGGTGCAGCACCATCTTTCCCTTCCTCAAAGCCACCTGAGATGAAAACTTTCCGGAGAAGATTTCTCAAGGCGATATCGCGACCACGTTCTAGGGTGAGATAGATGCGTCGTTTAATGAACTCATTTTCACCGTCTCGCAGCGCAGCATCAAATGCGCGAAGATCTGCCTTTTTAATTGCTACACCTAAAGGTAAGAAGAGTTGCTGCAGTCGTGGAAATGGCTCAAGTAATTCGGAACTAGGTAGCGTGTGTGTTGTAAGGAGATGGCATGGAATAAGATAAGTTAATATTAGCCTAAGAAGTGTAAGTATACGAGGCAGATATATGGCTCAGATTTATATACGTACTCAAGATTCCTCTTGGAGTCTTTGTGGCACATATGCCAGGCTGTAGTAAGATGTTGTTCGGCCTTAGTCTTGTTAGCAAGTAACTAAATACATCAAGGCAGAGTATCCGTACCTCTACGTAATTCTCCTCGAGGAATGCCAAAACCCCTTCATAATACTTGAAAGTGACCTGCTGCGACTTGGGAAATTTGTCGAGCGTCGGCATATCTCCCCGTCCTGCTTGGATCGCCTTCAGGACATTTTTAGACAGCGTGGCAGAGTTAAGCTTGAAGTAACTCTTGAATAGAAGATTGATGGCATAGTAGATACCCCATTTACGGGATTCTTCTAGTGGCGCTCTTATTATGAGTTAGTCATAAATCATAAAGAGGATGTAGATATTTTAAGTACCTATCGTTCAAGCAGGTTTGAAAGATTCTATTAAGGTGTCGTGTACAGTCCTCTAGCATCTTATGCTCTTCATACTCTGGGTCGAAGTCATCTTGCATAACGGCCTCGGTACTATATTCGGTACTGGTTTTTCTCTCCTCGTCTGCTCGGATGGCAAACAGTCGCAAATACCTCCCCGCAACATACAGACATGGAATAGTCCAGTTCTCGAATTCATGGTGCGTATATCCACGGATGACTTGTAATGTTAAATTCTTCCACGCTTCATATACTTTCGTCCATGATGGTTTGGATGACTTATATTCGTTAGCAGTGGACTAGGGTCGGCTCATTATCCAAGATGAGAATTCAGCTTGGCAAAGAAGCCAGCAACAAGTTAAATGAAAAGAAGAAAAAAAAATAATAAACTTGAGGCATACCTTCGTATCATTTCGTAGACCTTCAACGGCAAGTATTTCTCCGATCGCATTCCAATAGGAAAAATAAATCTCGAACCAGCCTGTTGTCTCCTCTTGGGATAGCCTAGGACGTGAAGGGTCCGTGTAGAGTAGGAAATTAAGGTCAGCTGTAGCATCCCGTTGGTTTCCTCGACCCCAAATAGACTGTAACTTTGATGCATACGTCTGCGTATCTGGCCGAATGGTTTCTGCAAGCCGATCACCTTTCATCTCGGCATATGCCGTCCTAAATTCCTTAATGAGCGAATCCATGGCTGCAGAGAAGAGGAGGTACACGAGCTGGAACGGGATGCAAGGAGGATTGGAGACTATAAAGTTTAAAAATTGAAGAATTAAGCAATTATAAGGTAATTAATTGAACATGGTATATTAGTATGTCTTTAGTCTTGTCATCTCCTACTCACTAACACCTCGTTGAATGTTGAACGTTTGAAAGTTGAGATGGATTCTTTGTAATTAGGTCCTTGTGAGTTTACATTATTCTGATTGGTCCAAGCTAGACGTGGAACTAGACGTGGAAGGGAATCCACCTTATGAGATCCAATTTTCTTTGAATGCAGCTTTGTAGCCACATAAAGCAACAACACACCGCCACTATACCCCACCTCGGATAAGCCACAGGTCACTAGGGCGGGCAAACCCTTAGCACAGAAATTTCACCAAAAGTTTCCTGGTAAGCGAATTCAACATCCAACATCCAGACCCGGACTTTTTCCAAACTACGCACGACTTCTCGATCACGACCACATACACACCAAATCACAGTAGGTTGAACGCCTAACACGTTTATTGATTAATTACTGACATAATTCAAGATGGGTAAGCTACGAATTTTATTTCTTCCTCCGCGCCAGCACCAAAACTATTTCTCCAGAAACGCACTTCGATATGTACGATCGATTGAAACCTCGAGCGACAATTCGAATATAAAAATCACAACGAGGCGCACTTGATCTCGAATCGCGCCACATGCGCACACCATACTAGAGGCGAATTGTTGGACGAAAAGAAAAGAAGACTGGGCAAATTGGGAATTGGGAATTGGAATTTTGATTCACAGATTCACGTACCCAGACTTTGTCACGCGTAATTTCGACGGCATAGACGATACCACAATTGGCATCAACAACTCGACATCTAACTGCATTGGAATTCGCCCTGATTTGAATATAACTTGATTTACTCTGAAGAAAATAGATACTAACAATGCGGACATCAGGTCGTCTTCAGGAATACCAGGTCATTGGGCGCCATCTGCCCAGCGAGGCCAACCCTACCCCCAAGCTGTACCGCATGCGAATTTTCGCTCCCAATGAGGTCGTGGCCAAGTCCCGCTTCTGGTACTTCCTGACCAAGTTGAAGAAGGTCAAGAAGGCCAACGGTGAGATCGTCAGCTTGAACAAGGTACGCCACAAGAGCAGAATTTGCACCAGGGAAGACAATAGGAATTAACATCTGAGTTAGATCGCCGAGAAGAACCCTCTCCGCGTCAAGAACTTCGGTATCTGGATTCGATACGACTCCCGATCTGGTACCCACAACATGTACAAGGAGTACCGAGAGATGTCCCGAACGGATGCCGTCGAGGCTCTCTACCAGGACATGTCTGCCCGCCACCGTGCCCGATTCCGGTCGGTTCACGTACGTTACTCTCGATTCCTCCTTTGGAATGATGGCTCAATTAACAATATTCTAGATCCTCCGCGTCGTCGAGCTTGAGAAGAGCGACGATGTCAAGCGCCCCTACATCAAGCAACTCATCACCAAGAACCTCACCTTCCCTCTTCCCCACCGTGTACCCAAGATCAACAACAAGAAGGTGTTCAGCGCCACCCGACCTTCCACATTCGCATAAGGGGTTTTTTCGTGTTGCTGTCGGAGGGATTAAGGGAATCGGGTTTGCCGGTGTTCATTACGGAATTGCGGAAAACTTCTTCATTAGCATGTGTGTGCTCGGTAGATAAAGCACTAAATGCATACGACCAATGAGCAAATAAGTTGCGTTACGTGTTTCTACATGCTGTACAGGTGCTTTCTAGCTATAGTGTGCTATGTGACAAGATATTTTACTGATTGCTAACCTCACTCGACCCCGACTTAGACTGTTTATCAGGGTCAGCCTGTGTTTCGGTCACAAAGTCATCCCAAGTACTCCAATCCGTCATAATATTCGGACCGCCAATGTCCAACATGGGTATATCAAAACTCAAATCCCTCCACCCCCATAACTCGTTCAATGCGTACGGCGACAAGCTGAGCTTTTCCAGATCTGCCGGGGCGCTAGGCTCCCTTGTATCGCGCATTTCGGCCTCGTATATGCTTTCCGGCTGTACTGTCGTAGTAAAACCCCTTTCTGTCGGCGGAATGCCGCTTTCTGCGTTGTTAGTTTGCATGTATACTGCATCTTGTATCTGTACGTCTGGGCTATCTACAGTAACCACTGTAGTGCCGGTGGTGTTTGTAGTAGCGGCAGGTGTAGTAGTATCGGCGATAGACGTGGTAGCCAACCTAGCCGCTTTAGCCCTCTTATACAGCTTGCGAATAGGCCGCCACAAGGTACCATTCTTAGTGTCGGCGATGACCTCGCTCCACTTAGGTAAGACGTCCTCGACGGTCCGCCAGGCGCGGTCGACGAGCTCGCCACGGGTCTGCGTGCACAACTCCGCAAGCGCGACAGCTAGGGGATGCCATTGGACGTACGTAGCGGCCCACCAGCTGAACCGCTGGCCATACGGCCCAGTCGCAAGGTGCTCATTAAGCTCAACGATAGATATGGCCGTGCGCAGCGTCGCCTCATGAGGGAACATGTTGCCGGCTGCTCCCGCTCCCCCTTGCCGCGATGTTGAAGACGCTTGTGGGCGCCGCCGCGGGTGTAGCGGGTATTGCATGATGAGCCACAGCTTGAGGATAACAAGACGTACCATGACAGAGGCTAGATGCGAAGGCGCATGGTTCGTGTCTGCACCTACGACGAATTGCGCTTCAAGACTCTGCGCATGCCGCAATGTTTCCTCGACACCCTTGGACGGTGGGCCGCTGTCTTCGATGCCTGGAGCGTCCTGCGCATGCTCTACGGCCAGGAAGAGTCCCGAACACCGCGCTGTGCATAAGTTAAATGTTATGTCACTAGGTCCCTGCCTCTCGACTAGCGGGCCCGAGGAGTCAGGCCCAAAGTCGTCGTCGTTAATATTCAGCGGGAGCCGCGTGTCATAGCTATCACGCGCTACAATAGTATTGGTTCCCCGGTCTTCAGATGCCCGAATGTCGAGCACTATGAGCTGCCACCAAAGACGTCGCCGCATTTCCGCCTGGAATGGGGAGAGATGTGCATTGCTGCTCTCGTGATGTAGATCAAGCGCTTGCGCAAGACGTATGGGTAAGGAAACAAGTGCCCACGATGCGCGCGACCCTTTGGTATTACATCGCACGCAAGCTACGTATAATGTTAACGCTTGCAAGGTTTCGAGACTAGTGCTACTAAGATAGTCAGCCCGCACCAGAAGGTACTCGAGCGTGGAAGAGTAGAGCTGGAGTAATTCCTCGCGCCGTTGGCCTAGCTGCGCGAGGCATACCGAGGGCGATAGGCTTGCCACAGCCGCATAGTAGATAGAGAAGTACAGGGCTTCTTTCTCCGGGGTAAGTTGTGACCGTGCAGTTTCGGGTGAGCGGGCGAGTGAACATATATCCTCTCGTATTGTGGGCCTGTGAAGTATCTTCAGGATCATATCAACATTCATGAAGAATGTAGAGGTCAAAAATAATATATGCTGTGGGGATGGATGCTCAATATGATCGTACGAGATACGTGGTGAATTCCCGAGGAGCATTCCCGGTGATAAAGTAGATGCGCTAGAGCTACTATTATCGTTTGTTACCGACTCGGGAGTGCCTCCCTGCAACATTTGTTGTTCTTCATCATCCGAGTCGGTGGATGACTCCAGCGCTTGCCTCAACCCTTCGACTTCGAGACAGAGGCTTGACCAAAACTCGCCGCTCAGATAGCGCGAAGCCTTGCTATCTTGAAGCGCCTTCTTCCAGTTATCCTGAGACTCGCTAGGAACGGTCGGCTTCGTAGCAGCTCCAGGGACCAGCGGAGCGGTGCTCAGACTGGTTGTAGAGTCTGAGACTAGCTCGGTCACATTGGCTCCTTCTAGGCCAGAAGCACTAACCTTGCCCACAATAGACTCTAACCGACTTAAACGTTGGAGTAGGTCCGAGTTTTTGTTCGTCCGCGGTTTACGCATCCGCTTGCGTGTAGGGAAGATGCATTCAGCGCCGGAGCGTACGCAGTGACTACATGGGTGTTCTCGACTGCACTTCAGTTTCCTCGCACGGCAATTTGTACAGCTCAGCGGTTTTGATTGTGGCCGTTGAGCCGTGCCCGCTGGTGGGCGAGAATCCATCGTTGCGTGTCCCTCTTTGCTGTGCCGCTATTCAGAATGCAAGACTGTCAGACTAGGTATAGGCTATTCCAATGCCTCAACTCATTGAAACAATTATAAATGTTTAATATGACTATATCATATCCATTATAGGCCATAGAAATAGCTATCTTAGGAGGTTAAATATAACTATGTATAAATAAAAGTAAGGTTGTAATGAATGAGTTTCGGTTCTAAGGTCCCAGTGTTTTAACTCCTTTTGATTACCTACCTGGTACCTTATGTACCTAGCATAGGTCATATGATACTTGATATGGTTAGTCTGTTCCAAGAATAGCTAGCTCATCATACCTACACGACTCCTAGATTTAAGTCTTAAGCATTAACACAAGACTTGAATTCAATTTATATAGCGTAACTAGCAAATTTGCATTCACTTATTTTAGTCTCTTTCAGCAGAAGAGTCTATTATAAAGGTTGATTAGACGATATGGAGCGTAGATATCGTTAATATAATACCCCAGTTTATTCGTATAAGCTTACGCGTTCAAATTGGAATGGGGTAAAATATAATTAGTTAATTCCTAACAAAGTGCCTTTTGTGACTAATTGCAGTATTAATTTATACAGGAAGGATGTGCTTGTAAATTAATGCTATTCTTCTCTAGAAATGGTTTTAAATGGGTATTTAGCTTTAGAATACCTACGTCATAAGCTAGAGTACTCCACGCTAGGCGGTGGTGATGGTAGGTAATGACATCTCTTTATCATAATTGACCCTTATCATTCTAGTAAAGACGGGGAATGAAATAAAATAACTAGCTTCTCAAGTATCAACAAACATAGAGATGAACTCTAGCTCTTTCATGAAAGATATCGTTGACCTATATTGCAACCTTTAGATATCTAAGTCAATCTTCTATCTTTGCTAACTAGGTACCTAATCTACATATGTAAGGTGGAAATATCCTTCATCATGAGAAATCATACTGATATAAAAGTAATTTTCGAGGCCTTAGAGATTAGCGGTTACTTTTCTTATAACTAAGATAAAACTTTCACTTTCAAAAGTTGCTCGCATGGGACGCGAACTTCACATTATGATAAACTACCTACGCTCTGACATCTTAGGATTGTAACAAGAGGCAGGGCAATGCTTTCTAGATGCTCACATTATCATCTAGAAGAGATTAAAAAAGTGATTTACTCAAGTAAACTCCTCGTAGTTACTAGCGACTAGGAGACTAGGCGAAGTAGAAGAGTCCAGCCAACGAATAGTAAGTTCGGCTTCTCACCTTGCCTTCTCCTAGCATAACATCGACCTCATATAGCTTCAACTGAGGCTGGCCCCGTGATCCCTACGTTACCTGAGAGTTTAACTACCTAGGCCTAATAAGACATGTCTCAGATGTTTCGCTATAGTTAAGAACACTTATAAACCGAAACTAAAAGGCAGGGTGAGACGCGGGCAACGTTGGTAGCGCGTGGCACGAGCGGGCTGGTGAGGAATCTTCAGCCATTATATTCTATGTCCACGTTCCCACCTTCTGAAACCAATTGTCTCTGGCTCTTCTTTCCTTCACCTCCCCTTTTTCTGGCGAGAACCTCACGGTGGCTGACAGGAACTATAAGAGAAGCACTGAGAACCATGACGATAATAATGAAGTCCTCCATGGACAGCCAAATACTAAGCATCTTTTACAATATTATATCCTTCACTATCATCGACTCTATTACACAGCTCTTCATCTTATTGCTACTTCCCATAGTAGACTTCATTTTTAAGAAGTTTGTCACTTAAATATTTAAGAATGCATCCTTCTACGCTCATCATCGTCATCTCAGCAACGGCATTAGCCCTACCGTTCCCGCTTCCTGGACTAGGCGGCATGGGCGGCATATCCGACACAATCGTAGGCACCATCGACAGCCTACTAGGCACATCCAGTCACCCCGAGAACCATGGCAGCAGCACAGGGCATGGATCCGAATGTCGTCGATACGATACCGAGCCTATCACAACGTGCATAAATAAATGCGTAGACCTATGCGAAGATGGCGATGCAGACTGCAGCGCTTGCATGAAGGGATGCTGTAAGTATCCATCCTTATAGAAAGTTTCCATTAAGGCATAGGGATTTCGATGACTTTGCTAACTTAAGCGTTCTCTAGCTCGTAAAAATTCTTGCGGCAAGCCCCATGATGATAGTTCCAAGACCGGCCGCCAAAATAGCACTGCGCATCTGAACTAATAGGGTGTTTGGAATATAGCTGAACGAATAATTTTACGCAGTGATAATAAGGGTCAGGAAGTTTAACGAAATATCTAAAAATAAATATTTGGGTCCGTGATAGGCGGGTGTACAAGATACGATCTGATGAGCAATGAGGTAGGAGGCGTTAGGATCATAGGGCGAAAAAGATATTATGATAATAGGTAATCAACATTCAAGATATTTGACTTTCTCTACTAATTTTTCTTGCTTGTACGACTTGGATATTCAATGCGAGTGATTGTAAAATCAGTAATTATCTGAATCTTGATTGGGTTTGGGAATGAGGCTTAAAATTTAAATTATGGGGCTAACTGTGGCAGGTACGTATGACTGTGTGACTCACTAGCCTCACCTTAGGCAATAGCCCCACATTAGAATAATATAAATTCAAACCCACTCCCCTCCCATTTTGAAAAATTTCCTTCCTTTCTTTCCTCATCTTAGTGCACGGGCTTTACGCGTCACAGTGAGGAGTAATCCGAGTGCGTGTTTTTGCTAGTTGAAAACTATAACATGACCACTTCTGTTTGGCCTTGTGCCGGGCAGGGAATTTTTGGAACCTGAACCTCTATGGATTCTTTTCATCATGGCTCTGTCCCTAGTTTGGATGGAGGTGAGGAAGAGTGTTGAATTTGGATTTTTTCGTTAAATGGTGGACTACTTGCTATGGTGGGGTGGGATTTAGGACGCGTCTAGACACCAACTATCGCGTTTGTGACGATCGCCCGATGCAATACCAACAGGGGAGTTATCGCATCGCGTAGCAACCATAATATCGTTGCAGGAAATACTTGTTATTGAAAATCAAACTGAGCGGTTTTTTTTAAGGTACTAGGCTATCCCAAAACCCGTCTACTATCTTCAAAGTATCATCGCGATACACCAGAGAGTTTCTCGTCGCGAATGAATTGAGTCACTTAGATCATTGTTTCCACTTGAAATCATCTATCGCGCTACCACCAATTCCAACGTAGAAAGTCAGACATACCTCAGGTTTCTGTTGCCCAACTCAACCGGAGAAACAAACATCAATCGCTTACGAGACCTAATGACGACAAATGGTCGGCTTCGAAAGCAAACATAGACTCAGACATGGAGATAAATAATTTTCCTGACGTCGTATTTGCCTCGGTCATTGAGCACCTGGTTTTGACTATTGGCATTTATAAAGCTGTTCGACTCCGTCTGGTGAATAGTGAGTTGAATTTTCCACTCGCGAGCATTATAATATCTATCAATATCTAATGAATCATATTTCAGGGCGTTTCAACTCCGAGATACTATTTGCTATATGCACCAAGCAAGTTATCGATATTGATGACTTAGCTACCCCGTGGGTGTCTTCGAGGATACACCCTTCAATCAAAGCCCGAATCTTCCTACACCGGTCCCGTTCTGGTAAGGGAAAACAAGACAGCTATGTCACGACTATTACCAGTGTCAACAAGGCAATAGACCTCTTAACCCAGCAGACCGAAGAAGGTCGGGATAGACAACACCAGATCATCGCCGAGGCTATCTGTACTATGCATCCCCACAGCGTCGGACTCTGGCAGAATATCATCAATCTCAATGCCCACATAGAAGCGCAAAACATCCTAAGTGGTGCTATTGTTCTCGGAAATCTACCTCTAGTTCAGTCGCTGCTCGAAGCACCAAATACATTGGCCCGAGTTAATCTTGAAACCCCATACTTTGGTCGACCGTTGCAGCTTGCGGCTGTTTGGGGTCACCTACACATTGTCCGTTACTTAATCGACTGCGGTGCTAATCCACGAGCAAATAGTTTCGATAGCGAGGATGGTGGTAGTCGAGACTGGATATCCACTGGAGGGGGCTGTATTAGCGACCAGCAGCGATACTATCGAAAGCCTCTGGGAAGCGCCCTTCGAGCTGCGGCCTTAGGAGGGCATAAAGATATCGTGAAGCTACTTCTAAAACCGGAATATCGGCTTTCAACTTTGAAAGAAGAATATTATCGAGCGATTTTGGCTGCGGCGCGCGGTGGCCATCTCGACATCTGCCGACATCTTATCTCCTTGACGGGTAAACCCCTATACCGCCTTATAAGATTGAGAGATGAAATATTTGGGGAAGCAACTTTCCATGGACGAGAAGAAGTGGTGCAGATGACACTTAAGTCTGGTCAGGACATTAATTCAAAGCCGCGACGAGAAATATATGTCTCTGCTCTGGATATTGCCGCAACAAGGGGTGATATTCGTATGGTCCGGTTTCTACTTGACCGAGGGGCCTCTATAAGGCCGCCCGTAACGTTGACTGCAAACCCCATCAAAAGCGCCGCCTCTGGTGGGCATGAAGAAGTTGTGGAACTATTACTTGGGATATTACTTGACCGCGGAGAATTATTCGAGTATGGAGATATCGATGAAGGGCTCCTTGAAGCTGCTACCAATAGAGGGCAAACTCGCCTAGTTAAACGGTTCTTGGCAAAAGATCCAAGCCAGGTAACCAAGGGGGGTGGTTTTGGACGATATACAGTGGGAGTGAATGCGTTGTTATACGCCACACAAATTAGGAATCCCGACATTATAGCCCTCCTAGTTGATGCTGGTGTGTCACTGAACGGAATTGAGCTTCCTTCTTCGGGGTGGATGGTGGACTTACTCGTTTCACTCGGGGTCGTAGATCAAGATCCCGAGAAGTATAAAAGTTATCAGCGGACTCCGGAGGAAGATGATATTCGATGCCAGCCAATGAGGAGAAGAGTGAAGATTTCAAGAC